TTGAGGGCTGGCCATCACCTGATGACGTCAAATGAGGCTTCGCGACTAGAATGACAGNTTAAAGAACGAACAGTTTTGAAAATAAATCACAATTTCCTCACGAGGAACAATACATCACAAGATCTGCTACTTCTCTACCAAGTCACTTTCAAAATGTTGGACTGTTATACTATCAGCTATTAAAGACTGACTTCAGAACTATTGTGATGGAGCCCGTGCACACAATGGAACAACCAGATTCTTTGTTCTATGTGTTGTGAGGTGTGTGTTGACTGTGAGTTACTTTAGATTTTTGTTTACTTTACTGGATTTTCAGTTTCCATACTGTATGTTTCCTTCTGAATACAATTTACCAGATTCTGGTATCACTCATTCAGAGATGATATGACCAATTCTAAATTTGAATCGGTGAAATAACTCATTCAAATAACTTATATCACCAATTAAAATCAGGACTGTTGATTTTGCAACTATAGGAATGGGTGATACCATTAATTCAGATCAGTGACATTGCCTCTTTGAATCCTTGATATCACTTATACGTTTGAACTTCTGAATCCTGATATCCGTTACTAAAATTAGTGTTATTCACATTCATACCACCAAGTGCAATCAAATAATGATGATAATGAAGACTTGTAAATAAAATGATCTGTTTTGTTAATATGAGTTTGTTGTTATACGGCAAAAGCGGAATGTTTTGCCTGTTGAATTGTCCGCATTGTGACACTTTAAATTGGTCATTGGGGGTATGGAAGTTCTTTGCTGTGACAAAGGGTCTGAAATGGTTGTGTTCTATTTGCCTATAACCTATAAATAAACATTTGTGTTTTGGGTATTTTTGTGATATTTTACTCAACATTAAAAATGCAAGCTTTTCCACATTGCGAAAATTGCCACTTTTACAGTACTGCATAAGAACGAACTTTCTGAACAAGTCCTCCAAGCTTATAAGCCCCGTCCATGTATCTTCCACATCCATCCACATGTTTGTCTACAGAATATCTCTTATTCTATATCCTGAGTTACCAAGCACCTTGGGATAAGGAGTGCTGCACACAAACATGTCTCCGATAAGTGGATCGCTGTGATGTGACCTGTGTTTTTGACCTGTGACCCAAATCATTGAAATGATTTGTCAGGGCTATATCTCCTGCACTAATTCACCGGGAGTTTACAAAGTTAGTACACCGCTAACATCTTGCCATATATGTTACAGCAGATAGTTCGATACTAATGTGTTGATAGTGTCCATGTGCTAGCTGGACTATTCATACACTAAGGCCGTTTTCGTTAATACTATTCCAAACAATTGGACCGAATTTGTTAATTTATGAAACAAGCATGACCTAGTGATTTAATGTTGTTTTCTGTGAACGTTTGCGAATACTTCCAAGGATTTGCTGTAGTATCTAAAGTCTAATGCTTTATCCCTGAAATATTCCGTGTAAAAATAGATAAACCAGTTTGTCCGAACATGCCCTGCTTTTAGGTGTTTTGGAGAGATGCCGATTACTTTCAAAGATGACCTTGCTCAACTCACTTTTGGTAGCAGTACAGCCACCACCCTTTGAACATCTCTGGAAATTGTGTCTGATATAGGAGTGGACATTAATACTGTACAATATAGTGGCCCCTAAATACGTTATCCATGAACCGATGGGTTATTATTGGTTGCAACCCAATATCTTGCTTTGTTATAAAGTACTGTTGTATTTTCCAGCTACAGTACTAAAGTACAATGTAGTTGTCTCATCGCCTGCAACCCTAGTTACTAGAAAATGCAACATTATTAATACCCCGGTGAGTACCACTGGATGGGTTATAGGTTTTGGTATTAGTACCCCGGTGAGTACCACTGGATGGGTTATAGGTTTTAGTATAAGTACCCTGGTGAGTACCACTGGATGGGGTTATAGGTTTTAGTATAAGAACCCTGGTGAGTACCACTGGATGGAGTTATAGGTTTTAGTATTAGTACCCCGGTGAGTACCACTGGATGGGGTTATAGGTTTGTGCTCATCGTTAGTGCATGCTTCATTTGTCAGAGGCATATGTCATAGGCTCTTTCACCTACAATGCAAATTTTGTATGGTTTGGAAATACTTTTTTGGATGACAGCTAGAGTGTTACTTACTGAAACTGGGTCTCATACCCAAGTATATACAGAGTTAATGCATTTGTTCACTTGTCTGGGGAATATCTACTATACATGTTTTCCTACAATTTTTCTTGTATGAATCACCACTTTGGATTACAGAGTGTCTCATGACCGACAACATACAGAGTTATAGCCCTTTGTTCATTTCCCCTAAATTTGTCCTTAGATAGGATGCTATACATTTCCCACAATTCTCTACCTTGTTATTAATCTGATTGTTCGGTGTGGATACAAATGCAATGATAACCTCCTTACTGAAAATAAAACATTAAAAATGTGCCACTTTGTTCTTTTGTTTACACACTGTTTAAAATCTAAGCTAACGTCACTACCCAAAACGGGACACTTTTTAGATAAATATCAATGTCCTTTATACCATGCTATCAGTTCCAAAAATGTTTGTTCCTTTTTTCAAATATTCACACAGGAAATTGTATCGAAACTGACTGAGTTATTTCCCTTTGACCATTATATCCTCTTTACACATACAGAGAAATAAGTTGTTTGATATCTTCATTTTAGCAATGCCATGATAGGTAAACAGTTATGTTACACGGATGACCACAAACATGAAATAACTTCCATTTGATATTTATAACGCTAGTAGGCCCTATATCTAGTCGCTATTTGTCGGTACAATTTTGTCCTTGTTAGCCTTTATTGTTAAAGTAGTGTTAGACGAGCGTACTTCCGGTTAAAACTCTGTGCACGTGTAGTGCTGAAACCGGCCTGAAAATAATGCAAAAATGTTGACTTCAAAGACATTTGTGAAGAAAACAAAGAGAGGAAGGATAATCAAGATTGTAAGGGAACACTATCTTCGTGATGACATAACTTGTGGGTCGGAATCTTGTCAGATATGCGATCCTTTTGACTTTGGTCAGCCCCTCGTCGCTGAACCCGAAAATAAAAGTCGCCTGTGTTTGACTCCTCACTACATCATACCGGATACAAATGTTGTTCTTCACCAGGTGAGATATTTTCTGATATTCAAAAAGTTTGAAAATTGTTTAGCGTTCATCACTAGATGAACATCTTGGAAATGCAGCAGTTAGAATCGAGCATATTATATTTTTTACCAAATGTCTAATGAACTTGTATGCTGCATTTTAAAGTTAAACAACGGTAATTACTAATATACCATGAAAAGAATGCACACAAAGCATCATGTTTACACATTTAAATGTATGGCAATGTTTCTCGCGAGGTAAGCTGAAAAAAGTTATTTTATAACCCCTTAAAACTGACGGGGTCGTTACAATCGATGCATAATTGTACAAACAGTGAATACAAAAACAGTAATTTCTTATTAATTAAGTGTAGTAGGGCAAGGAAGAGTGATAAAGATAGTGCCGTCGCTGGGGGTTGAACCCACGACTCTTGGCTCTCCATCGCGATGCTCTACCACGTGCACTGAGCTAAAGGGAAATTCCTTACAGCTGATGCTTGTAAGGCAACCTAATCAATCCACATCTTTTACATATGCATATAATTAAACCTTCTTTCGAGATGATTTGAAAAATTCTCGACCCAAGGGTAAGATTTTTAAATGTCCACTTGTTATACTGCCACCATTTGACCATCCGATTTTGGCAAATATAAAGGGGTTTGGCGATTTATTATGTGTAACTAGGGAAGACAAACAATAAGGAATTGCTAAGAGAAAAGGTAACTTACAGATATGTTGGTAATAAGCAAGGTTACAAAATGAAACAAGGGACATTATTGTCACCCTGGTCCAAAACAGCAGTCTAGCTCCCTACTGACTTGGCTGGGAAAAAATTTATCTAAAGCTCATTTGGTAAAGCATAAGATTAGTAAACCGGAAGTCTCCGGTTCAAATCCTAGTGAAGGCATTGAAAAAAACAATGACCTCTGCTACACTGACGTCCATGTAGGGATGTTGCTTTCTGGTGGGAAAAATGCATGGCTAGACCAGGGTTCGAACCTGGGACCCTCTAAACTCTAGACAGATCGATGCTCTACCAATTGAGCTAGATGGTCGCCAACAGCTAACCTAGTACAGGTCTGCTACATTTCTATTAATGATCTGATATATCTGAAAACATATATATGTTATTGCTTGAACTATACATACCAACTTTGACACAATAATGAAAATACTATTTTCTTGACTGCTTTGAATAGATGGACGTTATGGAAGACAGTTCGGTGCAGAATGTCGTGATATTACAAACAGTCTTGGACGAGGTAAGATACTGACTTATGTTCTATTTCAACAAAAACATCAGATTGAGCTCCAGAGTTGACAATAACACTAGTGACTCTGGAGCTCAATTTTTCCCCACATGGACCCCCCCCCCCCAGGAAATTTGGAAACCCCCCCAGATAGGTCTCTGGATCCGCCACTGTAGTCCTCTAGTCTAGATCTGAGATTAGTAGGTTTCAGAAGGACTATGAATCACCTAACCTACATTTGTAACTGGTTCTTTGGGCTTGTGAACAAATATGTTATCACAATATACAAAGATGGATTATAAAATAAGAGTATTCATTTTGGAAAACTGCTAAAAATACAGACATAATGCATCATATTTGTCAAAATTTAGATAAAAATTCACAATATCTTCATAGCAGTATTTATGTATGTCCCTTACAGTCAATTACCTTTTATGTTTTGTGCTGGAGATGTTTCCTCATGGAAAATCTTGGACCAGTTACATTGATGAAGAACAAGTAGATTTAAATCTATTCAACTTGTCCTGTGGACTATCAAGCAAAAAAAGTTACAGCCTAATCCTGAGCTCATGTTTACAAATATTTACCTGAAAATGATACTGAGTCACATATCTTTACAGTTAATATTAATTTAATATCGCAATTCTTTCACCCTCTTAATATCTTGGAAATTTCTAAAGAAAAACCTGTGGAATTATAATTGATGCCCAATGACATTTTCGTTCTCAGAGAAATTATTAGACTACCGGTACTTCATTTAGAATTAAATTGATCAGATGAAAATTGTGTGTCAGCAAGGCAAGAAAAACCCAAGGTTCAGTATTTCTAGTAAAAGGCACTAGTACTAGACTGAGTTCTTCATTTTCAAGCAAGTACTTTTGCAAAAGCACAAGCCTGAAGTATTTGTAATCCTGCTTTTTGTCCTGATCAGAAGCAATGCATCCTAATACAGTTGTGAAAAATATCTGTCAGGTTTTGCTTTAATATAATTATGCTTTGTCCTCAGGTGAGACACAGAAGTTCCCCAGGTTACAAAAGACTAAAGAGCATGTTGGCGAACCCAAGCAAACATTTCTTCACATTTTGTAATGAATTCAACAAGTAAGAAAGATATTGTTTTAAAACTTTCTGGCAAATTATTTTGTCAGCCATCCTCACATTTCTTTGTAAACAGTTCCTCTATCAGAGAAATGTTTTTTTTATATTTCAGTTGAATTCTATATTTTGAAAATTAAGTGATATATAAAAAGTTTTTATTGAATTGCACCTTAAAAGTGAAATATATTTTCAAATTGTAATTTTCTTCGGTGTTGGTAGGTTCAAAATAAAAAACAAGTTATCAAACTAATATAAGATTTTGAATGTTGTCCTAAGGGTAAACCTGACACAGTGTTATTTGTTATACCATTCTTAGACCCCAGAAGGGATGGAGACTACTGAATGTCGATAGTCTCTTGGTCTTAATATTTTTAGAAAGAGTAGGTCAATATATATATATATATACTCAAGACTTCTACTTCAGTGAATATGTGGTATTTGTCACCCTTCTAATTTGTAACACTCTTTCTGATTGGATATCTTGCCGAGGTCTATATTTCTATAGACCCAGCTCTGCCGGGGTCTATAAAAGCATGTGCCAGGGGATATAACTCAAACTAGAATCTCTGCATAACAACAAAGATGGCGTCTGACACACAGTAAAAAAGATTGTCAGGGTGACAAATTCATTGTCTCTGGGTTAGGCGGGGTCTACAGGCTCATAGACCCCTTTGGTCTTTATAGACCCCTCACCTTTGACCGCTTCTAACCCAGAAATAAATGATAATATTGGACCAGAGAAAGTGATATTGACCTCAACTTAGTCTTGTTAATATCACTTTCTCAAGTTCATATAACCAAATACATATTCACCACAACATAAGACCTTAACTGATAATGATCATAGATAGTGATTTTGGATTGTTATTTTACCATCAGAAATACATATGTGGAGCGACAGAAGGGAGAATCTTCCAACGACAGAAATGACAGGGCTATCAGAGAGGCTACGAGTTGGTACCAGGACCACCTGCGTTCAGAGGGCCAGTCAGATCTGATAATTGACGTCGTCCTTCTGACAAACGATGCTGACAACAGGAGGAAGGCCATACAACAAGGCCTTAAAGCATTCACAGGTAAAACAAACCAGCACTGGTTTAATGTGAGGGCTGAAGTATCTCACAACTCTCTCACTCTGTTGACTTTTTAAGGCAATTCCAGTGAACCATCTATGCAAGTACAGGGATGCAGGTCTTGTTTAGGGCTACCACACATAGACTTAAGTGGATAATTTGTATAGAAGTAAAAGGCAGAGAGCCTAAACATGGATAGATATGATCAAATGTTTGGAGTCCTGGGATCAGGTAGATGTCTTCTACTGGATACAGATACAGATTCCACAAAGGTCAACTTTATATTTGACCTCAATAGATATTGATGATTGGCTAGAGCATAGGTGTCAACTTCTGAACCCTCCATTGGGGAGATCTCCCTCAATCCACATTTCCAATGAGGGAGAAAGTGTGTGAAGCATGACTGAAACTGCTTTACTCAATTTATCTGTCCCTTTTTATGCATTAAAATAACTCCAAAATGTATTCATTTAATTCGGACACATCTGTTATGATCATTACACACACCCTGTAGTAACTAGGAGATCATTTGACAACAGGATGTAGATTTTGAGTTTGTGTGAGTTTGGACTTGAATGGGGGAGTTTCAAAGGAGATTAGTGAATTTTGGTTAACATGAGGGAGTCTCCCTCCTAATGAGGGAGGTTTGACAGCTAGAAAGTATTTTTATTTCAAACATGAAATTGAAAAAAATGACGTTCAATCCTTATGTACTTGAATGATGTAGGGAAAAAATAATTGGTTTCCTTTGTTCTTTTTGTGAAAGTAAATTAACATCAGTGGGTAAAATAACCTTTTCTGAGATTTGTTGAATACTGTAAGACTTGTGTTTCAGATTTGATTGAAAATTGAGAATTCTAGAGACTTGTCTAATAGATGAATTCTCAACAAATGAAATAGAAACCAGTGCTTTCTATCCCCAGTAGTTTTTACCCATGATCATTTGAGCAACACAAAAGTGGTATGGAGCACATCATGTTCAGAACATGATGTTTTAATATGAAAAGATAACCAGTTTACTGAATTTTCTATAGTTGTTTAAAGTTATAGTGATTACTATTCAAAGGTTGGGTTGCTATATATAATGAAAACTCTTTTAACAGCCCCAAATATAATTTATTTATTCCTGTTGCAGTCCACGAATATGTGAAGAGTTTGGAAAACTGTGGACACCTTGTAGATCTTTTGTCTCAGTCACAGATGAGTGTGGTATGTAAAATATGGGATTATAGAATCTTGCACATCTTATAAAGATGTAAACAATTAACTCAGTCACAGATGAGCATGGTATGTAAAATATGGGAATATAGAATCTTGCAATTCTTATAAAGATGTAAAAAATTAACTTGGTCAGTGGTCACAGATGAATTTGGTACGTATAATATTAATTAATAGAATCTAATGCCCTGGATAGTGAAATATTGAATTTCTTTGTGAGAAATAAATCTGTGCCTTAAATTTTATGCATGTAATTGATGATTAAATCAAAAATTTGGTGAAGCTAGAAAAACAAAATCAGTATAGTTCATTCCCTAGATTGATACTGAACCTCTTGATACGTACCACAAAAAATAAACAAGTTTTGTTTTCATTACATATCCAGCATTCTCAGGACCGCCTCATGTTTCCAGAACACCTACCACTGTCAGAGATACAGCGTGGGATCAAAGCAGGGCGGTACTTCCAGGGCAGCTTCATGGCAAGCCGGGAAAACTACTTAGAGGCCAATGTCAGCGTCCACAATAAGGACGAAATGGTACGGTAACAATCGACTGAAATATTCAATCACATGTTAGACACGACACTTTTGTTTCTGTATTCATTGAAAATAACTTCATCTAGACACTTCTGTTTTAAAAAGTTGGAATTTTACAGATCTTTTAACAGGTTATTTCATTTGAAATAGATTCATTTCATTGTTATACATGTAAAGTAAAACTGTATTGTATATTTCCAAGGTTGCTTTGTACAATTGAAATGGAAGCTTCTAAATCTTCTGAAGTCTGTAATTTCTTTTATATTATTTCAACGAGGCATTTTGATAGTTGATTGAAAATCCAAAAAAAATCCAGAAGAAATGTATTTTCATGTGTCTTATTTTATTGATGGAAAAAGATAAAAATGTATGGTTGTGGATGTATACTGACAGTATTAATCAAGGCAAGGTAAAATCTGAAACCCTTGGATTTGGAAATAGACTATGGAAAGTTTTCACCAGGAATCACATAGTATAACATAAATATTTGTATCATACCTGTAAATGTATGTATTTCAGGTGTTCATACAAGGCCACATGAACCAGAACCGAGCGGTGCACAGTGACGTGGTTGCCATAGAGATGTTGCCAGAGGAGGAATGGAGCTGTCCATCCTCAATGGTACTTGAGGAGTCCTCGGAAAAAATTGTTGAGGACAGCATGGAAACAGAGGTAACACACCAACACAATTATGCATAGTCTCTTAATACGGATATCACCAGTATGGTATTCCTTTGTGTTTTCAACATGATAAGATTATTGTGCTCTCTATATCTGATTCCCTGTGATGAACAATATATATAATACTATATGCCAGGTGTACTGCTTTTTAGTCCCCAACTAGTACTATCAGAGGGCACTTGCACTGTGTCCTCAATCCAGGTTTCCATGTGTTTGGGGTATATCTCATATATTGAGTGTCGTGTACTAAATTCAGATTTTGTGCTGTATTATATATAGAGTTATGGCCCTTTTGTTACCATGCATAACATTGTCCAGGGCATACATCATGCTCTGTTGGCTAAAATTGCCAATTTAGTACCTCTTGGAATGATGGAATGTCGCATACTAAAATTGGGTCACATGCCTGAACTTAATACAGAAATATTGGTCTTTGTTCATTTTTCATTCCAAAGTTTGCCAGATGAGGGGGTAATTATGAATTGCTTGCAATAATTTGCCTTTTTTTAATTTTTGGTTGATAAAATGTTACATTACAACTTCTATCAACACATATTAAGTAACACTGTTATTTAACAAAACATAAGCCAAAGGAAGAATGTTAGGGACACTTAGTTTAAGGTTTTCTGACATACAGTAATGAATGAGATGTGTCTATAACTGCACTGCTGTAGAAAAAATGACTATACAAGAATATTGTTGGTGCACCTAACTGAGGTCAAAGGTCAAAGTCATAAGATCACTAGACTCATGTTTGATTGCATACAGTGTTTTACAATTGGTTTATGTTGACTAGTAATTTAGCCAGTGATCACAAAGACAAAGGCTGCTTTTGCGTATCAATTCAACCATATAAACTGGGTGAACCAGAAAGAAATTGGCATGCACAGATTTGGACCGAGGCTGACCTCAGGAACATTTAGCATGTGCATATTAAGGGATCAAAAAGGCTGACTATCACTGGTTTGCAGTATTTCTGAAGAACAATGTCTATTTACACACATGTTTAAGGATATGTTACATTTGACACGGGGGTGCAAGAAGCACTTCTAATGTTTGATTAATTGTTATTCGTTTGTCACACAACTGCCTATAAGGTCAGCAAACTTTGAGTTAAAGTGTAAAAACAATAAAAAAAATACTGAGAGGAGACTTTCCCCAGTTCGTATTGTGTGGATATACCATATCCAATGTGAACCTGACGGGTTTTGTTACTGTCTGTAACTTGTCAGAGGTAAAATTTGCAGCAGAGCCCTTATATAGGGTGCTGGGGGTGACAAAGGGTTGCACAGGGTGGAAGATATATATTTCATTCTAAGTGTTTATTGCAGAATATTTCCTTGCCATGTAGACCATTTCAACTGGGATTCCTAAAAGCAGCCTATATTGTATATTATAAAACTTATTTAGATGTGATTGTCATCATGCTGTATTTTCATTTTGGTCTATGAAATATTGAGTTGTATGCACCCTCATCTTGTATATTTGCAGGACGAAGCTATAAAAAGAAAAAAAATTCCCAAAGAATTACGACAGCCGACAGGCAGAATTGTTGGCATCATCAAGAGAAATTGGCGACAGTACTGTGGAATTCTGCGTCCCTCAGCAGTGAAGGAGGTACCTCATTTACCAATACCATGACCCCCATCTTAAAGTCAAAGTTGAAATGATTGGTTAAAGGTTAAATTATTTCTTAAACAGAAATCAAGTTTTCCAGACTAAATGTGAAACAGAATTCCATCATATGCAAACATAAAAAATTGTCGACATTTAGGTATAATTCATCATTTGCAAATTATCATTTTTCCATGATTTTGTTTTGTAATTGAAGCTATAACCTCATTGGTTTCAACGAGACTTTGAAAACGTTGCATGATTTGCTTAATTAAAAGTTCTGATTAAAATATTACTTTTTACGGTTTAGGGTACCCGTCATATTGTTGTGCCAGCAGAGAAGAAGATTCCTAAAATACGCATCGAGACAAGACAGGCAGCTGACCTCATAACACAGAGGATTGTAGTTGCTATTGACAACTGGCCCCGCAACTCCCGTTACCCACAGGTCAGTCTTGTTGTCGGTTGATGTGGTTTAAATATTCTAGAAGTTTTCAGGTTTAGGGGTACAGTGAGCATCTGGCAACTGCTTAAATGCTTAAATTTTGATAAAACCAATACCCATATATTCATATATGGAATCCTGGTATAATGTAATCTTCATTACAATTTTTAACATTTTTGAATCTGGAAACTCAACATGACAGCAAATGTTTCTAGTAAACAGGTAACATTACACACCCAGCCAAATCTTGATCTGAAAGCCTCAAATTTAATACTGCATGGTCTTACTTTGCTTTTTGGGGTCTTTATTTTCCCTACATAAATATTAAATAAGCACTGTGTAAACAGAAAACTGTATGTTGAGTTTTATCTTTATTTCAGGGTCATTTTGTGAGGAAGCTTGGTAACATCGGGGACAAAGACACAGAGAATGAAGTTTTGTTATTGGAACATGACGTTCCCCACTCCAACTTCTCTGAAGCTGTGCTTGCCTGTCTCCCAAAACTACCCTGGATCATCACAGACGAGGTGCGACTGTTTAACAAGTGTTTTCCTATGCTAATTAACTGAAATCTTTCATAATTTAAACTTGCCAGCTATATTCCACAGCATGAGGCAAACAAAATGTTGGAGATCTTGCAATGTTAGGGGTTTTCTTCTGCTTAGGAGCATTTAAAAAATACAGAACTCTTTTTTACTTATTTGGAATATTTATCTAATTACTTTAAACCTGCAACATTGGTGTCGGGGGGGGGGGGGGCATTGTAAGCTTTTCCAACTGGTCATACACCAGACAGGTTAGACTTTGCATGAAGCTTCATCTTTGGTTAGAATTTGTGTTTAGCTCCAGTTTTATAAAAGTGAGATGGATGCAAACGTTAAAGTATGCCGTACTGAAAGTGGTGCAGGGCATTAATTGTTGCACTTGTCTGTATGTACTATGTCTGGTTTTTGTGTTCAGTTCAGTTATGGACTGACCTTAGTACTGCAACTATGGTCATGTTACTTCATAGGCTTATTTACATTGATGAGTACAGCATGTTTCAAAGCATTTTTGTGACCTTCACCTTTGACCTTGACCTGTGATCGTGTTGATTTTTGCCGTATAGGTCAGTTATGAATCATTATGAATGTAACATGTTACATAACTTTTTAAACTGGATCATTGACCTTGACCTCTGATCTTACTTTAATTCTTGAGTGTTGGTGTGGAGCATCCGTGTTTTGCAAGGACTTTTTAGTTTACAAACATTTGCTAGTTTTAAAAATTGTTTTATCTACAGTGTGTGTCAGTTTCTGCTGTAACTTTGTCAACACTTTAATAAATAGATAATGAAATCTTCATGGAGTAAAAATTGACTTGATAGAAATTCTTAAATATCTGATGTGATTTTATGGGCTGGAAACATCTGCTTTTCAGTGTAAACCTCTAATTTTATTGACATGTTAACCAATAGTTAATCAAATAAGTCAATTTCCCTCCCTAGGTATGTCATTTCTGTGAAAGCCCCGGTGCCATCATGTATGTGTAACAGAAAATAGCTGAAACAGTTGAACTATTTACTCTGTCTGTACCTGAACTTTAAGAACGATTAAAACACACTATTTCATTAATAGCACCATATGACATATGGGGCTCCTCACATATCAGGGGCTATGGCGGCCAAGTGGTTAAGGCTTCTGACCGTCTGCAGTCACTAGCGCTCCACCACTGGGTTGCGGGTTTGAGGTCTACGTGGGGCAGTTGCCAGGTGCTGTCCACAGGTTGGTGGTTGTTCTCCTGGTACTCTGGCTTTTCTTCACCCCAAAAACATGGCACGTCCTGAAATGACCAGTAGCTGTTAATAGGTTTTTACACTCCCTGATGAAGTGATCAAACAGTCTTCCTATTTGGACATCTATAAAATGGATTATTATTTTTCAGGACTACAAGCGGCGACGAGACTTGCGTCACATCGATATCTGTAGTGTTGATCCACCAGGATGTACAGACATAGACGATGCTCTTCACTGTCGTGAGCTAGAAAACGGAAACCTTGAGGTCAGTTGTGTCCTACACATACTGTAAAATGACTGTAGATAAAGTCCTTAGTAATGAAGAGAAATTTTGGTGGTATTCTAGTGAAGAAAACTTTGAGGAAATACAGATTAATGTTGAAATGACTAATATAACTTTTTGTAGTTTTCATTGAAAATGGGATAACAGAATTGGATGATCAGGGATTGTATTAGGGAGGTTTCATTGTAGTGAAAGTTTTGGGTTTCTGTATTACTAGATTGGTGTTCACATAGCAGATGTGTCTCACTTCATCAGACCAGGGACGGCCATCGACAAGGAAGCCGCTGAGCGTGGCACCACTGTCTACCTCACAGACAGGGTAAGCACATAGAAACCAGTGTCAAAACCATGAAAATGCCAGCTCAAATAATCTGGAAATCATTCAAATCCTTAAATTTTCAAAAACATAACTGTCACCTGTAAATCGATTTCTGACTTAAATGTTTTTGCTGAAACTAGAGTTTTTGAATTTAAAAAAAATAATTGATGCAGTGAAGGTGTTGTTTTATAAGATTTCCCTGTAGCTGTGCACTTCAGTCTTCACAGAAAAGTCAAAAGAAGGGTGAGAACAGGACCAGTACAAAAAAGGTCTGTCCTTTAATAAGGCATCACTGTCAATGATGTAAACTATTTCAGAGGGAAGGAAGGTTAGAAAGGTCATATCATAGTTGTGTACTTATCAGTGAAAATAGAACCAACAACGAAATAAAAATAGTTAAGCAGCTAGTTAAAATAAAAAAACGATTCCATTTTTTTTTGTAACAGCGGATTGACATGGTACCCGAACTCCTCAGTTCCAATTTGTGTTCCCTCAGGTCCAACGTGGAAAGGTACAGTAACTTATGTCACTGTCATTATCATCCCCTTTGTTCTAGTTGTCTCAATTGATAAATTTTAAGAAACTGTTTATAAAATGAAACTAAGTTTGAGGAGAAGATCAGATAGGAATCCTTCTACAGATTTTTATGTACCAAGTGAAACCATTAGATATATTCCTTTGTGTGACACAATATATCAGTCAGATTAACCTGTCTATTCCAACACCCTGTAAGGCACATCAAATGTTTTAGAATTACCTGTCTAATCTGACACCCATTGGTATAATTCATTGGTCAAATTAACCTGTACTGTCTTACACCACATGAGACACAACATGATGTCAGCTTAGACAGGATGTCAGAAAAGTCAGGAGTCAGATTCAACAGATTTTACAATAATATAAATTTTGAGATCACTACAGAGAACTTCTCGGAAGAATCTTCTTTGACATGCCTTGATAGATTGTGCAAGTAAGAAGATAATGAAATAAGTTCAAATGCACATTTCGGAGGGCCACAGCAATGATCATGGTATATTTTTTTTTTCATGTTTCAGATTTGCATTTTCAATTTTGTGGGAAATGACACATGACGCTGATGTTGTAGGGACGAGTTTCACGAAGAGTGTAATTAAATCGAAGGTAAGGAAGTAGGGCCAGAACCTTCAAACTAGGTTTTATAAAAACACTGTCAAGGCATACAGAGGTTAGGAAGGTCAGGACAGTAAGCCCATGGTAAGGAAGTAGGGCCAGAACCTTCAAACCAAGTTTTATAAAAACACTGCCAAGGCATACAGAGGTTAGGAAGGTCAGGACAATAAGTCCAAGGTAAGGAAGTAGGGCCAGAACCTTCAAACTAAGTTTTATAAAAACACTGCCAAGGCATACAGAGGTTAGGAAGGTCAGGACAATAAGTCCAAGGTAAGGAAGTAGGGCCAGAACCTTCAAACTAAGTTTTATAAAAACACTGCCAAGGCAAACAGAGGTTAGGAAGGTCAGGACAATAAGCCCAAGGTAAGAAAGAAGGGCCAGAACCTTCAAACTAAGTTTTATAAAAACACTGTCAAGGCAAAAAATCAGGCATACATAAATATAAGGAAAGGCAGGGGACAGGGACAATGCATGTATTCAAAATTGAAATAGTTGAAAAATAGAACAAGTCCCTTTGTATGGTTTATTGTACTTCATCACTGGCTTAGCCAGCACAACATGATGTTGGCCTTCATTTGTTCCTGTCAGTTATAACAGGGGTTTTCTGTCTGTTTTACTGAGGTTGTCTGTTTGTTTTAACATGGTTTCCTCCGTTTGTTTTAACCATGCAGGCAGCCTTTACTTACGCAGAGGCACAGATGAAAATTGACGATACTGCACAGAATGACTCGCTCACTAGAAGTCTACGCCACCTTAACAGACTAGCCAAGATCTTAAAACAGAGGAGGGTTGATGCTGGGTAATTTTCAATGCATATTTCAGCACTAATTATTGTAAATACAAATACAAAGCAACTCATATCAACCTGCAACATAACTGGAGACTTATCTTTACAATGAGATTCTTTCAAATGCACAAAAAAATCCTAAAGGTTATGCCAGAAAATGTTGAAGAATATTCAACTATCATAATGGTATACAGCCCACGATATCTTCAAGTCCATGTCCAAGTAAGGCCTCATTTTAGACAAGTCTTTAAGCCTGTGTTTGAGGTTTCTCTACCACTGTTATACTGGAGTGTAACTTTTTTTTATTGCTTGCTGGTATTAAGATAATATGGCTAAGAATCTGCAAGTAAATTGATTTCATAGAAAGATCTTTTTGTTACACATTCTGTCTGTCCACTACAGAGCACTGACCCTGGCTTCTCCTGAAATCCGTTTCCACATTGACAGTGAGACACATGAACCTATTGATGTCCAGGCCAAGCAGATCATGTAAGTACTCAGCTCATCTAGCCCATCAAGCCCCTGTCACAAAATGGAAGGGACATACAGCGTTTGCTTTTTCCCTCAGTCTGTACAGCATCTTTTGGTTATTTTAGTTGTTCATTTATGAAATAAGGTTGGACCTAGTAATCTGATGCTGCTATTAAACCAAATTTGCTCTAAAACTTCATTGGGGGAGGGTAATCATTTCCTAAATAAATGAGGTTGGTTCGACCCCTGAGGCCAGGGGGACGGGGCCCTGAAGAGGAACTTAAGTAAATTTGCTTTAAAACACATCTCCTCTATAACACCAGAGAGGATTTCAACCAAATTTAGTCTGAAGCATCAGAAGGGAAGGGCAATCATTTCTTAAATAAATGAGGTGTGTTCGACCACTGAGGCCAGGGGGGTAGAGCCCTGAAGGGGAACTTAGCTAAATTTGCTTTAAAACGCATCTCCTCCTAAACGCCAGAGAAGATTTCAACCAAATTCAGTATGAAGCATTAGTAAGGGAGTGCAATCATTTCTTAAATAAATGAGGTTTGTTTGACCTCTGAGGCTAGGGGGGCAGGGCCCTGAAGGGGAGCTTAGCTAAATTTTCTTTAAAACGCATCTCCTCCTTAACCCAAATTTGCTCCGAAACTTCATTGGGGGATGGCAATTATTTCCTAAATAAATGAGGTTGGTTCAACCGCTGAGGCCAGGGGGCGGGGCCCTGAAGGGTAACTTAGCTAAATTTGCTTTAAAACGCATTTCCTCCTAAATGCCAGAGACGATTTTAACCAAATTTGCTCTGAAACTTCATTGGGGGAGGGCAATCATTTCCTAAATAAATGAGGCTGGTTCAACCCCTGGGGCTATGAAGGCTGGGCCCCAAAGGGGTAAATTAAGTCTGAAGCATCAGTAGGGGAGGGCAATCATTTCTTAATTAAATGAGGTTGGTTCGACCCCTGAGGCCAGGGGGGCAGGGCCCTGAAAGGGAACTTAGCTAAAATGTTGCTTTAAAACGCATCTCCTCCTAAAACCTAAAAACCAGAGACAGTTTTAACCAAATTTGCTCTGAAACTTCATTGGGGGAGGGCAATCATTTCCTAAATATATGAGGCTGGTTCGACCCCTGGGGCTAGGAAGACCGGGCCCCAAAGAGAAAAAATATCTAATATTTTGCTTTAAGACGCTAAAACCCCCAAATTGCCTGAGTGGATTGTACAAAATTTGACCAAAAACATTATTGAGGTAGAACAAACATTTCTTAATTGAATCAGGTTGATTTGACCCCTGCGGTCCTAAGCAATGGTACAGCTAGATTATCATATTCTATGGTGTAGTTTTCATAAATTGTTAAAAATTGGTTCTTTGGTCAGGCTCAGCAATTAAATCAGGAGCTGGAGAATATGAATGTTTTCATACATTTTCTGTTTATGATATTTATTTTTAATTTATGAGGTTCAATGTTATCTTGATATTCCTTGCAGGGAAACCAACTCCATGGTAGAGGAGTTCATGTTACTAGCGAATGTGGCTTCCGCCAAGAAGACATTGGAGGAGTTCCCGGACTGTGCGTGTCTGAGGCGACATCCTGCTCCGCCTCCTTCCAACTTTGAGCCTGTCATCAAAGCTGCATTGTCAAAGGTAAACTAGCAAATGTTATGTGGTATTTCTTTATAAACTTTGAGTCTTACATGACTCTCAACATTATTAATTTCTGTTAACCTAGCAGTGGATACAGCTTGAAAGATACAATTATTTTGAGACATGTGTACCACTGTCATAACATTTTCATGGTTGCAAGCAATTCCCCTAACCCTAAGTCTTTCAATTTCCTTTAAAAATCGTAGGGGTTTTATTGGCTCATTTTTCGGCCTTCCATCATCAGATGGAGAGCTTTTCAAGTCGCCTTTCATCTGTGGTCCATCTTTGAACAATTGTGGTTTTTCAATATTTCTCTTGTTACTGAACTAGTATTTCCTAAAGTATAAAAGTTCCTGTCGGAACATAGTGATAAAACATCATTTTTGTTTGTGATTTTGAAGAAATATTTGGCTGTAAGGCATCAAGCTTGAATTTCAAGATCAGTTTGTTATCACAATTTACCAGAAAATAATCTACAGATCTTTCTTAAATATTGTACACAGTTCCCCTTGGTTCCTAGTTGTGCAATACCTTTACTGCTTGTGAGTAGGAAGAAAATTATAACTTCCGGGCAGCCATGTTGGATTTTAGGTTTGAAGTTTGTTATGGCTGTTTTGGAGAGAGTGCTGGAAAGATCTTTCTGAACATTTTTGTACATGTATTGTTTTAAATTTTACCAGATAAATACAGTGTAGTTGCATGGGTTTTAAATGATTCCAAGTAAAATTGAATTCTTTTGAATGGACTTTTCTAGGGAAATGTAACATTTGAAATCAGACAGTCTCAGAATTATTCAAATCATAATTATCCTACATCTAAAGAGACGACACTTCTTTTTAACTCATTCAAACATTGTATGTGGATTTTTGTTACACTATTGAACAATATAAATGTTTAATGGTGCATATATTGAAATGTTATGAAAGATAACCTTTTAGAGAAAGTTTCTGACAGCAGAGAAACTAAAAGGTTGTGATATATTACAGGGATTTAATATAGATGTATCTAAAGGGAAGGCGCTGGCTGACAGTTTGCAGAGTGCCGTTGTTCCATCAGACCCGTATTTCAACACAATGCTGCGGATCATGACCACACGTTGTATGATGCAGGCTGTCTACTTCTGCAGTGGAATGATACCAGAAACGGAGTATTTTCACTATGGTCTTGCAGCCGGTATCTACACCCATTTCACATCTCCTATTAGGAGGTACGTGTTCTTAACACCAACAGAACTTACATATATTTGACAGTGCTACTATATACATCCTGATGTTCTACAATACCAATAAAAACTTAACTATTAATGCCCCAGATCTTTTTGCATGGCAAGGATAAACTTCTTTATATTGATAACTTGCTCATATTTTATACTTATACATTATTTTTTGGCTCACCTGGCACAAAGTGCCTGTGAGCTTGTGTGATATGGTGCAGCGTCCATTATCTGTCTGTCAGCTTTTTTTATTGAATAGCTTCTTCTTAAAAACTGAAAGACCCAGGGTCATAATCTCTAGGTCATAACATCTAGAAAAAGGTGATGGTCCCCACCCTTTCACTACAAATGTGTTTGTTGGGTATGCAGAGACAAATACATCCAAGCTTCCAGGATTAGGAATTGGGTCTGGCCTAAACACACACTGGGAACTTGGTCTCTTGGTCATAACATGGACCTGATTGAGATTCCAACCATATACTTTTAACCATATATTCACATATGTACCTCAAATATATTTGCCATGAACTATAATTCGTCCTTTGGACCTTGGAATTAGCTGTGTAAATGAATAGCATATTACAGCTCTCAAGGGAATTGGCCATTTAAGGCTTTTTCAGTCCTACCCCTCATGAAGTTAACAGTTTATCATAAATGAGTGAAGTTTAGTTCAAAGTATTCTTAGGAACAGGGAGTGAAATGTGACATAAAGCAAGAGTGTTGTTCTCCTGAATTCTGAGTCCAAAATGGGGAACTGAGCTATTTGCGATATCACTTTCAATTGGCCTTTTGTTGTCTTGTCATCTGGTATGAAATAGTTTTGTTACCACACTTATGTTAGCTTATTTCAACCAATTCTGGGCTTTATAGTGCTTTTATCATACACGATTTTGGTACCATATTTGAGTATAGCATTACAGTGAAGAACTTTTAATAGATCCTTAATGGAAAACCTGTTGAAATTCTTGGTTTACAGTCATTACGGCAAGTATTTCAAACAATTAGAAATGCCAAGAAGATTTCAACTAATCTTCTTCCATTAACTGCGACAGAACTCATAGGTATGAGTGTAATTGTAATTAAAACTAATGGTATTAAAATGAAAAAAATATCAGACAGGGGAGTGACTCAGAAATCTTTGTGATAAAATGTTTTGTTGAGATAGATAAATAAGTGTGTGTCTATCCCTTCAACATTGTCCAAGACTAAATTCTTGACTTGGCCTAAAACACCTTTCCTCTCTGATCATATATCATTCTGATTTTAAGATACATTCCAACCTGAACTTGTCAGGTCAATGAAATCTAGATTTCAAGTTTTATAAAGAAAACAATATATCTGGTAAAGGATTAAAAAAGACATTAACTCATTCACCCCTGAATTTCGTAATGAACCATTCCAACCTTTGATTGGGAAGAGTTCAAATGTGTCTCCAGGGGTAAATGAGTTAAGGAGGAGAGCGGGACTAGGAGTGGTGAGGGGGAGGGGGAACTTTCAATTACTTCAAAGTTTTCTTAAACTAGGTTCAGCTGTATCAATTTATAATGTACACTAATTGACGGCCATCTTTGTATTCAGATTCTCAGACATCATTGTACACAGACTGCTGGCCGTGTGTATTGGAGCCGACGCATCCTATCCTAGTCTAACGGAAAAACACAAAACACAGGTACGTCTGCTCAGCTAGTCTAATGGAAAAACACAAAACATAGGTACGTCTGCTCAGCTAGTCTAAAGGAAAAACACAAAACACAGGTACGTCTGCTCAGCTAGTCTAATGGAAAAACACAAAACACAGATCCGTCTGCTCAGCTAGTCTAATGGAAAAACACAAAACACAGGTACGTCTGCTCAGCTAGTCAAACGGAAAAACACAAAACACAGGTACGTCTGCTCAGCTAGTCTAATGGAAAAACACAAAACACAGGTACGTCTGCTCAGCTAGTCTAATGGAAAAACACAAAACACAGGTACATCTGCTCAGCTAGTCTAATGGAAAAACATAAACACCAGTACATGTACAAGTGTATGTTAATATCTCTGTTAAATTTACAAGATTTTCATTTTGAAAAACTGAAGAAAGTAATTAATTTCTCATGTTGATGAGGATTTTGCTTTCAGACCTAGTCTTAGATGCAATATATGTTGACAATGACATAAAGTTCATCACAATTTCACCCCTAATACTATCAAGTGTTTTAATGTAGTATATAGATGATAAATAATATTCCCACCAAACATTATGAGAAACATTCTTTTGACAGGTGGTGTGCAATAATTTAAATTACCGACACAAGATGGCGCAGTATGCTGGCCGAGCCTCCGTCAATCTCCATACACACGTAAGTAATCGCAGCGTAGATTTCAGTTAATTTACAATCAGATCTCGTTTGACAACACATCTGCAGCCAAAACTCACTTTTTCATATACTCAGCTTTCTATACAGTGTAACAACAACATCTATGTCTATATATAGATGTATTATATATATTTGATGAATTTCACGTCACAAGACAAGAATAATGTAAGAGAACTTATACTTTGGCGGACACAAATTCTAGCATATTATCAAATTTTCACAAATTTGCGCTTTGATGCATGTTTCCTGTAGCAATTTAAATGCCCTACACCTTGCGATGAAACTGTAGCTCCCATGATATAGCGCCGTCAAGAAATTACCTTTAGTGCTGACTATTTTTGCTCAGGGGAAAGTCGTATACAGTTAAGGATTGAATCTTGTTTTTGTTCGATTCAAACCCTATATTTCAATTAACGTGTGTTTTTTCAATAATTGGAGCTCGTGAAGTCCATTCTGATAGTTTGTCCCAGGTGCTGGAGCTTGTGCAAGTCTATGTATTGACGTAATGTAAGAAAAAATATAGTCCGTCATTGAAAGACCATCATACAACATGATGGGGTACATTGATATTGCGGCAACTGCACTCATATCTATGAGATCTGCCGCAGTAAATGGAAGAAGAAGAATACAGCCAAATTCTGTAGAACCATATTTTAAATTTCATATTTAATTTTTGTTCATGAATTCATCAGATATCCAATTTTCTGACGCGTTATCGCAGAAGAATAATGTCTAGACGCTGTGCACAGGCTCAGCTGCGAGGTTACGACAGCCATATTTTTACTAGCTCGAAGTGGAGAGCCGCTAAATTTCGAAGTTCTCCAACTCATGGAACATGAAACTGCAGTAATTGAATGTCAAATTATACAGGAAACCAGACTTTATAAACAATAACAAACACGGATTTTTAAGATTTACAGATGTATTATAAAATAAATCACTAAGTATTTACATTACAAAACTGTTCTACACATAATATAATTTACATAGCATAGCAAACACATACTTAACTAGACAAAACATAGAACAAAATCAAACAAACAAATTGCATTTAGGGCTGTCTTGGCTGCTGCATATATATAACAAAATTACCAGCATGAAGGAAGATAAATTCAAGATTCCCTACCAGGTGCAAGTCCTAATCCTATGAACAGGAAAAGGCGGTCCTGGTTAAGGGAAATGAGGTAAGTATTAAAGTTTAGAGCTGGTAGACAATGAACAAATGAAGAAATTGAAATTGAATGAGCAGGTTGTGGCCAGGCGAGGTCCTGAGTCCTCTTGGAGAACCAGGCGAGAGTCCTGTACCACAAAGACTGCTATCATACATAGTTTGGTTACATCGCCAGGCGAGTCCTGAGCCCTACTGAAGAACCAGGCGGAAAATGGTCCTGTACGATGTAAACTGTGTATGACATGTATATGAAATGAATGAAACCCCAATGACTTTGGGGCTAATGGACCGAATTGATTATGCGCAGCATGAGAAAGCCCCAAATAATTGGATAGAGTTGAATATATGCTTAAACTAGTATTAATGACTATGTATACATGTAGATACATCTGCAGAAATGGTGTATACATATGTATGAAAGCTGCATATACTAGTAGAAATTCACTATGACACATGATAAAAGCATGTTAAGGCCTAACAAACCTGTTGATGTTTAAAAAGAAACACAAAAATTAACATAAGTCTGGAAAATGAATGTACAGAGCCATATTTTTACTAGCTCGAAGTGGAGAGCCGCTAAATTTCGAAGTTCTCCAACTCATGGAACATGAAACTGCAGTAATTGAATGTCAAATTATACAGGAAACCAGACGTGGCTTGAAAGGACAAAACAATTTGATATGGCAGTTGACTGTTCGACTGCATTTCATATAAGATCGTTTTTGGTTGTTTGAAAAAATTCTTGTGTAGCTTCAATAAAATGTAAAATCTAATCAAGTGCATGGTATCTTCTTTGTTCAAACAAGTCAATAGTTATCTCCCTTCGCAAAATCATACGCACAGGCAGTGTTAATCTGGTCAAATTCATCGGCAAATGAAACAGATTACATTTGGTAGTTGCATTGAGTCCAACTTAAGTAAGAATTGAAATATTGCAAAATAAGCTTCTTGCTCTGACTGAATATGTGCCACATGTATCATTATAGAGTGCTCTGACGGAAGCCATTAGCATGAGTATGGGAATTAACCTCGCGAGTAGTTAATCAAGTTTCTTTAAAGTTTCATTGCAGGACTATTTAAAAAATAACACCACCTCATATACACAATGCTTTTTCTTTCATAGATTTTTTTCAAAAACCGCACCACAAATGAAGAGGGTTATGTACTGTTTGTGAGACAGAATGCCTTACAGGTGCTCATACCAAAGTACGGCTTGGAGGGCACCTTATATCTGAGCGACGGCAAAACCAAATCCAAACCTCGCTTTACATACAACGAAGAGGTAAACATTTAACTAATATGAAGATCATAGGCTTTATATGCAGTCTGTATTATTTGTATATGAAATTCTTTTAATCAACCTTCTCCAATTAGACGTGAAAAGGTATAGGATCACCTGTCGACCATGTGTGTTTTCTTCGGGTACCCTGGTTTCCTCACACATTAAGACCCCTTGCATGTTTATATCCAGGCTCACAAGAGTGACTTATACGATACATATATGATAATATATATAACTTGAATCATGACTGTTGTAAAATAATATCAAGTTTATATTAAATCAAACTTAAATTTTAGACCATCCAATCTTTTTTTTTATGATATTGAGTATTGCCAATTTTTCTCACTGTTTATTTGGAATAAATATTTTAAATTAAGAGTCGGACAGAACATGAGAGACCTTTAAATTGGAATCAATATGGTGGTATTTATCAGAAGGCAAAAGAATCATCCTTTTATTACGCCTTCATTTTGAACTTCAAGGATAGCTGCTAAAGTCCTAATATGATGATTTCTACTGACTGTTTCTAGGCCAACACACAGACCTGTGGGAGTGTGACGTTCCATGTATTTGACCAGGTCATCATCGAACTCAGTATCGACCAGTCCAATGTCCAACACCTAAAGCTCTGTCTGAAGCTGGTCAAGCCAGAGGTAGGTCATCATACCTCCAGATTATCATATATATCATTTATTACCTGTAATAGGTAAATGTTCCTGATTAAGCCTCACACTTTTTTTAGGCCTGCTGTATCCAACTGCATGTTCTAAGAAGTGACTAATATATTGGGATTCATTTTTTCCATTATCATGTGTTCTCCCCGGCAGAATAGAGGTTTCATTGATGACACCAGATTTGATCTACTCTCCCATTTATAACATTTGGGATCTGTATCTTTTTCGTTTTTACTCTTACCCACTCTTTCCTTTTGGAATTATCTCCATATGCCACCATCTTCATATAATTTATGGGTGGATTGGTCGAGGGGCTAACACTTTGGCCTTCCACACAGGCGGCCGAGGTTTGATCCCCGAAGTCGTGGTACGCATGGAATATTCAGAGAAAGTGTTTTTCTCCTGCCCACACAACTCCAACAACCCGGGTGGAGTATGAAATGGTCTGGGGTAAATGTTGCGGTATCTGTGCTGTAGCATTCAAGTGAGGTGGCACTATAAATGATACCGTTGGAAGCACAGTCTGTCTACAAACAGAACATATTACATCTCCAGCACACACGCAGGCATACACGCACTGGGTGATATTAGCCAGGTGGCATAGGACTAGTAGTTAGCGCCTGATAAGGCAGCTCCTTATATTAATTATATGCTAATTAACTTGATTGTATTAATTGTATATCTGTGTACTACTGTAAAGTGCTTTAGAGTAGCTCAGGTTAGCTAGATAGGGCGCTATATTAAATGTTGTATATTATATAATTATAACCCTAGTTGTGGCAAAGACATTAAACTCTGATTAAAAGAAAACCTTTTTCTAACCCCAGTACCATATCTGAAGCCCCTATACCACATCTATATCAATTGCTGTTCCCACTTGGTGAAACTAGTCAACACTTCTAATAAACTACATGAACGACCAGCTCCTGTTATAATTGAATCTATGACCTAATTATTGATAATTGGGTAGTCGGGTGGTGCAGTGGATAGTTCACTTGCTTTTCACCAAGGCGGCCGGGGTTCAATTCCCTGATCGGACGTGAAAAGGTACTGGATCGCCTACCTGATCGCGTGGGTTTTCTCCATGTACTCCTGTTTTCTCACACATTAAGACCCCCAACGCGCTAACATCTGGGCCAACAAGAGTGATTAAAACAAGTTGAAATAACTTGTTTCATTGTTGTTATAAAATAAATAAAGTTTATATAATTATTGAATTATTGATGACATTTTAGTAAAAACATAAATTGATGTACATTCCAAATGTTGACATTATTTTACAATCTGTTGTGTACAGTGCTAAGTTTGTGTTTATAGATACCAGGATTCAGTGTACCAGCGCACAGCAGCGAGGACAGTGAACCTCCGAAGAAAAAACAAAAAAAAGGCCAGACCAAGAAATGAACCCTGAGCAACTCTTGTGAACAGTTAACTAACACAGAAAAAAAGGACAGACCAAAAATGAATCCTGGGCAACTCTTGTGAGCAACAAACTAACACAGAAATAATAATGAATCTGTCAAATTAAAACCTGAACTGATAAAAAGGACTTGATCAGAAATATTTTCTCCACGCTAAACAATCAACCAGGAAAAGAAAAATTGCAAGGGAAAAATATCCAACTGAAGGAAATCGTTCTTGAAGAAAATGACATTTTTTTGTCAGAGCCAAAAATAATGTTCACATGGATTTAACTTTCAAGTACAATATGATTTATTCAAGAAGGACATGGATATACATGTATTTTGTTGATGAAGATTGAACAATCTTTGAATGCAAGGTCTACATTTAATGTTATATATATATTGTTAATAGTAACAAAAAGTATTAAATTGGAAAATCAGATTTCCTGTTTTGTTTATTTTATTGATGACATTGTTAAGTTCAACTATTATTTGTTAACAATAGCTGACAGGAGACCAATTATTTATGAGAAATCCAATTTATAGTAATTTTATGTCGTATGTATGAATAAATATACATGATGGTACATTTGAATTTATGATCGATGCATAACAAGAATGTGTGTCAAGGATTCCAGTACCACGGCCAAAAACTCATTCTACTTGGGAAACATGAGTATAGCTTTGATAAATCATTTCTGAAAAGAAAACCATACTTTGCAGGACTTTTATTAAAATATGATAAGGATAAAATAAACAGAATCAATATGATCAATAATAGGGTTCTAAGTGTCAGGACCAGACTGGGGTTTGAATCCGGTTGTATTCCAGATTGTTATGCTGTACTACCACTGTAACCGACTGAACAACCTGGCAAATAGAAGCGTTTTATCCAAGCTGCGATACTGTGGTTTTCCAAAATGATATTAAGGGGAGGTCACTGTAAATACAAGAAAACAAAAGGCAGCAATACAGGGATCCTTTAAATAAACACTACACACAAAATAAATTATCTACAGTAGCCAAAGTGATTTGTGATTTTACAAAGCGTTCAGTTTTAGCTCACCTGCACAAAGGACAAAAATGAGCTTATGCAATGGGGTAGTTTTCACTGTCCATCAAGCTTTATTTTTTTTCTTTAAAAAATATTTTAACAAAGAGGTCTAGGTCAACGATATTTTACCATTAGCATGCCAAGTTCAAGGGCTATCAAGTTTGACCTTAGCACACTTTCAAGCCCACATGAATCAAATGAATTGTGTACCACATTTGAAACACTTCTCAATTACCAAAAAGCCTAGGGTCATGATATATGTCCAGTAGCATGCTGGGATGAGGTCAAACAATTGTGTTAAATTTGTATCAATGGCCTTGACCCACGTACAATTCTTTTGAATACCCAAAGAGGCCTAGGAATATAATATCTGGAAAGTAGCATGGTAGGATAAAGGGCTATCAGGTTTGTTCAAATAAATGACCTTGATTGGCCAACTTTCAAGGTCAAAGGGGCGAAATATATTAACACTTTTAACCCTTTCACCCCTATGTAACTTCAGTAAACTCTTCCATGCATTGATTTGGATGAGTCCATTATGGTCTACAGTGGTGAAAGGGTTAAACATCTTCTTTTGAAGAAGCAAAAGGCCAAGAGTCCTGATATTTGGTCTATATATTGTAGGGAATGAGGGCTATCAAACTTATTCAAATAAATGATTTAGATTTACTTTGATGGTTGCATGAGTAATACAAATTCTTCCATGAAAGATTCATAAGGAGTGAGTTATGCTATTTAGCCTGTGTAGTGTTAGTTTACATGCTTGATGTTGACCAACTTTGACACATGTGGAAACATGTGGTGTCAGAAGTACCACAACGTCTCTACACAGAGTTAGACAACAGCTCCTAGGTCCAAATATCGGTAAGAAGGTAGAGCAAAAGCATTCATGTGTTGTCTGTTAGATATCGGGATGTAAAGAGACTGCATGAGACGTCACATCAATGTTGGCGGTGCCGTCAGTAATCTAAGGGAGATAACTCTCCCAAAATTCACTACAAATGTAACAGATGTGAGATGCATTTGCTAACGGCTTTGAATAAGAGGTTTCTATTTTAAAAGCACTCTAAATTAAGTCTTATTAACTTATATCAATCATTCTTTTCTTTATATGGGAGGAAACCTGAGTACGCAATGAAACCCATTTTTTAGACAGGTTATTACTCCATATCTTTTCACTTCGAAGCAGGAAGTGATACAGATCAATTCAAATTTTGGGTATAAATCCTGACGGACCTGCAAACGTTTATCCAGGCCTTGCAAGGCTTTGTCAAGGCTCGCCTGAAAGCAGCATCAGATTACTAGGTCCGACATTATTTAATAAACGAACAACTGTGGTCCTACTTGTTGAACCATTTAAACAAAAACAGACCAACTGTCTCTGCAATCTAAAATCTTAAGAGCCTGAATAATGGTGCTGTACTATCTAAAATGTCTGAATAACTATAACCACTGAAACATTAATGTACTAAAATGTCCCAAGAGTTTTGACAAAAACACATTTTTAGCTCATTTGGCTCAGCAAGATAACATCTTTCCATATAACTATCAGGGTATGGGGAGCTCATTTTAAACCAATTATTTAAGAAAATTACCTTTTTTATTGACATTTTAATATAATATACAAATATACAACATTTGATATAGTACCCTATCTAGCGGACATAAGCCACTCTAAAGCGCTTTACAGTACATAGATATACAATTAATACAATTACCATATATATACATGTACATTAATCTATACAATTTTGAGGAATTCGCAGGAGCTGCCTTATCAGACACTTATAACTACTAGTACTATGCCACCTTGCTAATATCTCCCTATGTGTGTATGCCTGCGTGTGTGCTGGAGATGTAATGTGTTCTGTTTGTAGTGGGACCGTGCTTCCAATGGCATCATTTATGGTGCCACCTCACTTGAACGCTACAGCACAGATACTGTAACATCCACCCCAGACCTGGGTTATTGGAGTGTGTGGGCAGGAGGAGAAAAACACTTTCTCTGAATATTCCTTGCGTACAACGACTTTGGGGATTGAACCCCCGACTGACTGCTTGTTTCAGGACCATATTTATTATTTTTAACCTTATCTTTAATGACTAACTGCATGGGGTTGTACCATAGTAACAGGCAGACTCCAATCCTTTTTCAGGCTATCCCATCAATTTTTACAGTCCAATTTGTCTGATGGTTTCCACTCCGGAACTTCATAATTTGTTATTTTACCTTTATTTAACTTTATTTAAGCGACTTTTGGAAAGTTATCCTCTCTTTTGGTCAATATCCTAGCAGGTGTCCTATTATTTACTTGCTTATGGTACCCTTATTTTGAATTGTTCAATTTGTCATGATAAATGAAGCCCAAAGCTATTTTTTTATTTTGATTTTCTCAATTGAAAATGAATATAAAATGCTCTTTTGTTGCATCTTTGCTTCACAGTAACAACAAACATACAAAATAGTTTTGTTCAAAATTTATTAATAGATATCAAATCACGGTGTTCAGATTGTTGTTTCACATATAAATTACACACTATTTACATAATGTTCTTGTGTGTTCAAAATCTCATTCCTGCACATAGCCCGGCGGGTATTGTAACACAACCTGTGAGCTACACTTGGGGACCGGACAACACTTGCCTGCTGGGGGATTCTCCAGTGTACAGAGTCCAGTAGGTAGGTTCCATTTGTAGCATCTATAAAAAAGAAAGATAGAATTAAAACAAAAACAAAATAATTATATTTTCTGGTTCTTCATTTTCCTCATAAAAAAAGAGAAAGCTTTCTTTCAGATTTATCCCCAGTGTTCACCAAAGAATATATTAATATTTACCCGGGATGTATACATAAATTAGGTACATAAAGCATTTTTCATCTTTTTGCATGTTTCACTCTTCTGTACATGTAATTAACAGTATATAAAATATCTCCTCTTTCTACACCTGATTGTATTATCCCTTCAATCCCTATGTAACTTAAGTAGACTCTACCATGCACTGATCTGGATGTGTCATTATGGTCTACAGTGGTGAACGGGTTATACACATGCAGAAAATACTCTCACCTTTCTAAGTGTATACATTAATCCAGCAGTAAGCCCATGGAGCCAACACATCATCGCGGACTCAAAAATAGGAGGATCGACTTTGATTCAGCACAACTATGAATAGCCTTCGTTCGCCTTTCTACACTGAACTTCTACAGATAAAGGCGAGCTTACTGACGAATGAATTCAGTATTGATGATTAATATTCTCACCTGTCTGTACACCTGTATGTCCCTGTTGTTGCATCTTGACAATTACACTTGAAGTCACAGCCATCATTCCACTGTTGACCCTGTCCATACATGTGTCCCTTGTAGTAACAGAAACCTGTCAATAGAAACAGCATTAATACTGGTTAAAGCCAAAGTTGAACCTTACCAAATCAAAGACAGAGCAAGACCAGTTTGTAAATGTAGAGGTAAATGAGTTAAGTGGAAGTCAACTGCACATAGACCATAAACAATTAAGTTACAAGTAAAAGTTTTAGTTGCAAGTAACCATTAATTCACCTGGCCAAATAAATTGATGTCATCACATGGTCTCTGTGTTAACTTCTCCTTTAAATTCATTCTCCTTTTTAATAATAAAACAGTGTCAATTGTATCCAAACAAAATATTCCACAAAACCAGATTTTTTTTGAATTTTTTTTGCTTGGCCAATTGTGTTCCAGATAATTAACAGCTGCCTCGTACTTTTTGAGATAAAAGTTGATACTTGAAATGACTTGACAACATACAGTGTCAGTATAAACAAAAACAATGCACAGTAGCCACTTGATGTGTCAAATACAGGTCACCTGGCAGTCCTGAGAGGCAGGTCAATACATTATGAACTGTTGGTCAAGTTAAGAGTCAGAAGCAACATAATTAAATCGACATCATAAGATAGAAAGAAAAAGAATTATTGTAAAGGCTTACTACATACCTGAACCCTGGCCAGAGCCTGGTAGAGTAAAGTTACCACAGTCGGGTAGGGCACAGCACTCTCCTGGCTTCTTCACTAAAGTACAGCCTTGTGGCAAGTTGGTGAAGGTTGCACACCTACATATACAAGATATGGACTTTAGTTACAACATAAAATTATTTATTTTTACACCGAAACCTGATTCTGCCAACTAAGGGTGTACCTTGTAGCAATAAAAAGAACTGTTGATGGCAATTTTTATATTTAAATCTTTCCCTTCTTCAGCTTAGTAAACTTTGACTGTGTATAAATTAGTATATACAGAATGAAAAAAGGCTTGCAGATGCATACTTGTTTTGAATATTGCACTGATCATGCGCACCATAGCATATGTTCGTTGCCAACTCCATTCATACTACCGTATATGCCGTCAAAATCAAAGGTCAATTCTTATATGTTGACCTTTGTCTGTTTGTCATGGTTAGACTTCAATGATCTTTGTAAGATATATTTATTTTGTATCTTATTATCGGACACAAAACCACTATGTCACAACACCCCTGTATTACCGAACATGTGTATATGGCTGTCTGCCTTTAATCAACATTTTCTATTGATACCAAACATAAGGACACAGTGATATCCAACACAATTTTATGGCCACACAAGTTGTGTGTTTTAAAGCTGGCTCTACTGACACAGGGATTTAATTTTCATGAAATATTAATGACTTACGATTAACATAATGTAGGATCCAGATCAAGATCTATTTTTCGACAAACCAAGATTTATGTTTGCGCTGATAGATTGAAAGTACTCACAAGTTGACACAATTGTATCGTCCAGTGGTTTCATCAACACAGGTACAATTGTATTCACATCCATCCGTCCAGTATTGGCCTTGGCTGTAGATTTTGTTTTTGTAGATACATGCTCTACCTGTGTGTAAAACAGTTAATTCAGTTTAGACATACATCATTTTATCAAATCAGAAAGAATTGGACATACTACATATTGGTAGTTATAACAACATAATAGATTTATACGATGTCCTCTTCCATATGACAAATTTACAGTGTTGGTCTAGTAATTTAATGATGATGAGATTTGTATCATTGTGTTTAATTTAAACAAAAATTGTACATAGCTTAGGGCTCTAGTATTCCATAGGTCACACTTGTCAATTCTTCTTTCTCAGTTGTTTGAAACACAGCAAGTTTCATTATGTGATGATTAAAATGTTTGCATATCAAAACTAACATCACTACCCAAATCGGGACACTTTTCAGATAAATATCAATGCTCTTGATGCCATACTATCAGTTCCAAAAATGTTTGTTAATTTTTCATAAATAGATACTATCCTCATTTCATTTCTATCATAATTTAATCTTTCGGGCGCGTGGTTCTATAAAAAGAACACAGCAGAAAATATGCATAGTTGAAATATTTTAGAGGCAACGAGGGTTCTGATTAAATTTCTTCTCCAAACTTGGATTAAGTTTTGATGAAATAAGACTTTTGAAAATGATATCCAAATAAATAGCGTCGAACGGTACTTAGATCAGGAAAGTCTTGTTTTAGTATTTATTCTTACCTTTAAATTGTCCATGTAACAATAATCAGCAGCCAATAAAGCTTAATACAGTTTGTCATGAAAAGTTCTCATAAAATTACATAAAAGTACTTCTTTGTATTGAATGACAGTTTCTTGGGCCATTTTCCCCCCAAGTGTCCCATTTTGGGTACAGTGACGGTAGTCAAAAAGATGGAATTTACGATATAACAATATGTGACCGATTTATTTTTAACTAAAAATATTTCTTTATGCCAAGAGTTCTCATAAGATATACAGCAGTGTAGAATGAGATGTTTCTTTTTGGGGTTAAAGTGAAAATTTAGGCTGTAATTTCTTGCCTCTATTACAGAATTACACGGTTACTTTCTGCGCCCAACTTGTTCAAGCCTGATTGAATAGCTAACATTTAGTTGTTAAGCACAAGATTTTAAAATGTAGTTTTCAAGAAATGTTTGAAAATTTATATTTATTTGTGTTTCTTGTCTTCATAGAAATATTCTATTCACATAATTAAGCTACCGGTAATCTGAATCTTTTTGAAAAGATATTAGATTAAAAATTTGTGTTTAATTCTTGTTCAGCTGATCAATCTGAACGAAAGGTCTGAATGAGTGAAAGCGGTGGGATTAGCCTAGTTTATTATTTCTAACTACTGTCGAAGAATTGAATTTTTACTTACTCATCTGAGTGAAACCTGAGGGCTGTGTTGACTGCAGAGTGGCACCTGTAAGAAATGGTTTGTTAGCAAGTTTCACATCTGATCAGCACATCATAATTAACTCATTCACCCCTAAAATTTCATAATGATCTATTCCAACCTTTGAACTGGAAGAGTTCAAATGTGTCTTCAGGCTTGAATGAGTTAAAGTCTTATCAAAGATCAAAAATATTTCTACAGTGTATCGTAAATGTACATAATTTTCATATTTATTATTTTTTAAACAATTATTTTTTTCAAAGAGTTGTGTTAGATAACATTTACTCTGAAACTTTAGAAATCAATTCCATATAAGTTCTAACCAATTTTTGTTAAATAACTTACCGGATAATGTAAATACAGTGATATTATACATCACATGTACATCTATCATTGAAGTAAATATCACAATGAACTGTTTATCAGTTACTTCTCCTCGTCCTAAATTCAATTTTAGCTTCAAATGCGTGTGGGTACAGTTACTTACCACAGTTTCCGTGAGCAGTGATGGCAAATACATCTCCGGAGGCAGTAGCTGTGAACACATATTGATATAATATGACCAATCCAAAAAATCCAATGCAGTTTTATAAATACACTGATTATGACTTGAACTCTTCATAACAGAACTACAACATACTGTGAAAATTGAAATCAGTGTGTGGAAATATTGGCATGATGGCTCTATAAACTGATATCAGTGTGGAAAGTTTCCTATTGGCATTGGTTCTGAAATCTGTATATCTATATATCTATGAATTTATATTTACAAGTGGATATTTCCATGCTAATTTATTCAAATTGAAAAACATGACCATTTCCATACCATGAAAAATTCCATTTTCACAGTGTATGTGGGATGGTAATGGGAACTGGCTGGAGTTTCATGATCAATGCTAGGGTGTAATTCCTGGACGTCATTAAACTTACCATTGATTAATCATTAATTCACATAATAAATCCTTCTAATTCCATAAAATAGGACTCAAGTGAAGACAATGTAATCATTTTAATCCCCTGTATAAGATTCTCAATTGTCAAACTCTCAGCAAGCATTAGCCACTACAATTGCTTCAAGATACTGACGTGTAGTATCGCCTTAGCTTTGTTCAAGTATATCCCCTTAACTTTGGACTTAAGTCTATAATAATTGCTTCAAGATGCTTCAGTCTAGTATCTCTTTGTTTTGTTGAAGTATCCTCTTACCTTGTCCCCAATGTAAAGCGGTCTGTCCTGGGGAATACAGGAAAGCGGGTTTGTTACCGGCACTCGCTTCAAATGAGCACCCACTTTGGGTTGCCACCATCATCCAACCGTATGAGTCACAACTGCCGGTGGAGTGGCTGTTCATCGTGAATTCACGCCCACTTGTCATGTCTCTGTTCACAGGACAAACATTTATAAAACTTCATTTTTAAGAAAACATTGATAAAATAGTTTTTCTTTGCTACATTCAAATTAGAATCCATTTCAAAATAAGTGACAGTCCAGTTGCCAACAATGTGACAAAAAATGCGGCACACATGCTGCTTGCTATGAGAGGCCAAATATAAATATTTAGGAGAGATATTGTTTCGAAAGCATCAGCCAATCACATTTCAGGAAGTATTGGTAAACTCAACTCTGGTAAAAATTTGAATATTTTTCTCTTACGTAAATTTACAAAACCATAAAAAGTTTACTGGATTGCCGGACAATGTCCTAAAAGTGACGGGTAATCTGAATTAAGGAAATAATTGTAACCTTCTTAAGTATACACAAACTTATCACCTGCAAACTGAATAGTTTTAAGCTAGACAATAAAATATGGAGTAAAACCCAGGATAGCTTTGATAAGCTAGAGAGCTTATTAATTTTGTTACTAAACCAACAATGAAAAGTTTTATTAAACATCAGATTCATAATTAAGCTACAGCGGTCATAGGACATACTAGTGTACTAACCCCATGAGACTGAATAGTTCTTTGGGAGCATTTCGTATGTCAGTATAGGAAGAGTCGATTATCCTGTCGCGGGTGAACCAGCTGTTCTTGTCAGCACCAACAGCATTGAATGTGATGTAGGCCTTCTCCTGACCACCATTGTAGATTGAAACCTTCACCTGTGTTTACAGCAAAACAAAATATCTAGTTTGTTCATTACTATCACTACATATAATATATAGTTTGTTTTTTTGTTAAAGAAAATGTATATAGGCTTTTCCTATTACACATGGTATTCAACAAATTTAATGTTAGTTTGACAGGAGGGACAAGGGTAGCACAATATGTCCCCATGTTTATGGGAAGTGGGGGCTGGAGGAGCATAGAAAACAATGCAATGCAATGCAATGCAATAAACATGTCATAACATCAATTTTTTACTGTAGACAGAAGATGTCATTTCGTTTTCCCTACTTTAATACTTTATATAGAGTTGAGATCAACCTCATTCTACATATTCTACAGTGATCACTTTGAGGAGGTGAATCTACTTACCTGATCTATACAGAGGTCATTCCAGTGGTCACTCAGACTGGGTTTGTAGTGTCCAGGGAACTGGTTGGTCAGATACATGGCCTGGGGCACGTTTTCATTGTAGCCTCCGGGACGGTTCCAGATTGTGAAGAGGTCACCTGGTGCACCAGCCACACCCTTCAGCACAGTGAACCAGCCTATTAACGTCAAATGATAACATAATTATGTACAAAATATTTTGTAATATGTATGTACTGATATATCAAGGGAGACTTTGTATTGTCAATACACAGATATTGCTATTAACAATGGCTGACGTAGATATTACCAGTCCATTTATGTCACTTACCCTGAGGAGGTAGAGCGTTGATGACTATAGGCTGGGACACAATACCAGTTCCAGCTGTAGTACAGAATAAAAACAAAATGAATTTCAGATTGACGCAAGTACAAAATATTATTTCTCTCTACAATGTTCTGTCCCCAGTTTGACTTTTTAAAATTATTTTCATTATAAGTAGCTACATGTATATAAGCTAGAGTACGGAATAGATTTTACATTTAGATTTTGGTAAGTACGAAATACTATATTTTTACAATGTTTTCGCCCACTTTGATTCCCTTTCTTCTTTTCACGGTAAGTAGCCACATTTAATACTTCCTATGGAGCAAATATATCTTTGCATAACATCAGGCTTTCAGAGAAGGAACAAATGACAGACGGCTTCAATAAATGTTTAACTGATTTATATGGTGAATGAAGTGAATTCTTTTAAAGAACCGTTTGGATCATGATAAACAAATGTGGCCTAGACCTCAAAGTTGACCATGGATACTGGCATACTTACTACAGAATCGACAGAACTTGGGGCAGTTTTCGTGGGCCCAGGTTGTATACCTCGAGTCTTGACAGGTGGATGCATCATAGTTCTGGCAGTTACTCAGCTTGTCTACACACTGACCAGTAGATGGGGCCTGAGTGAAAGGAGGTGATGTGACTACAGAGCCAGTACCTGGAAGTAGAAATCAAGGGCAGATAATTAATTTGTACCAACTGACTTTGAAGTGACCACAGAGATGGAACCATGGGCCTGTTAGTTTATGCAGAACAACTGGTTTGTCTGTTTTTAAATGTAAAATTTCTGGGTATAAATCCTGACGGACTTGAAATCGTTTGTTCAGGCCTTGCAAGCCTTTGTCAAGGTTCCCCTGAAAACTCAAACAGATTATAGATCCGACTTTATTTCATAAACGAACAACTCTGGTCCAACCTGTTCAACTGTTTGGATTGCGATAAACAAAGTGGCCCTGGAAGCATAAATAACAGATAACTAGTTTGTACTCCACAGAAAATGTTCAAACAACTACTGTGGTTCAGTGGTGATGAAGCTGAAACTAGGAGCGAAAAAGAGAATAATGCCCACAATACCCCTAACCATTCCTCGATCCATGAAAAATAAAATTAAGCTAACTTTTATTTTAGGAACAGCTACCTTGACCTTTAATTGATTATGCCTCTTTTCAAACTGAAGGTATGTTGAAGATTCACATCTTGGATGTTGGAGGGAAACATAGCTGTCATGACGTGTCACTGAAATCTGTCAGGAAATATGGCCACTAGGGTGATGACAAGGAGTGTCACTGTGAATTTATTTTTTTACTTAAAGTGACCTTGACCTTTTACCATCACTACCGCTTTTTCAGCTTGTAAAGATTATTGATTTGTATAATTTATTTAAACTCTAATAAATCAAATCTGTTACATATCATTTCAATCGGTTGCATAGCTGTCAACCCTCCCTCATTAGGAGGGAGACTTCCTCAATTTGACAAAAACTTACCAATCTCCCTCTAAACTCCCTCCCTCGATCAAGTCCAAACTCACAAAAACTCAAAATTTACATCCTGTGGTCAAATGATCTCCTAGTTACTGCAGGGTGGTTGTAATGATCATAACAGGTGTGTCCGAATTAAATGAATACATTTTGGAGTTATTTTAATGCATAAAAAGGGGCAGATAAATTGAACAAAGCAGTTTCAGTCATGTTTCACACACTTTCTCCCTCATTGGAAATGTAGAATGAAGGAGATGTCCCTCATTGGAGGTTTCTGAGGTTGACACCTTTGCGGTTATATTTTTAATGATAATAAACTACTAACCAGTACCAGTACCAGTACCAGTACCAGTTCCTGTTCCTGTACCAGTTCCTGTACACAGATTACAGTATTTGATACAGTTGTCCATGGCCCAGGGTTTGTAGATTCCAGTACAGGCCGATTGTCCATAGTCTACACAGTTGTTGACCTTGTCTGCACATCTGGGAGGTGCGGAGGTGACGGTGGTAGCTGTTCAACATGTCAAGTTTTGTATTAACAATCTGTCCTGACCATGAGGCTGCTTTAATTTAGTGTTGGGAATCACATAAATCACCATGATTTAGAACATGTTTGTTGCTTGAAATTGTAAAGTGACAATTTGAAGATGAAACATATAAATATTGATGAAAAACACAAAAAATAATAGGATATGTTATACCTTTGCCATTCATTGGGGGAAAAAAATCGGTTAAAAAGTGTAGATCACTTTATACTAATTATGTATGTAGTATTTGTTTCTTTTTGTAGATGCAGACTTTACTTACTACAGAAGCCACAATATTTGTTGCAGTTCTTGTGAGCCCAGGCCTGATAGTTTGAGCCACATGCACTCATTCCATACATGGCACAGTTGTCAATTAAGTCATAGCAGTTGGGGTCAAGGTGAGGGTGGGGGACAGGGGTCGGCTGGAATGGAGCACGAGGGGTCGTGGGAATTCCTGAGGTGTCACAGCGGATCTCCTGGCAACACTGGCCGGGGACATCGTACATCTTACACACAGGTGGAATACTGGTGTACGTGGGACATCTGAAACAAACAGGGTTAAAAATAACAGTGGTGTATGTGAAAATCATTCCCACCAACCCCGATGGTTTTAGGTATAATTTCTGAAGGTTTTGAGATTGAAAGCCTGTGGACAATCAGCTCAGTACGAAGCATTTCAGTTTGCAATTTCCATAATCTTTCATTAAGCAGTTTTATAAAGCTTTCGAACGGTTCAAATCTATCGAAGACATTAACAGACATTTCCCGACTAACATAAAAGAACTTATCCAGATAACTGTTTACTTATCCAGATAACTGTTTCAACAAAGATATTTCCCAATGGTTTTGCTTAATCTAGCAGACAAATAAACCAGTACAAAATGAACTCCAGACAACTTATTCCCACATGTTATCCCTTTGACAATTTGCCACTTTTGTAAAAATATAAGTTGTTGAAAAGAAATGAAACTTATTTCCACATGCAGAACCTAATACAACAATTCCATGACAACATCTCTTCAGACATTTTAGAATATTATGTTTTGTTGTTTCACTGAATTTTTTCACATAGTTTCAGTGACGGATCAGGTGCCTTCTTCAAGTATTAGACTTGAACATTCATCTATTCTCATAGAAATTGTTGCTCAATACGTCAGCCTGCTATATGTGAACTAGACATATCCTACGAGACTTACTGGGCATAGCAGGTGTACTGCCCACCATTGGAGTTAGTACATGAGCAGTGGTAGTCACAGCCATCATCCCACTTCTGTCCCTGGGTGTAGAGAGTACCCTTGTAGACACAGCCAGCTGTCAACACACAGACAACCACGGGTAAGCAAGTGTTTGTCATTGATTTATGAATTAGCTATAACTTTTATGAAATACATTTATAAATTAATAAAAAAGTAATAACTGGGGGAAAATTCTCTGAAGGAAGCCTAGCAGACATAGATATGAATGCTGTGGCATGGCACCAAAGTTGAAAGCCTGGTGCACAGATTTCCAGGCACATCTATTTCCCAGTATCATGTAATAAGCCCAGGGGACCAACACTTAATCTCTGACTCAAAGTAAAGAGTAGGCTTGAGCTTATCACAGAAAAATTCTATTGCATTGTTTTCAGTCCTACTACTGCAATAGATATGTATGGACTTATTACCAGGTATGGTCATGTTATTAAATAAATACTGTCAGGCAAAAGCATGCTATTAAAGGTGTGAAATACAGCTTACGAGTGGAGCCACTAACGGAGGTTCCCTGGCCTGGAGTGTAGGAAGGCTTGAAGCCGGTGAATCCACCGGGATAAGAGCCATACACAGGGTAGGGGGTCTTGCCAGTAAGTGGGTTGACTTGTGACCCGTCTGGGTTACTACACATTGGCTGTGCACAGCACTGATTAGCAGCTCGTACCATGAAACACTGGCTTGGTAATTTGTCATACACAGGACATCTGAAACACATTCCTTGTTACTTTATATCATACATTGGTTAATCATTCAGTATACATTTAGGTATTTATTTCAAAAATGAATCAACAAGGAAATTCTAAAACAACACAACATCCTGATTACTTAAAACCAATTTCTTGGTTATAACTTAATATACATTTTTGATTAAATTCCAGAAGATTGGTTTTGGTTCAGTTTGGTTCTATTTTGTTTAATGTCCTATTAACAGCTAAGGTCATTTAAGGACATGCCTCCATTTGTGTAATATATACGTGCATGTGTGCATGTGTGCTGGAGACGGTATGTTGGTGTGATTGCCTTCTTGTGATAGCGCGGATCTGATGCCGACCTTATAGTGCTGTCTCACTGAAATACCATAACCCATTAAAAAACAAAACAAAAGTATCATTCCTCATTTATAATGTAGTAGTTATTATTTAGTGAACATTTTCATTTTAATTCCTAGTAAAGAGAATCCAAAATTCACAAATATGCATATATGTAATATAACAATATTAAGGCAAAAAGTGTGAAAAATTTCATCTAACTTTATTCTACTTGACACTTACAAAGGTTTACACTTGTAGTAGCCACTGCGGCCGTCCAGACATTCACAGCTGTAATCACAGCCGTCGTTCCACGTGTTACCCTGGTTGTACAGCTTGTTCTTGTAGATACAGTATTCTGTATGACAAATTGTAAACAAGTCTCTGTTAAATTACTCTTGTAGATACAGTATTCTATATGCCAGATTGTATACAAGTCTCAGTTAAAATACTCTTGGGAAAGTTTCCCAGTAAACAGTTTCATTCCTGGAAGTGTATCCAGTTTGAACTATCAGGTCATTTTAACATGGGTATAAAAATATTCAGTAAGTTCAGTAAAATTCTGTTAATATGTACCTGTAACTGAGATATCATTGTTGATTTTTTTGAATGGTATTGAAAATATATTGAAAACAATTTACAGCTGCAGAAATAAATCAAACTGGTCAAATGTTTATCTTAAAACGAGTGAGTTTAAGACAACAATGTCATATGAAGAGTAAATTTATAAATATATACAACTTATAGTAATCGCTCTTGTTGGCCCGGATAATGGCACATGCGTCTTAATGTGGGAGGAAACAAGAGTCCCTGGAGAAAACCCATGTGATCCAAGCAGGTGACCCCATATCTTTTCATATCCGGTCGAGGAGAGGGCGTGTTACTTACGAGATGTAGTTCCGGAGAAGCCTGACAAAGGAGTTCCTGGTACAAGGGTCGCTGGGGCAGTGCCTCCATTATTGGTTCCGGCGCCGGGGACCACGATGATGTGAGGGTTACTGTTGGGGGCAGGGGTGGGGATCTGTCCTGGTACGGAGCCAGGGTTGATACTGGGCATGGGGCTGGGGACCAGCTGCGGTGTGGGCGTGTATTTTCCGTAGTCGGGGCTGTTACAGGACAGACTGGGACAACATTGACCTGGCACATTCACATAAGTACAGTACTTCGGGATGGCAGGATAGCTTGGACATCTAAAAGGAATAAGACAAACTCCAGATGATATATACCATATGCTAAAACATGTATCTACTATATAACCTCGAGTGGTAAATATTGAGTGTGTAAAAAAAACAAAAACAAAACCAGGAAGATATTTTTTGTCTCTTTTAGTCTATGAATCTGCAGGGTTTCCATTTTGCATAACCTATGTAATAATCAATAATTATCTTTTTAATAATGTATGGTCCATACAGACATTTAGGACACTTCACTATTATCTTGCAACTTTCCAAATCAAAGTGAAAGGGGTCAATGTAAAGCACAAATTAAAATGAATCACAACAGATGTGAAATAATTATCTTTTTCCAGAAAGAATTCCATTAACAATTTGTTTTAAAACAGTCCTTCATAAAAAGTCTATGAAAAAGTCTTTCAATGAAAAGAATATATGTTAATTGTCACCAGTATTTTGAAAATTCCAGCATTTCCCATGATCCAACTATTTTTTAGCACTTTTCAAGCACTTTTAATGGCTTGTATAGATCAACGAGAAGATACAAATTTGCAGGACTTAAATTTAAGGAAGATAAAATTTCAATGAATTAAACCGAAATAATGCAAGTGAGTAAAAGATAAAATATGAGGCTAAAATATATTTGCATAAAAAATCATGTAATTGTTGTTAAAAAACTACACGTATAAATTACACTATTAAAAAAACTAACGATGCCCAGATACTTACTTGGTTGCACATCTGTAGCGGCCATCTGTTCCGTCCTCACAACTACATACGTATTTACATCCGTCGTCCCAGGATTGGCCCTGGGTATACACCTTGTTGTTGTACACACATCCACCTGTACAGAAGATAATGGCTTCTTGAAAATTGTCGCACTTTCTTTTACAAATGTTTACTATCAGCTTTCATATTTTTGTCATATATTTAATATACCAGGCTCATAAAAAAATATTTTCCATTTTAAGATAATATTAATATGCATAAATATGTTTCTGTAATTGATAATACATGAGTGATGAGGTATAAAATTAATGTTAACATCTATATATATATAATAGACCCCAAGCTTATATTGTGGATGGCGTGAATTACATAAAACACCTACCTCTGCCCCCCCCCCTATAGATAGCAAGCGACATTGGCATAAACCTTGGGACCCTAAAATATGAACTCATTCAAGGTATGCTCATACTTGACAATAAAAATTTGTTGAGAAGTGAAATTTTAAGAGTAAAGACAATGAATCGCGACAGGACAGACATGGGTAACATAATTGCCCCCAGCCCCCTATTAAATCACCAGGGCCATAAAAATCCTGAATTTCAATGTTTTCATTAAGAAACTTTCAGGTGAAAAGTTTGAGTTTCCGACCTTCCAGATCAGTTTTATCACATACTTCTGCCTCCTACATTGTTGCCACCACTGCCTAATGGGGGATGTCCCGTCCCAGTGAAAACATCATGGGTTCCAATGGGTATGATATGTAGCATGTTGGGGGTGAGCGTGGGAGAGGGTGTCGGGGTATTGGACGGCAACAATGGAGTCAGCTGTTGACCATTGGGCGCCGTACAGGCCACCACCTCACAGCACTGGTCCTTGGGATCAGGAGTCAGGGTGCAGAATGATGGAATTGTTGAATAAGACTTGCATCTGTAAGAAAATGTTATAATGAACACAGACCTTAATCCTGTTGATAATAATCTGGTAAAAACACAGCAAAGTGTTGCAAGCAATCAATACTTCCCCACTTCTGTAATCTGAGAACAAGCGTATTAGTAAATAATTATATTCCATATTTAGTTAACCTTCATTTGGCAATTTCTGTGTCATCCATTACAAAAACCTCATCATTTCAGAATTTACTTTTGAATTCAAGTGTGATACAAGTACATGTACAGTATAACGAGTTATTTGGGTGGGTTTAAATTTTCGCAATTTTGACCCAAAATTATAAAATAAAATTTGCACGGATTATAAGATAATGATCTGGACGTGAAGGAACTAAATTTGTTAGCAAATCCTTCAAGCACTGAGATAGGACAGTCAGCATATAAATTGTCAAGTTTTCCAAAGAATACGCTTTATTACAGCACATTGAGCACCAACGAGTAAGTGCGTTTTGTTGAAATAATCATCAACAAAACTATTAGATGCAAGATATAATCTATTTTCAAACATCAGTACTCTTTATGTATATTGTTATATTATTGGGGATCATGTTTTTGTGATCAGGTAATTGACCCGCCAAATCGCGAAAAAATATTATCTCTGAAGAACTATCCTGCTGTACAGTATTTTTCTGTCTAGATTGTAAGGATGATTCTTTGCTCCAATTTTTATCTTGAATTACAATACATTTGTTTTGGTGTGCAAAATATTCGAGTAGAAACTTTATATCAGATTTTCAGCCTCAAAAAGTACCTGCGCAAATTACACGGGTTTTTACGGTAGTTGAAAATGACGAGGTTGTTTTACTACACAAAACAAGTAACTCCTACCTTAACCCTTTAACCACTGTAGACCATACAGGACTCATCCATAGCAATGCATGGTAGAGTCTACTAAAGTTACATAGAGGTGAAAGGGTTAATTAATTATTTTGATGGTTCATAACTCCAGACATTTCTTTTGAAATGGATTTGTTGAGAATGCTGAGATTCCCCTGTACTTACGTAGCCACACATCTGTATGCGTTGGTTGCAGGGCTATCACAGATACACTGATAGTCACATCCATCTCTCCACATCTGTCCCTTGGGGTAGGCATGGCCCTTATACACACATGCAGCTGGAAAAAAAGAGAATGATCAACCAATCAACTTGTGTCAAAATTTTAATTATTTTTATTGATGAAAAAAATTATTATACAATATTATACAATCTTTTTCCCTATGTTATTTTTTTTTCACATTTTTAAGTTATGGTGAAATCTAATCACACCAAACTTAATGCAATTTGGAAAACTATACAAGAAACTCCACCAGATTTTCTTTGAAATCCAAGGGTTCTTCTCTACACCTCTGGAATATAATATCTCATGACAAAATTGAAGGAACACAATCAGCTATTTGATTAGTTTCAGGTATTTTAAGAAGATGAATCATTTGACCTACAGCTGTCCTTTGAAAATGATGTACATCAAAGGATCTAACTAGTTTACCTGTACCACCAACAAGGTACAGAGTCTTCCATTTTGTCACGACATATTTCAATGGTTTAGAGCAGATATGTGTATCAAGAGCCAAACCTTTGAATTTAGACAGTAAAAAAACCATTATGTCAGTTTTCATAATTTCTATTTAATTAGTTGAAGCTGTGTAACCTGAAAGCCATCTACAGTGTCCTGTTTGACAGGGTTTTAATTCCATGTAAACTGAAGAGTTACATTACAACAAATAAGGGGCAATTTGCAAACTGGATGGAATGTATATATATAAATATATCATATAGAAACAAAATATGAGACTGATTGTATATGCCAAAGTAAACACAGTTGCAAGTCTGTGCAAAGATTTCAGTGAAGTTCTGTGCTGCCCACCAGACACAAGGAATACACAATCCGGCCGTAGTAGTAGTTATCAATAGGTAAACATGACCATGACAATGTCGTGCTGGGTTCTGATGACCACACATCTAATGGGTTGAAAATAGTTAATGTAATTTTGATTTAAGCCGGTAAACCCAGCACAATGTTGTCATGGTCATCTTTATCTATTGATAACAGTGTAGTATTATACTTACTTCCTGTTCCAGTTATGGATGTAGTCTGAGCGTTGGGGTTATTACCACCTCCTCCAGTTTGTGGCGGGTTGGTAGCTGGCTGAAGGACAACGGGTGTTCCGGTACCAGTTTGTGGCGGGTTGGTAGCGGGTTGAACGACAATAGGTTTTGTAGGGCTGGGGGTATTATTAGGCTGGGGAATGGCCCCTGGATTGGGGTTGCAGCGGGCCTTTTGACAACACTTGTCATTCGGATCCTGAACGTAGGTACATTGAGGTGGCAGGAAGTAGTACTGTGGACATCTGTAAAGGTCATTTGTTGACATAATTGGAATAACGTTTAAATGATATTATCATACCCTCCAACACTTTGGTGTATATGAAACAAATCACATTGAGATGATTTTAGAAAATACATATGGAGTACAGTTAAATTTTGAGGTTTCAAACTTTGTGAGACTATCAGGAAAAATTCTTAACATCCAGACTTCGACTCACGAATGTTGAACTTACTGCATAAGACCGATTGTGATTTTAAAGTGACAGAATACATTGCAAGAAATGTTATTTGGACTCTATGAATATTTAGTTTAAAGGAATTAGAAAAATTCTTTCATATGTACATGTATATATTGACTGTAGTTTGCATGTTTGGTTGTTAAAGTGACCCCAGGATATTTCCCTGTACTAGCAGCTAATTTACTTTGAGAAATTTGAATCTTTGAATCTCGATTTATGGAAGTTGGCCCCCATTTTTACTTAGAATTTGTTCAATAAATACTCCCATGGGGTAATTTTTGAACTTTTGTAAAATCTCTATATATTTTTCAAAGGATAGATATTTTTCAGACTAAAAACATATACTTAATAATGACTGACTCCTTTCAAGGAGTTCATGAAAAGAAACAAAACACTCGCATATGGAAAATGTTCATTACATGATTTTAAAATACAATGTAACACATTTTGTCCCCCAAAACAAAAAAAACAAAAAAAATGACCTATAGATAGATCATTTTGGTCTGGTGCTTGAACCTTTTTTTATAAATATAAAACACTATTGGAAAGTATGCAAGTCTGATGTATGCACATATCACTACAATAAAATATATTGCATTGTTTTGTTTCAAATATTAACAAGATGGGGTACGAACCTGCCAGTACAGCGATATTGTCCTCTGCCAGCGTCCATACATTCACACTGATATTCACATCCATCGTCCCATTTCTGACCTTGAGTGTACATCTGACCCTTGTAGATACAGATGGCTGTAAACACACAAAATCTTATATCATTTGTTTGACCCAATCAAAATATATTTCCATACAAGCAATGTGTTTTATTCCTGTAAATAAATATTACAAGAAAGTAACAAGAGTTCCGCGAAGCGGTACGTGATATGCCTGTCAGATGTGGAATGAGCAGTTTGCCACAAAGGGCCATAAGTGCATAAATTTTAGAGAGATAAGCGTCAATTCTACAAAGGGCCATAACTGCATAAATAACCAGCAAATAATTTTGGTTATCAAACTTGTCCGAGATTTCATGGCAATGAACCTTCCTACCAAGTTTGAAATGAATCTATTCAAAAGGCCATAACTCCCTTAATAACAGGCAGATAATGGTTATCGAACTTGTGCAAGCTTTCATAGAAATGAACCTTCCTATGAAGTTTGAAATGAATCTATTCAAAATTACTGAAGCTATTGAGCGGAAACCGTTTCGGCAATTCTACAAAGGGCCATTACTGCGTAAATAATTGGCAAATAATTTTGGTTATCGAACTTGTCCGAGCTTTCATGGCAATGAACCATCCTATGAAGTTTGAAATGAATCCATTCAAAATTACTCCAGTTATTCTTTGGTGAAGGAATGCTCCATACCAAATGAGGTTAGATTATCATTTCATCCATAATTATGGAGTAGTCTTTTAAATATTGAACCTTATTAACCAGATTGGAACACTCACTGTCATTCCCAATTGGGCTACTCCCTACACTAATACATTATTATATTATTCTGGCCAAGGGATGCCTCAAAGTAAATAAGGTTTTTTTCACACGTACTTAAAAAGTAATAAGTCTTTGAAAGATATAGCCTCATTTCCCCATTTGTGGGCTGCTACTCTGGCTAGGTGAACTAAAAACACTGCTTGTTTCCAAGTTGTCAGTATGAATAATTAGATACACTTACACCTGGTTCCTGAGCCGCCTGGTACAGGGCCCTGTGGGTTCGGGTTTGATCCTGTGCCTGTGAAACTTCCGGGCTGGACTGGAGTTGGGTAGACATATTGTGGAGCAGGGGTTCCAGTTCCTGATGGGCCTGTTCCAGTCCCCGGGCTTACATTAATAGGATTAGAGCCTGTCTGACTGGTGGGACCAACTGGAGCCAGGACTTGATTGCAGTCAGGGACGAGGCAGCAGCTGTCGCTGGGGTCGGTCTTCAACACGCAGGAGCTAGGCACCTGTGGGTAAGAGGGACAACGGGCATGGCAGGTGTAGTAGCCTGTTGTGGAGTCGTCGCACTGGCACTTCTGGCTACAGCCATCATTCCACTGCTTTCCCTGTGTGTAAGCCACACCCTTGTAAACACAGAACCCAGGTCGGGGCGTTGTTGGGTTAGGGCTTTGAGTATTCATACCGGGCACAATTCCACCTGGTGTTGGGGCAATGTTAGGCTGGGGAGTTGGGATGCCGTTGGGGAATGGGGTTGGGTTGATCAGGTCACAGAACGGCTTCTTACAGCAAGGCTCGCTAGGATCTTGGAGAAGGACACAGCGACTATCCAGGTTAGGGAACTTCGCACACCTGGGATGGAATAAATACAACATATATAGCAAAAATCATGTCATTTATAAAGGGTTGAAATTTTAGACCTTAGATTTATCTTTTTAATTAAATAAGCAATCTCCTAACATAGGGTATTAAAACCCTCTCAACACATACCCTTACATATGAAACCTAGTGTAAAGGGTTAAAACCATTTTTGTCTTGTGAAAGCTCTAGGAGTCAACACAAAAAATATAATTTGCCGACGTATCTACTGAATCGTAATCAATATAGGTGGGCTTATTAGCAGACATGGGCTGGTTAAGTGTCGAGGTAAATGTATATTCACCGAGGGTAAATTTGCCAGTGTTTTTTGTTTGAAATGATTTTTTCTTTTAGAACACTTACAAGCTAATGATAAAATATCAGTTTTTTTTTTAAATACAGTACAGATATTCTTACTAAATGTTCTTCTTTGTAAAACCGTATCACTGACATTAGTGAATATGGTCACTTAATATAAATATGGTTTCGACAGCTGAAAAGGTCAGAAAAATACTTTTTCTCTGTTATCCCGTTTTCCTCTGACAAATGAAAAGTGATATTAAGTGAAATCTACTTAAGTAATGACTTTTCTTACTTCTCCAGACATCTGTACTGTCCAGACATATCGTTCAGACATTCACAAGTGAACTGGCAACCATCGTCCCAGGTGGAACCCTTCGGGTGGACAACTCCCTTGTAGAAACATCCTGCACACAAAATATGATTATGTTACACAACATATCAAAGTAAGGATATTCAGGCAATTGTATTAAATATATTTTACAAGACAGAAAATGTTTAAATAACCTATTCTAGTTTCTCAAAGACATAACATGTTTTTATCCTTGATAATTTATCTTAATAAAAAGATATTCTCATAAGGGTAAAAGACCAAATACCTGACTTGTTGAAGTTTTTACCCTCCACAGTAACTATTATTTCCTTTAAACAGAGTCAATAACTTATACAAAATACTTTCAAGTTTGTTTCTGTATACAAACTTATTTTAGCACACTCAAATTTTAGCGCATGATCAAAATATAACAGATAGCGCATTGATGAATTGCCCCCCCCCCCCCCCAAAAAAAAACCACCCCAATATACTATAGAGAATATACATGAACTTCAGTTGGCACATTGAGCTAAAATAAAATTATTGCTCAAGTATGTTCATTTACAGTACCCCTCTTATTTTTTCAAAATCAGCTTTAACAAGATTTATCTCATAATTTCTTTTTTTCAATTTAAAATCAATAATTAATCAATTTTTGGTAACGCTGCATCCAAAAATAAACATCATGCCTGCCATCATGCATGTCTTGACATACATGATACATGATACAAAGTATCGTAAAATTATTATACCAAAACAGCGATTATCCGTTATATAACATCTATCTGTGTTTACCAACAACAAGCCTCAGGAAACGTGGGAGGTGTTTAATGGGTTTATATTCAGAAAAAAAATATACTTTAAATTCTTCTTTAACCAGGAAGATGCTATCAGCAGCATGCCTGGGAACAGCAACTGTGGGGCTGGATTTGATGCAGGGAACACATTTAAGGAGATGCTGTCAGCAGCATGCTATGGAATAGTGCCTAGGGCAGGACTTATTGCAGGGAAAATATTTAGTATAATTTATATATCCTGGATCCTGACCTCTGGATAACACACACACCCCAAAACAAATATCTGTCCATTTGTACCTACCTTTGCGTGGTGCAGGGGTAGGGTTTACACCAGGAATGGGGGTGACTCCTGGAGCTGGAGTTGGGGTTGGCATATTAGTAGGTACAGGTGCTAGACCAGTGATCACTCCTGGTTTAGGGGTCATTGGGTTAGGGATGAACCCTGGTGTGGGGACGGGACCAGCTGTTGGAATCACCGGACAGCTTGGCTCCTTACAACAGGATGGGTCAGACGGGCTGGGAACCAAGGTACAGGCAGCCGGCACACTGGGGTATCTTGAACACCTATATCAACCAAATCATGTTCAAAGTTTAAAAGAATAGCAAGGATTATTGTCATGCACTGGTCGGTCTTACTGTTTGAGAAGATGAAGGCTCATCTATATCAGTTAGCAAAAGGTTTTGCATATTTGTTTTGTAAAAATGTTTTAACGAAACTAATCCTTGTTGAATTAAACATTCTCTCTTAGGATTCTTTGCTTAGTTCTCATGAAATTTGAAACAAGAAGCAAATTAATAGATGACTATATTTATTATGTATATATTCATTATGGAAGTATAACTTACTGCATCAGTTTTTAAACCCGCCCCTTACATGAAACAACAATAGAAATAACAAACAATCAAATAAAAAATGTAAGCAATATATTATTACAATACCAACACTAGAACAATTGAGTTTTACAATGGCAGTGTATTTGCTTACCTCTCCTGGCATCTATAGTAGCCTGTAGCGGCACTCTCACAGCGACATTTGGCACTACAGCCGTCATACCAAGTCTGGCCCTGATGGTAATTTTGGCCCTTGTACACACACACATCTGGTAATGTTAAACAATGCATGTCAAACAAATATGTCAATAGATGTCAAGAGATCAATCCCCTTTACAAGGATCTCTGTCCTACTGCAGTAGAGTTCCAATGTAGTTTTTCATACTTATCTCCCCTTAATTTGTTTCAGCTATAACTGAAGTCAGGCCGGGTCAGAGAACTTTCACTGATAAGGCAGCTCATTTGGTTAGAGCGATTGATAATGATCAGAGGTCCAGGGTTCAAATCTAGGTCTGGCTCCATTTCATTTTCATGTTCAGAACACTGTTGTTCATCTTTTTGGTCATTTCATGTTCAATTTTTTTTCTTTTTCAAGTTCTGAAAGGTATGGATTTCCTTTCGCAAAATAATTTATCATCTAAACAAAAAATTGGCTACTAGATAGAAAATGTCATTTAGTTAATAGATTTTCATATACAATGCAGATGGTTCATTCTCTAAAAAATTATGAAAACTATAAGCAGTGCTTAAAATGCTCACAGAAACCCTGACATTGTTATACATGATTGTAACTATACTTACTAGGTTGTGGAGCTGGAGTTGGGTTGGGGTTTGGCGTGGCATTTGGATTCGGAGTAGGTTGTCCGTTTGGATTAAGATTGGGGTTAGGGTTGGGGTTAGGGGTTGGCCCTGGTGTGGGGACAGCATTTGGACAGTACACCTTCTGGCAACACTGGTCAGTAGTGTCCTTTACCAAGGTACAGGTGGACGGCAAGGTAGGGATCTTTGGACATCTTGAAAAAATAATCACACCAAAAATAGGTTAATGTATCTTGAAATTCTACAAAAAGAAGTAACTGAACATTCTTTTGGATAAAATAATCAGAATTCTATTGAAATTAATCACACAAGTCTCTAATTAAATATGGTTACTAACTGTAAAGTTTCTTATGACTTAGATTTGCCATAAAGTCTGGCTTATTGAAGGTGTTCGACAAAGCTAGAAATAATTGTATGATGATTTACTACTTGATTACTATGCATACACTGTTAAATCCTCTACCATTATTAGGAGAGTTTATTACAATATCTGAAATCTTGTCTGATACATAAGACAGTGGTATCAGATCACCTGAATTCAGAAAAGAAGGCTTTTATGAATATGCTTCAAACCACTTTTTTTGTGAATATTTGAATTCATATACAAGACATAAAAGTTTCATTCTTTTTCATCTTGTGGTTCCATGGCGATAATTTTTAAAGTCCACTGGTATTGAGTTTGAACCAACTAGTAAAAGTTTGTAAGACATGAATGCCCTTGCCACCATGTGAAATTAGTTTCAGTGTTTGATAATGTTCTTTGATAATGATCTTGAAATCCTGAAAAATATTGGACAGGACAGACATTGGCCACATTATTTGCCCCCCCCCCATTTCATGAAGGGGGCAGAAAATGATATTTGACAGGTAGGTGTTTCTCACCTCTCGGTACACTGGTAGTGGCCAGTACTGCCATCAGTACAGATACACTGGTAGGTACATCCATCATCCCAAGTTTGGCCAGGCTGGTAGACCTTTCCGTTATACAGACACGCATCTACAACAACCAAATAGGTAACCTGAGGAATTCTAACACAAAGTACAAAAGATTCAAGTCAATATTTTATACTGCTCTGCCATATATTCTCAAGCATCTATTCACTCACACATCCTATAATGTTTCTTATTTGAGTTTATGTTATAATATCCACTGCCTAATAATGTAGTGCAATAGTTTAAAGCTATTCAGAATCCCACCGCTGCCACCAAATTTAACGTGCAGGCGGTCAACCATTCAACTACTGACCACACTCAACGTTGCTTAACTAGTGAGCGGGTCCCCGGGTTATACTGCATCACTGGAAAAGCTAACTTGCCAGCAAGGCAGTACTTTCCCCTCAAATTCCTTTGCTGTTACACTAACTCTTCACTAACTGCAAAAACATATTCCATGATTTATGATGTGTTTACTTCCTCCACTTTTTTCAATGACTTCAGATTTGTTTATAGTAGTTACTGAATGTACTGACTAGATTTGCCTGTTGTGCCGGGGTTATTGATGCCTGGTTGGGGCAGGTTCGAGCCCTCGATGGTACCCTTGGGACCTGTGACCACCTGTAGCGGGTTGGTGGCATCGGGGTTGATGCACTGAGGCACTTGGCAACACTGGTCGGTGGGATCTGTTACTAGTGTACAGCCTGCCTTCAAAGAGGGATAGGTGGGGCACCTGAAACAACAGAATGGGGAGTACAAAAGTAGTATAAAGTTAGTACAGTGTCAGTATACAATCAGTATACGTGAGCGGTTTATCATTTTAGGCGCATTTAAAGGACCCACTCCAACTCTAAAAAGTGAGGGATTTTTCTCAATTTGCTCCTTCAAAACTCTCAATTGGAAAACCAAACAAATGCACGAATCTAAATATTAAAGCTGCATCATTCCTCACAATTGACACAATTCTCAAAATGTGACGAATGTAGGAATGACAGAATGATCATGTTGTCATAAAGATAGGCTTTAATAAAACAATTTAATGGTCTGATTTCATTGACTCAGACTTGTTATAATGATCATCCAATTTTTAAAATGGTTTTTAAGTCAGTCATCGATCAGTACACAATCAGTATGTGTTCAGTACACTATCAGTATGTGTTCAGTACATCTAAACCTACCTGTCGTTACAGGTGATCTGTCTACTCTTGGCATCCTCACATTTACAGGTCCTGCTACATCCGTCCTTCCAAGTCTGGCCCTGCTTGAATGGGATACCATTGAACACACAGAACGCTGCAATAAAGTTAAAATGATTCACTTAAAGCAAGATCAACAGTACGTGAGGTATCAAAGTAAGAAGATTTTACTCAACATGAATTTGTCAACACCAAAACAATTATGGATCCTTCATTCAGATGTTACTTTTCTTTTATTTCTTATATCAAATTTGTTGACACACCTGGTGCGGGGGTTGGATTTGGGTTAGGTGTTGGTGACTGTCCTGGGATGGGAGATGGGTTAGATCCTGGCACCGGTGTACAGTCAGCCTTCTGACAGCATGGGTTGTTCATGTCCATCACTAAGCGACAGCCACTCGGAAGGTTTGGAAATTTAGGACACCTGTCACATAGAATAGGTTATCAGAATTCATTACCAGAAATGTCCCTCAAATACTGATAATTCATGTAAATCCAGAAAACACCGGAAAACGTAAATATAAACCTACAACAATGGATATGGAGCCAACCAAAGAAATAGAACTAAACACAATGCCTAAATCAAGTCTGTGAAACGGAAAATACAGGTCACAGTGACCTACATTTGATATATTTGCTTAAATTCCTCAAAATGTATCTAACTATGAAATTTGATGACTGTTAAGTAGTTTCTACTATTACTCCTTTCACCACTGTAGACCATAAAGGACATGGAGTTAAAATATTGAGTCACTTGCTGTTATATCTGTTTAGAAAACAGTCTAATGTGATAATTACCAGGTAATATGGGTACCATGTTGGGGCGGGCACTCAGATGAGTAACTAAAATAACTTTAATATCATAGCACATGAAATGCCTTATGTTGATTATAATTTTACAAAATAGCCTGAAGCATTCACATGATTATGTAGTGGGCTACAAAAGGTCAATCCTTCTCCCCAATGATCCATCAGGGGATAACCTACTTAAACAGTGGTACACCTGTTTAACCTAGACAAGATACTTACACAGTGGTACAACTGTTTAACCTTGACAAGATACTTACACAGTGGGACACCTGTTTAACCTAGACAAGATACTTACACTGTGGTACACCTGTTTAACCTTGACAAGATACTTACAAAGTGGTACACCTGTTTAACCTAGACAAGATACTAACATAGTGGTACACCTGTTTAACCTAGACAAGATACTTAAATAGTGGTACACCTGTTTATTAAACCTAGACGAGATACTTACACAGTGGTGCACCTGTTTAACCTTGACAAGATACTTACACAGGGGTACACCTGTTTAACCTTGACAAGATACTTCCACAGTGGTACACCTGTTTAACCTTGACAAGATACTTCCACAGTGGTACACCTGTTTAACCTTGACAAGATCCTTACACAGTGGTACCCCTGTTTAACCTAGACAAGATACTTAAATAGTGGTACACCTGTTTATTAAACCTAGACGAGATACTTACACAGTGGTACACGTGTTTAACCTTGACAAGATACTTACACAGTGGGACACCTGTTTAACCTAGACAAGATACTTACACTGTGGTACACCTGTTTAACCTTGACAAGATACTTACATAGTGGTACACCTGTTTAACCTTGACAAGATACTTCCACAGTGGTACACCTGTTTAACCTTGACAAGATCCTTACACAGTGGTACCCCTGTTTAACCTAGACAAGATACTTAAATAGTGGTACACCTGTTTAACCTCGACAAGATACTTAAATAGTGGTACACCTGATTATTAAACCTAGACGAGATACTTACACAGTGGTACACGTGTTTAACCTTGACAAGATACTTACACAGTGGTCCACCTGTTTAACCTTGACAAGATACTTACACAGAGGTACACCTGTTTAACCTAGACAAGATACTTACACTGTGGTACACCTGTTTAACCTTGACAAGATACTTACAAAGTGGTACACCTGTTTAACCTAGACAAGATACTTAAACAGTGGTACACCTGTTTAACCTAGACAAGATACTTAAACAGTGGTACACCTGTTTAACCTAGACCAGATACTTACACAGTGGTACACCTGTTTAACGTAGACAAGATACTTACACAGTGGTACACCTGTTTACCCTTGACAAGATACTTACACAGTGGTACACCTGTTTAACCTAGACGAGATACTTAAATAGTGGTACACCTGTTTAACCTTGACAAGATACTTACCAAGTGGTACACCTGTTTAACCTAGACGAGATACTTACACAGTGGTACACCTTTTTAACCTAGACGAGATACTTACACAGTGGTACTCCTGTTTAACCTAGACAAGATACTTACACAGTAGTACACCTGTTTAACCTAGACGAGATACTTAAATAGTGGTACACCTGTTTAACCTTGACAAGATACTTACCAAGTGGTACACCCGTTTAACCTAGACGAGATACTTACACAGTGGTACTCCTGTTTAACCTAGACAAGATACTTACACAGTAGTACCCCTGTTTAACCTAGACGAGATACTTACACAGTGGTACCCCTGTTTAACCTAGACGAGATACTTACACAGTGGTACTCCTGTTTAACCTAGACAAGATACTTACACAGTAGTACCCCTGTTTAACCTAGACGAGATACTTACACAGTGGTCCCCCTGTTTACCCTAGACAAGATACTTACACAGTAGTACCCCTGTTTAACCTAGACGAGATACTTACACAGTGGTCCCCCTGTTTACCCTAGACAAGATACTTACACAGTAGTACCCCTGTTTAACCTAGACGAGATACTTACACAGTGGTCCCCCTGTTTACCCTAGACAAGATACTTACACAGTAGTACCCCTGTTTAACCTAGACGAGATACTTACACAGTGGTACCCCTGTTTAACCTAGACGAGATACTTACACAGTGGTCCCCCTGTTTACCCTAGACAAGATACTTACACAGTAGTACCCCTGTTTAACCTAGACGAGATACTTACACAGTGGTCCCCCTGTTTACCCTAGACAAGATACTTACACAGTAGTACCCCTGTTTAACCTAGACGAGATACTTACACAGTGGTACACGTGTTTAACCTTGACAAGATACTTACACAGTGGTACACCTGTTTAACCTAAACAAGATACTTACACAGTGGTACACCTGTTTAACCTTTACAAGATACTTACCAAGTGGTACACCTGTTTAACCTAGACGAGATACTTAAATAGTGGTACACCTGTTTAACCTCGACAAGATACTTAAATAGTGGTACACCTGATTATTAAACCTAGACGAGATACTTACACAGTGGTGCACCTGTTTAACCTAGACGAGATTCTTACACAGTGGTACACCTGTTTAACCTAGACAAGATACTTCCACAGTGGTACACCTGCTTAACCTAGACGAGATACTTACACAGTGGTACACCTTTTTAACCTAGACAAGATACTTACACAGTAGTACACCTGTTTAACCTAGACGAGATACTTACACAGTGGTACACCTGTTTAACCTAGACAAGATACTTACACAGTAGTACACCTGTTTAACCTTGATGAGATACTTACAAAGTGGTACACCTGTATTTGCCAGTCATTCCGTCTTCACAGATACAATCGTAGTCACAGCCGTCTCTCCAGCGCTGACCAGTCTGGTACATGGCACCCTTGTACACACAAACCTCTGCAAGAACAAACAAGTCCACACTGATGTAGAAGAACCTAATTCACTTAAGAGTACATTGTATATCTAATTGTAACATGCGTCTTCTTGCCTAAGGAGTTCCAGTCCCAGAAACCTGTCAGATTTGTTTTTAATGCTGACTGACAACTCTTGTGAAAAGTTTAAATAAATCTATGCTCTACTTTCTCTCCAAAACATTTTATGTTCTTCTTTAAACAAATTACACTTTACATGCTAGTACATTTACAATTGTATAAGAATGGATTACCAAGATGTGTAAGTCTGTATCAAATTTTGAATAAAGAATATATGCTAATGAATACGAGTGTATTTGGGAACTTACTTGGTGTGGGAGTCTGAGTGGTGCCTACCCCAGGTACAGGGACTGCTGTGGTACCTGGCACAGGGATGGCAGTCAACATGTATGGTGGGTAGGTGCCACCAGGATATGGTGTTGGGTACGGGTAGGGGTTGGGATTAGGGTTCGGAGTTGGGTTTAAATTGGGATTAGGGTTAGGGTTGGGGGTTGGATTTGCATTTGGATTGGGATTTGGATTGGGGTTAGGGTTGGGTTGAGGGGTTGGCTGAGCGGTGGGGTAAGGGTTGCTTCCGGTGATTGTTCCGACAATTCCGGTTGGCTTAACGTTAGGGTTTGGCTGGCATTGTGGGATCTTGCAGCATATGGGATCGTTTGGATCAGGTACCATGACACAGCTGGGGGCTATGTTGTTGTACTGAGGGCACCTAGATACAGAAACATTATCATCAATTTTTCTACCCGATTTGTAAAGAACAGTGATGTATCCGGAAGTGTCTGAACAAATGTTCTTTATTTTCAATTATGTCATTAACAAAAATTGAAACAAACAATCAATACTTTTAATACAATACCAGTAATCAATACTAAGAAGAACAATATGTATACAAAAACAAAGAAATATGCTATAAAAAGCAAATTATTTCCTTGCTTAACACTGTACATCATGTGTTTATAGCTTAGAAACTTTCAAAAACAGACATAAATATCCGTTTCCAATCTTTGTAAATTGAATCTTAAACCTGTCAATTCCAAATGAAAATATTGTTATATTGTTGCCCAGGATTTGTTTAAACAACTAATTCACATTTCAATCAATATCAAGTTTTTCATACAGGCTTTTCTTCCTCTTTGTATTATGTTTGATTTCCCATTGACCAACATATCATAAATACAAGAATTCCACAGAAGTGGATGTGTTGACTGCCCCCTGCTGTTGGCCATGTTGATTTTCAAATTTGGGACAATACCAAACTTTAGCAGGTAACTGGCAAGTGTAGAAAGTTTGATGACAATCAAGGCATTCCTTCAATGGTTATCACACGGAAACAACCGGACTGTATTCCTTTAGAGTTATTGCACAGAAACAGTTTGTGGGGACGATGACGTATACAGTTTACAACGTTATAAATATCATACCTATCTGTGCATGTGTAGTGTCCAGTGACTCCGTCAGAACACACACAGGTACGGGCACATCCATCGTCCCATTTCTGGCCCTGGGTGTACGACTTTCCGTTCATCACACACACGTCTAAAACAGGATATTTAATGTGCTCCATACAATGTTTACTATGTGCTCGTGGCACGGACAAACCATATGAAAATAAACAAAAGTCTCAAGGGGCTTGTATTGCTCCCTCTGTATTTATTTGTTATCTGACCTAGAAAAGAACTTGAAAATGTTTCAAACAATTTCAGACCAAGGCGTCCATCTTGGATTTCTCATTTTGTTGACCCATACAGTTTAACATTTGGTCAAAGCAATGGGATGATCACTTGTACCCTATTTGGTTCAAATTGACCTAGATGAACAAAATAATTAGTTAAAGCTATTGTAGCCAAGCAGAGGAAAGGCTAGGTGAGTTAATAAAACAGACAAAATTCAAATAAATCTGTTCTTATCCACACTAAGATAATAATCCCGTTACTTAAGTTGAGGAACTGTAATACTTGTTGTGGTGACATCACAATGTTAATGAAATTGAATATTGACCTGCAAATGAGGCATTTTGTCAACTACTGTTTATGGTCTACAGGAAAATGTCCATGTTATACTGTTGGTTTTCTGTATGATAGATGGAAAATTATCAAAAACAGATGAAATGAATCAAAAGTCTAACCAAATTCAGAGAAGTGGAAAATATGAATCACAGTGACGTATATTGGTGTATATGCCTGTATTTAGAAACCACATGAATGATCTCTAAATGCAGATGGTCTCTTAAAAAGGTTTTTTTTCATAATGAAACCACTACAATAAGGAACATAACAAGGTGCCTTTTAACACAGGGATCTCTTAACAGAGGTGGTCCGATGAACCGGGTTGACTTCTCCTAAAGATGTATCGACATCTGACATTTGATGATTGTTGGACCAAGTACAAGTGTTATAAAGCAAAATGCAAAGTCAAACTGTCATGTCAAATGGACACTACATGTTGCAAGAGCATAAAATAGAATCTGTTGAAGATGTTGTCTGCCTGTTAAACCACTTACTTTTAGGAAGTGGTGGTTTGACTGACGAGGCTGGAGTGACCCCTGGTGTCGGTTGTGGGTTGAGGGGTGGTGACTGTGTGTTGACCGGCGGATTCAGTGTCGGCTGAGGAGCAGGTGTGATGGCTGGCTTCAGAGTTGGTGAGAGGTTGGGGCAAGATGGAGTTCTGCAGCACTGGTCATTGGGGTCAGATACCAACGTGCAGTATGCTGGGATCTGAACAAAACGTGGACATCTGTGGATATAAAATACAGAGTTAAAGTACATGGATACACAGTTGAAATTTCAAATGTCTAAAAATTGCTTTTAATTTCAATTTTAAAACACATTGATTTTTTTTTTTTTTTAATTCAAAGGTTAAGCTTCTGAAAATAACATACTAACGGTAATTCACTTTCTGCTTTCATTTTGATTTTATAATTTGAAGACACACACTTTATGAAAATTAAAGGTAAGACTTATGAAAACTACGTAGTAATTTTGATTCTCCTTTCCAGTCTCAAAAATACAGTAGGTAAATGAGTTGGCAAAACCTTTCAACTTCCAAAACGTTTTATACAGATCATATAGATATTTAACTTACAGAACCCTTTATTGGAAAATTTGTCTGTGCATATTTTGCAATTGTCAACATGGCAATTTGATATACCTAGGCCATTCATTAGTTTTATATTGGCAATGAAGACATTTATGTTTTTTTACTTCAGCAATATGGAACACTTTAAACAAAGCAAAGTATTCTGATTTCCTTGTGCGATATCCAAAAGGTACTCGCATACAAATTTTGGCGATTGAAGGAGACAACAATATATGAGATGTGTTTCAGACAGTGATGAACAAAGGGCCTTAACTCTGTAAATAGTGTGACAAAGGACCCTATTTCAGTGATCTACACTCTTCCATCCAAAGAGGTAATTGTATTCAAAATTTGGCAGTTGAAGGTTACAAAGTTTATGGTACAGAAACTAAGTCCCTAAGGGTTTGGCCAGACCCTCGGGTCAATTCTAATATCATGATTGTGTTTGTCTGTTGATGCTCAGCAATGGTATAAATAGTATGTACGAGATATACCCAAGACAAAGTGATTCTTGGTGATTCACATAGAGATTACCTCTCGGTACACTTGTACTGGCCGCTGATCTGGTCGAGACATTCACATCTATAGGTACATCCATCATCCCACTTCTGCCCAGTTGTGTACTGTACACCCTTGTAGTTACACTTACCTGCATGAAGAAATATACCTCATTAAAAAGGGTGCAATGCATGGCATACACACACTTACGGAGAACTTACACCTATGGTGCAATGCATGGCATACACACACTTTCGGAGAACTTACACCTATGGAGCAATGCATCCATTAATGTCAGACTATTTTATACTCTTGTGAGTGCTGACAATATTGCCAAATCTCTACCTTTTATCACCTCTGAGAAAGTGAAAATTATTCAAAGGTATAGCTCAATATACATAGCAAGGTTTTTGATAAATTAATAAGTCTTTCTTAATTAAGTTGTGTAAAGTTTTGAGAAGGAAGATATTTACCCGAGGGATTCTGAGGATTTTGTGGTTTTCCAATAATCACACCTGTCTGACCTGATGGTACTGGTGATGGATAAGGGGTAGCGACTGGGGTCATTCCTGGATTGGGGTTAGGGACTAGTGTGTTCTGTGGTGATGGTTTCAGCGTAGTGCCCGTGGGTGGTACCAAAGTGGGGCCTACATTAGGGTTTGGATTGGGGTTTGGATTGGGGTTTGGATTGGGGTTAGGTGTTGGCCCCGGGGTTGGGATCGCAACACATCGTGGGACCTGGCAACAGGCGTCCTTTGGATCGGTAACCAGAGTACAACCTTGTTGAGCTGGGTATATTGGACACCTAGAATATACAACAAGACATGCATTAATGAGTATCTAATCTATTACAGCTTGCTCAACTTGCTTAGACTGAAATAAGTATCACTGAATGCAAATGTAGTGGTTGTAGGATATTAGCATGATAATTTTCCATGGAGAAGACATAACTCTTTAAGGAGAGAAATAAATAATCAATGTCATTAACAAAGCTTATCAAGTCTGTGAGCTGTAAACTATCACAAAATAAAGTAATTTTAACAAATAATTATAACTAATTTCAAGATTTTTATATGAAAAAGCCATGTGGCAACATTTCCAAAGTTTACTGAAGTTTTCAAAACTTTTTGCAATATTGGAAGTGATTAATTAAGTTATATTTTTTAACTTATTTTCAATTGATTTTATTTATCATCACACCCCTATAATCAAGACCGCTTATCTTTAACCTATTAAGAATACCCCAACTAATATTTCTTTTTAACAACCAGACTATACAGAAACTGTTCAAACCATTTTTGCTGTACATTGGGTGGTCTTCAGACAGATTTCGTACAGTTTCAGTTCACATAAAAATGTGGACAGTTATCGCTTGATATTTTCATGACTTGTGCTCTTTATTTTGTGACTAAGTTGCATTTTTTTCCTAATATTTGCATCTACAAAAAAGATTTTCGAATAGGGGCTTCCTTCCTTTGTATCCTTTGTAATCTAGTGATTATTTTGAAATCACGATTGAAGAGGACACCTTTACAATACTGAAATTAATTATCTATGGATCCTAGAAATATTTAAATCTGCAAATGTATATCCTTGCAAGATATTGAGGAAATTTAAACTACATTTTCAATGCAATCAAAAATTTCACAACAGATTGCTCCCAGATAAATATTACCCAACACATCGGTCATTGAACACTCGCCTAGTATATGCAAACCAGTAATAAAAAGCCAGTATACATGTATTAAATATGAGCGTTTACCTGTCGAAGCAGGTGTAGTAGTTCTTGGAGGCATCATCACATCGGCACCTCTTGGTACAACCAACATCCCAAGACTGGCTCTGAGTGTAGGGCACACCATTGTACACACAGTAGGCTGAAACCACAAACACACCATAATTCACTTGACACACAGTATCCTGATATCATAACCAATATAAACCACTGTCCACACAGAATTCTGGAATCAAAAACACTTTTGTAATATTTTATTTTCAAGCTTAGAACTTTTTCAGCAAGGGTTCAATGTCAAAAGAATTTGCAATTTAAAACCTGCCATTGTGAGATTTTTAATTTTGTACATACTATCTTAATTTTATAAACTGCCTGTGTTTCAAGTTATTACCCATACCCTATACTTCAATGCCAAATGATCAAGTACCTGACATTTTTGTTAATCTTCTTCTATAATTTTAGAAACGTCTCAAACAGTCGTTCTCACTCCCCTCTCATTTCCGATAATCCCAACTTCCATTTTTTCACTTGGTATAATAATAGCCCAGGTTTAATATTGATAGCACTTAATATGGTAGGATTTGAAAAATAACATAACACATCTGTGTATTTTTTAAATTTACATATTGGTCCAGGTTCCATTGTTGTTCCAACATTTGGGCTGGGTTCCATGGTACTGACACCAGGGGCTGGTGTAGCTTGGGGAGCTGGTGTGGGACCACCCATAGGCGCCGGGGTGGGGATGTTGTTGAAATCACACATAGGTTTCTGACAACAGATGTTCATGGGGTCCTGGACCAAGTTGCAGTATTGCGGTAATCGTGGGTAAACTGGGCACCTGATCACAGAACAATGAGTTGAGTGTAAGTAACAGGTTCAATAACATGTCATGAAATAAACATACGAAATGAAGTTGCTAGATCAGCGAAGACAATGGCCCCTTTCGTGTATCAGGTTCAACCAGTTTGTTTTTAAATGTAACATTTCCAAATGTTTATGCAGGCCTTGCAAGGCTTTATAAGGCTCTAGTCCAACCAGTTCAATTGTTTGGATTGTTTGGAAAATCAAATTAGGTGACCTTGACCTCAAATACAGCACCCTAATAAGTGAATTTGTTCCAGGTATTGTACAGCACAGTTGTAAAAAGTTTAAACAAGAACTGTTTAAAAATTGATATCAATATAGAGCAATGGTAAAGTTAAATAAGGTACACCAGAAAACATATTTCCTGTCAAACTTATGACTTCCATTGGTAAAATACATATTCATCCAGTGTTCATTTTGCCCTTCACATGAAATGACTGTTTATAGTATGTTGCGTAATAATATTCGTTGTCAAAATAAATTTGCCCTCATGGATGGGGAAAGGCAAAAATTAAACTGCAGAGAATTATTTTTTGTACAGTAGTAGGTGACCATGACCCTGAAACTCACACTTCTTTGAGATAGTTTCATACAGAACATTTGTATTGTGTTATATTAAAATGTGTTGACTAGTCAAGTTGCTAAAGCAGTTTCATACAGAACATTTGTATTGAGCTATAGTAAAATGTGTTGACTAGTCAAGTTGCTAAAGCAGTTTCATACAGAACATTTGTATGAGTTATCTTTATCCATTTCAATTTGGGGATAGTGAAGTATTGAGGCTGAAGCATCTTACTTCTCAGTACATTCGTAGTGTCCTGTCTTGCTGTCTACACAAACACAGGTGTACTTGCATCCATCAACCCATCTCTGGCCCTGGTGGTACTCTGTCCCCTTGTAAATACACACCTCTGTCAGGGTAAACGAAGTACAACAAAGTTTACAGTCAACCTTACAAAAGCATACATCTAGCAAAACCAGTTACTTACATTTCATACATTATGAATAATGACATGAAGTTGAAGTTATTTTTAACTTCATACTAAATTTAACCTTGTACAAGATTCTTATACATGTATGGGCAGTTCTTGTTTAGAAATCTTTGCAGAGTAAATTTTATTTTGCCACGAAAATTTCTATTGTTTCCTTGTGATTATTTTTACCTTTGGGTGCGGGGGTTGCCTGTGGGTTAGGGTTTGGTGTCTGTCCTGGTAGTGGGGATGGATTAGGTGATGGTGTAGGGGTACCATATCCATTGATGATTCCAACTGGAACACCTGTGATGAGTTGAGGAGTGTCTGTTGGTCCTGGCGTGGGATAACCATTTACTCCAGGGGTAGGGATACATTGAGGAACCTTACAACACTGGGGATCATTGGGGTCAGACACTAGCGTACATCGAGATGGAATACTGTCATACTTTCGGCACCTAATCAAGAGTAATATCAGCTTATGACATCAGCACAGATCATTTCTAATATCTCAATAAATGTAAACAAATCATAATTTCTTTCTTCATATGCATGATTTTCTTGTAAAAGCTGTCAAAGTTTATCAGTTGATCAATGTCAGAGGCTTACATATGATAATGCTTGTAGAAGCCAACCTGGTGTAACATCAAGCCTTTTTAGGCATAATACTCTGTTTACCTGTAACTTACCTGTCATAATTAGGGTATTACCTGTATCTTACCTGTCACAAGGTAATTACCTGTATATTACCTGTCACAATAGCAGCTATAAAATCTTACCTGTCACAACAGCAGCTATGAAATCTTACCTGTCATAACAGCTGTAAAAATCTTACCCGTCATAACAGCTGTAAAATCTTACCTGTCACAACAGCTGTAAAATCTTACCTGTCACAACAGCTTTACAATCTTACCTGTCATAACAGCTATAAATCTTACCTGTCATGACACCTGTAAAATCTTACCTGTCATGACACCTGTAAAATCTTACCTGTCATAACAGGTGTAAAATCTTACCTTAACAGGTGTAAAATCTTACCTGTCGTAACACCTGTATTATCGTACCTGTCGTAACACCTGTATTATCTTACCTGTCGTAACACCTGTATTATCTTACCTGTCATAACACCTGTATTATCTTACCTGTCGTAACACCTGTAGAACCCTGTAGTGGCATCATCACAGACACATGTCCTATCACAACCGTTGGTGTACCACTTTTGTCCCTGGGTGTACTGACGACCGTTCATGATACATACATCTGAAATATCAGTTGCAAATCATCAGTACCAGTCAAAATTCTTTCCCAAAATTGTACAACTACTGTTTACTGTGAAAGTTTAGCCCAGTCAAAATATTTGCCCTTTACCGATTGAATCCACGTTTGCTTAGTGTTATTGATGCCCTTCACATGTATTCACTTTGTATTGTTTATTATGTCCTAAAACTCGCTCTCATGATAAATTTGCCCTCATTGAGGAGGGCAAACAAGTTGGTATACAGTACTTTGTTAGGCAGGAAAGTTTATGTGATTCTGGGTGATGTCAAAATGGTTCATTAAATTGGATAAAGGAGATGGGGAGTTGAAAAAAATATTTTCGATTTTAATATTTGTTATGCTACATTCATACTATAATATCTACCATAAAAAAATAAAATTGTAAAATATTTTCCAAATAACTTAAAATGTGATTTTCCGACAGCTTGATCATTAAAAATATGTTAAATATAATACTCTATCAAAAAATATCAAATGAAATGGAAACATGATGTAAATATTTGTGGAAAAGTAAAGCTGTAAACCCTTTCTGAAGAAGGTATGTGGACAGTACCTTTGATAGGAATATCAGAATAAAGACTGTAAGAATATTCAACTTGTATACTTTGATACTTACTCTTCGGTGTTGGCTGTGGCATAGGGTTAGGGTTTGGTGTCTGGCCTGGTGTAGGATTAATAGATGGAGTCGATTGCCCGGGTTGTGGGGCGAGGGTAATGATGGGGTTAGGGTTTGGTGTAATGGCAGGAGCTGGGGTTGGGTTGCACACAGCTATCGTACAGCACTGGTCTGCTGGGTCAAGGGCTAGTCGACACGTAGACGGCAGGTTGGGGTACATCTGACACCTGAAAAATAGTTCAAAGATCAACGGGTCCATCAGAAATCTTTAACATGGAACAACACATCATTTTACTGTCTATTGCTTACATTTCACGTAAGTATTGAACAGCCTTTTCCAATATTCACGCCAGTATGAGTGCAAATCAGTTACATACATAGCGTGCTTAATAATTAGTGTTCATACCAGCATGAATATTGACAAAAATTCTATTTCCATTATATTTTTTTAGCTGATATCGTCCTGAATACAAATATTCCCTTATATTTCCAATATTGAAATTTCTATGTTGTCAGTGCAAACAACATTCTTGAAACAGCCCAACGTCATCAAAATGTTTGCTTCTAACGGCTATCTCATGTTATTCAAGCTTTAAAACAGAGCTGATCTCATTGCTTTCATAGTGCTATGAACACAATTTCTAATGGTAATGCTTATATCAAGAAACTGACAGTGCAATTTTCCTGAAATCTTTCAAGGGTCTAATACTTCGCCGTAGTTTCATCAAAGAGTTCAAACTGCAGTCTTGTTGACACTTTGTTTATGTAAAAAAAAATCCTTGGTTTGCTTACCTCTGAGAACACCTGTATTTGCCAGTAGAGGCCTCCGTACACACACAGTTTAAGTCACAGCCGTCCTGCCAGGTCTGTCCTTGCTGGTACGTCACTCCCTTGTATAAACATACTGGTGGACCGGTAGGCTGGGGCATGTTGGGGCCCGGGGTGGGGGTGATACCCTGACCATTGATCACGTTAGTCACAGAAGGAATCATGGGATTGGGGCTTGGATTAGGGTTAGGGTTGGGGTTAGGATTGGGGTTGGGATTAGGGGTAGGGTTGGGGTTAGGATTGGGGTTAGGATTGGGGTTGGGATTCATTCCAGGTCCGGGAGTGGGTTGGACACCTGTTCCTGGAGTTGGAGCATTAGTCGGTGTGGCAACTGGTTTGCAGTCAGGAATTCGACAGCAGCTGTCTCTGGGGTCAGTTATGAGGACACAACCATCTGGCAATGTGTTGTACCGCGGACACCTGTCGCAGAGACGCAAGGAGACTGAACAACAGCATGTTTTTTTTTTAATAATTATAATAAAATAAAATTTTCAATAGTACTATAAATGATTTTAGGTTGTGGTAATATTACTTCTGATGAAACATGATAATCTGATAGAATCGTATCTTTCGATACATGGCTACCTCTGTCGAATCACACCCATCACATTTCCAATTACTTCACCTGTATAAACCTAAAGAAAAGACCTGTATACTTATCTCAGGAATTAATCTAGATTTTAGGAAAAAAACTCACTTTAACTGAAAAGGGTAATATCTTTCAAGGTAAACTCATTGGTACATATATTTCAAAATTATCATCTTATATAACACTTCCACTTTAATTTTATAGATTATATGCAATAAATGCCATTAATATTGATGATTTCTTGGAAAATCCATGTTACACGTTCACTCTGATGGTTTTGAATAGGGAATTTTGGATAAATTTGGCAAAACAGTGAAAATATTGAAATGAAATCCTGAAGGGAATGTACCTAAAAAGAGCTGTAAAAGGGCCCCGATATATCTCTGTCATATCACTACAGAAGATGTGTTAAACCTGTACATACCTATTACTACACTTTTAAATCATAGCTGTACATACCTGTCACTACATCTGTAGAATCCCTTGACTCCATCCTCACACACACATTTCAGGTCACAACCATCGTCCCAGGTTGCACCCTGCTTGAAGGGCACACCATTGTACAAACAGGTATCTACAAAACAGAAAAGGATAAAGAAATTAAACTTCTACTGAAATAATCACTGCTAAATCCTGCTGTCAAAATATTTCCTATTTACAATTCTGCTGCGATCTTCATTGACAATTTGAAAAATAAAAAAAAGTCTGTAAGACATGAATGACCGAGTTCCCATTCAAATAAGTGTCTTTTTAGTTTTTTTGACAAAATTTCTATAAATAGTAACAGTTCTCATACTTGACCTTTAAACAGATGCTTATGAAGCTGTCGGGAAAATCTGTTAACAATTTGCTTGAGTGATATCTTTAAATTGGTTGACAAATATCTATAACAGTAACAATGACCTTAACCTGCGAACCTTGAAATACAAACTCATCGAGGTATTTTCGTATTTGACCTACGTATATAATTTCATCAAAATCTGTTAAGAAATGAAGCCACTAGAACAATAAATAGTGAATTGAGAATGGATGGGAATGGGTAGCCCTGTATGCCCTCCATAAAATGTTGGGCCCATGAAAACTAAGCGTATCCTTGAATATTTTGGCACCATCACACAATACTTCATTTCAACATTATCATGTAATATTACAAATGGACGCTGGCTACAAAGACCTTTCATAGAAGCAGTGTTTCAGACAGGTTTTACCATGCATAGTGTTAATACATAAATGTTCTCAATATGGAACATATTGTTTTCTTATATAGACATTCACATTTACGAACTTGGTGCAAGATATTCCGTCTTTGCATATTGCAGAGTTATCTTCTCTTGTGAGCAGGGATTGATTGTAACGTCATTGGTTTGTGTGAGAAAATTACGTCGTTTTCTCAAAAATTGATGACGTTACTCTCACAAACCAATGACGTAACAATTAATACCTGCTCACAAGAGCAGATAACTCTGCAATACAAAAAGACGGAATAAACATGCTAACATATTGACAAACAATGAAGTACAAAAAGTAGCACTGCTAACATGAAAAGTAGGCAAACTGGGAAAAATTCTGCCTTTCTTTTTACTAGATATTTATTATAGAAATATTATAAATTAGTGAAACTACATTATTTCAGAGTTAAGTCTGGGTCTATTAATTAGTGACAACTACTTGATATTCATTCCTAAGTTGACTAATAAATAATAAATGAAGAAAAGGACAAAACACAATGATATTGACATGAAAATGAAAGTTGAGCTAGACTGGGGCAGCAGAATTTTTTGTACTCAACTGTGAAAGTAGAAAATCCTTTGTATTTAAAAGTGTTAATTTTAACGTGATGAACCAACAATCGATCTTACCTCGTGCAGTGGGAGAAGGTGTTGGACCAACTTGTGGGCCCTGGCCGGGGATTGGGACTGGCGTATTCATGGGGTTCGGGGACAGCGTGACGGTTCCTGTGACATTATTGGTTGTACCAGTGAATTCGCAGTACGGCTTCTTACAGCAAGGCTGGATAACATCTGACACCAGACGGCACTGAGGAGGCAGTGCTGGGTAACGTGGGCACCTGACACACAAAAGATTCATTATGCATTAAAATACTCCAACTACTGTGCTGCCATACTACATGTTTTCTAAAATGATGAATAGTGACACTTTTTATCACTTTAATTAAGCATTAAACTGAGAGGAACAATAATTTTCAGTGAATCAACTATCTGCACAAACAGAATATTTGTGTATCAACATAACAGCACATTCCCCCCCCCCCCCTAAAAAAAATTCTTTAAACAGTAAAACTGCAAAAAATCCATGTTGTACATCCTTGGACATTCCTTGCTTCACAAAATCTTTAAAAGTGTTTACACAGGTGTACCGTTTCAAAGGCCCAATGCCAGAAGCTGGTCAACTTTGTGTCCAGGCAAGGAAAAATTTCAATATTTATTGTGAAAATGTATGCTTACAGTTCTGTGCAACGGTATCTCCCGTTAATGGCGTCCACACACTCACAGTTGTAATCACAGCCGTCCTGCCATTTCTGGCCCTGTGTGTACTGCTGGTTCTTGTATTCACAGTATGCTGTCAACGGGAAGAAATTCAGGAAATGAAATCAAAAGAAAACCTTGGCAGGATATGTTTTTAAGATGATAATTACAAGAATCCTTATATAAGGTAGTTTGAATTAATATTCTTACAAAGAAAGCTTTGCATGACAATTTTTGAAAATATTTGATTTTAAAATGAAAATACGCTACTGTTATATAAATGTACAAATTGAGGTGTAATGTTATTTTAGCCCTTTTTATGCCAAACTCATTCACCCCTCAAGACACATTTGAACCCTTCCAATTCAAGGGTTGGAATAATTTATTGTGAAATTTCAAGAGTGAATGAGTTATAGTATGGTGCTGAACTATGATTGTACGAATTGCAGATACAAATATTGTGGATGTCCTAGTTCATCAATGCCCTATTCTGTCAACCTGTTAAAATTAAACTTTAGCAAGCTAAAATAAGTAAGCTCACACTATATAAAACAACGCTGACAATGTTTCTACCAAGGAACTGTTTCACCATTTTGATCCAAGTTTTTTTTACACATATATTTATAGGAAGTTCAGATGTGGGAGGGATGAAGGGGGGGGGGGGGGGGAGNTGTTCACACTATATAAAACAACTCTGCTAAGAAAATGTATGATGGGGGAGGTGGACTGCCTACCTGGGGCAGGTGTAGGGGACATTCCTGGAGCAAAAGTTGGGTTTACTCCAGGGACAAGGGTAGGTTGTTGCCCTGGGGCAGGGGTTGGTACTTTGGTGACAGATCCTCCGGTGATGACTCCTGGGGGAGGTGTTGGGATAGGAACATATCCTGTTGCATTGTTGTACTGAGGTGGGATGTCACACTTTGGAATTTTACAGCAGAGAGGATCCTTGGGATCTGCTATCGGTGTACAACCTGCTGCCTGCTGGTACTGAGGACACCTGAAACACAGAATATTCTCTCATTTCCATGTGTGTAAGACAGAGCTGTCCAGGGTAAGAAAGAGGTGTAAGAAATGTTTATCTTACAACCCATTTAACATAACATGACATCACAATGGCTCAACAATGACGTGACGTCAAAAATTGGAAAAACTCTGATGCTGCAATGTGGAAAAGGCGACGTGATGAAATCAAATCTTTTACGTTATATTTACCAAACAAAGAAAGATTGAAATATTCCTTTCATGTCCAAGGGTGTAGGATAAGTAATTTCAAACCCTCAGTATTTTCAATTTTGGCAAAACCCATCGACAGGAATTTCCCTACCCTACACCCCTGGGCATGAAAGAGTCTTATAATCTTCAATAATAATTCATCATAATTTATATAACTTGTCATATAGTACAGCGACATCTCTTTATTCTGTTAATCCTGAATTCTTTTCGATACACTTTTATATAGTCCCCATTAGGTCTTTCGCTATTTTTCATAACTTAGTATAATTAAATGAAATAATGTGAAACAATAAGATTACCTTTGGCTGCATCTGTACACTCCGGCTGGTGCATTTTCACAGTTGCACACGTACTCGCATCCATCATACCAGGTTTGTCCCTGTGTGTAGCTCTTCCCCTTGTACTCGCAAACATCTACAATCGGTTGTAGTTTGTAATCACAAACATCTACATCCAGTTATAGTTTGTACTCGCAAACATCTACAATCAGTTTAAGTCTGTACTCACAAAGATCTACAACCAGTTATAGTCTGTACTCGCAAACAACTACATCCAGTTATAGTCTGTACACGCAAACATCTACATCCAGTTATATCCTGTACTCGCAAACATCTACATCCGGTTATAGTCTGTACACGCAAACATCTACATCCGGTTATAGTCTGTACTCGCACAGATCTACAACCAGTTATAGTTTGTACTCGCAAAGATCTACAACCTGTTATAGTCTGTACTCGCAAATATCTTCAACCAGTTATAGTCTGTACTCTCAAAGATCTACAACCAGTTTAAGTCTGTACACGCAAACATCTCCATCCAGTTATAGTCTGTACACGCAAACTTATACATCCAGTTATAGTCTGAACTCGCAAATATCTACATCCAGTTATAGTCGGTACTCGCAAACATCTACACACAGTTTAAGTCTGTACTCACAAAGTTCTACAACCAGTTATAGTCTGCACTCGCAAACATCTACATCCGGTTATAGTCTGTACACGCAACCATCTACATCCAGTTTAAGTCTGTACTCGCAAACATTTACATCCAGTTATAGTCTGAACTCGCAAATATCTACATCCAGTTATAGTTTGTACTCGCAAAGATCTACAACCCGTTATAGTCTGTACTCGCAAGGATCTACAACCAGTTATAGTCTGCACTCGCAAACATCTACATCCAGTTATAGACTGTACTCGCAAAGATCTACAGCCAGTTATAGTCTGTACACTCAAACATCTACAACCAGTTAAAGTCTGTACTCGCAAATATGTACATCCAGTTATAGTCTGAACTCGCAAATATCTACATCCAGTTATAGCCTGTACACGCAAGCATCTACAACCAGTTTAAGTCTGTACACGCAAACATCTCTATCCAGTTATAGTCTGTACGCGCACACATCTCCATCCAGTTCTAGTCTGTACTCGCAAACAACAACATCCAGATATAATCTGTTCACGCAAACATCTACATCCAGTAATAGTCTGTACTCGCAAACAACAACATCCAGATATAATCTGTTCACGCAAACATCTACATCCGGTTATAGTCTGTACTCGCACAGATCTACAACCAGTTATAGTCCGTACTCGCAAAGATCTACAACCTGTTATAGTCTGTACTCGCAAATATCTACATCCAGTTATAGCCTGTACACGCAAGCATCTACATCCAGTTATAGCCTGTACTCGCAAACATCTATAACCAGTTATAGTCTGTACACTCAAACATCTACAACCAGTTATAGTCGGTACTCGCAAACATCTACAGCCAGTTATAGTCTGTACACGCAAACATCTACATCCAGTTATAGTCTGTACTCGCAAATATCTACATCCAGTTATAGTCTGTACTCGAAAACATCTATATCCAGTTATAGTCTGTACTCGCAAAGATCTACAACCAGTTATAGTCTGTACTCGCAAACATCTACATCCAGTTATAGCCTGTACTCGCAAACATCTACATCCAGTTATAGTCTGTACACGCAAACATCTACATCCAGTTATAGTCTGTACTCGCAAACATCTATAACCAGTTTAAGTCTGTACTCACAAAAATCTACAACCTATTGGGTAGGGATTTGGTGTGGGTTTGTACCCAGGGTATGGGGGTATGGAGTTGGTGTGATGTGCTTACCTTTAGGGAGAGCCGGTGTTTGGTTGGGATTTGGTGTGGGTTTGTACCCAGGGTATGGGGGTATGGAGTTGGTGTGATGTGCTTACCTTTAGGGAGAGCCGGTGTTGGGTTGGGATTTGGTGTGGGTTTGTACCCAGGGTATGGAGTTGGTGCGATGGACTGTCCTGGTACAGGTGCTAGAGTGGTGGCATGGCCATTGATTTGATTGACAGATGGGTTAAATGTACATTCTGGCTTAGAGCAGCAGGGGTTGGCAGGGTCCTTCTGTAAATAACACTGTGGAGGAAGTGTTCCATACTTGGGGCATCTGAAATATAATGTATACACATACTTAGCTGGTTACATCAATTATCCAATCATTTTCAATTTAAATCACTTTCACCCTATGTAACTTTAGAAGACCCTGCCATGCATTGATATGGATGAGTCGATTATGGTCTACAGTGGTGAAAGGGTTAAATGAACTTTTTTAAATGATCTTCACTCTAATTCATAACCTGGCAAGTTGAATGAAAAATTAATCTTACTTGTATTACTGATCTTGAAAAAACATTTTTTTTGAGCCCGTTTCTTTTCCTATATATGAGGGCTACATAATACAGTATAGTGACATTTCCTCTTGACTACAATGTCATAGAATTGCATCCCACAGTCAGGAGACTATGGCTGTGTCCTTGAATAAGACAATTTACTCTTGTTACTTAACTCCACTGGCCTAAAGTGGAGTATAATATGGTATTATAGTTTTGTGCTGTAGTAAAGCAATGTCTAATAGGAATCCCCAGAAAAAAGTTCGCATCACCACCAGTCATCTTAATATGCCTATTGAGAGCATAACGATTAGCCATAAGGGGTCACAAAAGGCTTGCACACAATTTGCGCACACTGGACATCCCATAGGGCTAATTGGCTTATATTATTTAGCAAGCACTTCGCTCGATATTGAACTAAAAGTTACGCTGGTGAGGTACTTGAATCAACCAGGAAAGTTATGTTAATGTTTTTCAAATAGTCTTGTTTTTACAGCACATTTTTTATTTCAGTTGTCTACCTACGTATTTTTGTGATAGACTTTACTCATTAATATATATTTCTATTCAGATTTATTAATCAATGTCATTATCAATATATCAGAATCACATTAAAGGTTTTTGTAACTCAAAGAGACTTGTAGAAATGTTGCTTTAAATAGGCATATGTTATCACCAATGGAGAATATGAATTTCTATTGAAATGTCAGTGTAGTCTGTACACCAGAAGTCACTTACCTCTCTGTACACTGGTAGTTGCCTGTGCTAGAATCCATACACCGACAGGTGAAGTCGCAGCCATCGTACCACGTCTGGCCTTGGTTATACTTAGCACCCTTATACTCACAATAGTCTGGTTAACAAACAAGGGGACTGTTAAACTATATGTAATATACATGGGCCGATACATCTTGTCTGACAAAGATATGGACTGTTAAATCTCAGGTAATATACATGGGATGGTACGTCTTGTTTGACAAAGATATGGACTGTTAAATCTCAGGTAATATTCATGGGATGGTACATCTCGTTTGACAAAGATATGGACTGTTAAATCTCAGGCAATATACATGGGATGATACATCTCGTTTGACAAAGATATGGTCTGTTAAATCTCAGGTAATATATACGGGATGGGACATCTTGTCTGACAAAGATATTGACTGTTAAATCTCAGGTAATATATACGGGGTGGTACATCTTGTCTGACAAAGATATTGACTGTTAAATCTCGGGTAATAAACATGGGCAAATACATCTCGTTTGACAAAGATATGGAATGTTATATCTCAGGTCACATATATGGGTAGATACATCTCATCTGACGAAGATATGGACTGTTGTTATATCTGAGGTCACATACATGGGTAGATACATCTCATCGGACAAAGATATGGACTGTTATATCTCATGTGTTATACATGGGATAGTACATCTTGTCTGACAAAGATAGAGACGGTTACATTTCAGGAAGCATAAACGACCTTACAATAACGTATCCGTTTGTCCCTTGGATACTGAAATAGAGAGGATCAACCACAACACTTACTCAGAGGCTGTGGTGCGGGTGTAGCAACTGGGTTGGGGCCAATGTTTGGCCTGGGAGCGGGAGTGTTGGCCGAGCCTGTGAAGACACCTGGGGGAGCTAGAGTTGGGATCATGTCTGGTCGAATGGTACCGATGATGTTCTGTAGCGAGGTTGGGATGCCACACTTGGGTTCCCGACAACAGCTGTCGGTGGCACTCACAACCATGTGACACTCGGCTGGGAGGTTGTTGGCATATGATGCACACCTAAATATTGAACACATTTATTTATGGTTCTGTAAATGATGAAAGATTTACAACTAAAAACGTTTACATTTGTTTATCACACTTTCTTGTTTGTTTGTTAAACACAAAAACAAACGTTTACATATCATATAAAACACACTTCATTTCTATTTTCTTTCAAATAATTTTTTAAAACATTGCATCTGCCATAAAAAATCTTCATTATCTTTAAAATTGAATATTTTTAACGATGAAACTTGAGTGTTTTAATTTCCTGTTGTAATTAACTGATGTATTAGTTGAATATTTTTACCTCATACTTTTATCCAATTACAAAACAACACATACCTGGTGTCACAGACGTACAAACCCTTGGATGAGTCGTCACATCGGCATCGCTTCTCACAGCCATCATCCCATGTCTGATCCTGGTAGTATTTCACTCCCTTGTACAGACAGTAATCTGTAACACATCATCCAAACACTTACAAAACACAAAGTCCATATGCAAATACTGTAAACTTACATATTTAAGCGGGAGTCTTATTTAAGTGCTTTTCTCTGTGTAAATAATGTGCTCAATTATCAATGCGCCAACTGCAGTTCATGTATAAATGTATATACATGTATATATATATACTTTTTTTTAAATCAAAAGTTTTTTTTAATTTTTCAGCACTTTTATATAAAGGACTGCCAGGTTTGGGTCCTTGAGGTCAGCTTTTGTACATTGATTGTCCTCTCGCAGGAGGAGATTCACTCATCACACTGTTAGCCGTACATACTGAGTTATCCAATACATAACAACATACGTACAATGATTTCCCAGACATGCATATTGACTACTGTATCATACTACTCTTTCCCCTGTCTATATATATTGTTCTTTACAGCATATTTCGTGGGTGCGCCAATTCATCAATACACTAATCTGTTAAAATCTGATAATGTGCTAACAATTTGAATGCGCTAAAGTGAAGATATTTACAGTTTATCAAATTGTTTAAACAATCAATTGGATAGGGCAACAGCCACAGCCTATATAAGCCTCTCCCTCAACTTCCTGCATTATTTATTTAAATCGAGAAACATACATACAACACAACCTAAATAATTTGTTAACACTTCCAACTTATCTCTTGACATTATGGTGTTTTCTTATTTGAAATATCAATGGGAAAGGAATAATAGGAATCTAGCCAAAAAAAAAATAAGCATAAAATATACAGGTTTTCTATATTTCAACACAAAGAAAATATGTTTTCCAAATGATTTCTCACCCTGTGATGATGTGAGTTTGCCAAATAGCCCTGGGATAGGGGGGAGGGGGATGAAACCCAAACAGGGGCATACAAAATGAACAAAGGTAAAGAGTGTGTTTTCCTGACATCTCTAGGGAAGTAGAAAACATAAACACTCAAACAATAAAGGTTTAATGTGTGACGTTTCGATGACTAGTACGGTATGTACTTTGTCACCTTCATCAGATAAATGTCTTTTGAAAGGTACATACACAAAGGTAAGAAATATTTACAAGTTGGTAATAAAATAACTACCTGAAGAAAATATTTCGAAAGAAACCCTAGAGTACGAGTAACAAGGCCCCAGGGTGGGGACATACATACTGAGCATAGGTGATGGAGTAGGTTGTCCTGGCTGGCCTGGTACACCTGGGTTCGGGGCATTGGTATGGCTTAGAACTGGGGCTGGAGTGAGTGTGCCTGTGATTTCTCCCAAGGCACCGCCAAATTGACAGTCTGGGATCTTACAACATGGCTGACGGTAATCAGTAACCAATTTGCATGGGTAAGGGATGCTACCATAACGTGGACATCTGAAATAAAAAAAATCCTAGAATTCAGTATCTTTACCAAACACTGTATAAGATATAAACGTAGTTTCAAACAATGAAATAGTACATATCAAAACTATTATCAATATTAATAATTAATGTTACGTATCATGTTATGGTAAAAATGGTAACCAATACAAAAACTATTTGTGAACTAAGTGTTTTGGTGGGTTTTTATATCGATTTATCTTTTATTTAGTTTTTGGAGAAACCTTATTACCAGGTAGTTTCTGACTGCCCTGACAGTGTGGGGAAAAAACCGTAATATTCAAAATGCCACACATATGCTTTTCATGATCTGAATGCCTCCCTGACAACTGGTACAATTTTTGTTTAGTTATACTTTGCAACAGGAAAATGGACTCTTTGGCACTTTTCTTAAAAAAAATATATGAAGGTCTTGTTAGTATATTTTCTTATTAAGACAAATGTATAGGAGTGATATTTGACAGATTTGAGATGGAATAAACAGAGTATTTATTCTGGATTAATCAGATCCCCATCAACACTCTCTTACCTGTCTGTACAGGTGTAACGCTCTCTTACCTGTCTGTACAGGTATAATGCTCTCTTACCTGTCTGTACAGGTGAAACACTCGCTTACCTGTCTGTACAGGTGTAACACTCGCTTACCTGTCTGTACAGGTGTAACGCTCTCTTACCTGTCTGTACAGGTATAATGCTCTCTTACCTGTCTGTACAGGTGTAACACTCGCTTACCTGTCTGTACAGGGGTAACACTCGCTTACCTGTCTGTACAGGTGTAACACTCTCTTACCTGTCTGTACAGGTGTAACACTCGCTTCCCTGTCTGTACAGGTGTAACGCTCTCTTACCTGTCTGTACAGGTGTAACGCTCTCTTACCTGTCGGTACAGGTGTAACACTCGCTTACCTGTCTGTACAGGTGTAGAGTCCTGTTGTGGCATCCTGACAGTTACAGTTGTATTCACATCCATCCATCCATGTCTGGCCCTGTAGGTATTGGCTTCCCTTGTACAGACAGAAACCTGTAACAAATCAAGTCCTCATTCAGCTATCTTGCTTCCCACATTTTTTAATATTGCAGACTCTTTTTCTTGTTCAGACAGAGGTCCACAACATGCACATTTTCGACTCAGCTAGCTCCCTATCCAGAAACTTTCATGTAAAGGGGGATTATGTTGACGTGAACAGACATAAAATAGAGAGAAATCTTCACCCCGATTCAGTTATCTCCCTTTAAATGGAATGGTAGGGCTAAAGGAGACAGATTGGATTTCATCAAAACTTTTCAACTCCAGCTTCCCTTACAATAATAATAATAAACCAATATAAGATATCTCACAAGACGTCACAGTGTTAGTATGAAAATACAGAGCATCTTACCTATGTTAGGGTTGGTCTGGTCTGGATTCTGACCCTGGAAGGAGCCAGGAGGAAGAGAGGGCACGACTCCGTGACCGGTCTGGGAGCTGGATGTAGTCTGGAAGTTACAGTAGGGCACCTGACAACAGGCAGGGTCTTGAGCATCCTTCACCATGGTACATGAGTCGGGTACGTTCTTGTATTCTGGACACCTGGAGAACAAAGTTTGCCATTCTATTTCTCATACGACATCTATAGAATCCAGTCAGAAGGCATTACTGACTAGTGAAATAGTCTTAAAATCAGGGTTAGACACTGACTATGTTTGCTTGGTAGTCCACAGGAATATTCAAATAGATTATCTGCTAGTCCTACATCTTTGTCACTTTAAGTCCAAACTTTCCTTCAGGAAACATCGTCGACAAAAAACACAAGAAGTAACTGACTGTAGGGGACATAAATTAACTACTGGCATAAAAATAAGGTGAAGTTTTAAAAAAAATTGACAAATATCCTGCAATATATCAGTATCTTTAGCAGGTTTCCAAAACAAATATTCTTATTTTATAATCTTTCTACTAAATGATATTGTAATACCATAGTTTTTACAAGTTCCAAAGGACCAGTTACCGGTAAGTAAGGTGATTCACTAGTCCTTTCTAAAATCTACCAGTCTCAACCTAGAGGACTTGTGTTAGAGTCAAACCCTGAAAACAACATCTTTATTAGACACTTATGTTTGGGTACAGAAGAATCTTACAGTATCTTGAGACTTGACTGCAAGACCGACTGGACATAATGGTGGTACCTGCATACGAACCTGAACACTACCTGTATGTAGGCTGTAGGTATATTATCTGTTCACTAGAAAATATACAGTGACACCTGTCTTGAGTGACCATATAATCAAGTTTACATAGAAATATCACTAGACCGGGATGAAGGTCTCGTTTGAATTGGCTTTCAGATTACAAGAGCTTCCTTTAGACAGTTTAAAACATGGTAAATAATACTTACAGATCTATAAAGATGTTTTTGGAGTACATACATCGTGCTATACGATCAAAAATATTTACCTGTTTGTACACCTGAAGAATCCATGTTCTGCATCATCACAGGTACACTTGTACTGACAACCATCGTACCATAACTGTCCCTGTGCATACTGCTTGCCATTATAGAGGCAGACCTCTGTAATACCAAGGTGGAAAAAGTCTAGTAATACCAAACTTCAGCAGTGTTCATGATTATAATAGTCATAGAATTACAGACTATATATGTCTATAAGTTTGGTTGGTCAATACAAACTGAAACATTTGCAGACCTGATTTGTCCATGCCAATACGAGATATGATTTCAATATTATATTATCTTACTTTGTAAGGATTAGCACAGAATTTTCCTCTTTGTACATACTTGGCCTGGGAATGGTGGGAATAGGTGTGGTTATCACTGGTCTGGGTGTGTGAGGAACGGTGATGGGAGCAGCGGAGCCGTTGAAGGAAGTGACTGTCGGTGTGAAGTCACAGTAGGGCACTTGACAGCATGAATCTTGTGGGTCAGCAACCAGGTGACAGAATGGGGCAGGTAGGTTGGGATACTTTCGGCACCTTCAAACAGCATACAATAAAAAGTTCTTTAAAACAGGTGACAGAATGGGGAAGGTAGGTTGGGACATCATTGATATAGATAATCTTTAATTTACAGAACAGTATTGACTCTTCTAACAAATTCACAGGATACTGTATAAGATTTTGCTTATTAGTTGCGGATATAAAGGATGAACAGTGGAAGAGGGTATACAAATGAATGGTCACCTTTCGGTACATCTCCACTTGCCAATTGAGGCATCCTCACACACACAGTTGTAGTTACAGCCATCCTGCCACTGCTCACCCTGGTTGTGTTTTTGGCCCTTGTATATGCAGTAACCTGAAAAGAATAATAACCTTGGAAGTAAAGGTTTATTCTCCCAACTCAAAACTGTAGTTTTCTTTATTCTAACTTAAGGAAATGCACAAATTTAACAAAAAAAATGGCTAAGTAATATTAAATATATTGTCAGCTGATGTTCTGAAATATGTCATTGTATGAAGATGTAGCCAGGTGTTCAAATACATCATTCAAATCATCGCACATTATGCCAGTGTGAAGGAATGTATGTATGTGCAAGAACAGCATGGACCAACCATCCACATTCCAGTCACTGCCGTCTCCCTACTTCACTCGGACTTTACCTCTCGACAGTAACACACAGAAAGTGCCGACTAACGCTAATGCCTACCTTTTAGATATCAAACTAGTAATAACATCCCGTATGAAAAGAATACAAATTACTTTAATATTCATGAGAACAGTTCGATTATCAAATTTCACATTGTTGATTACACACCTGGGAGTGACGCATTTTGCACATGTTTTGCTAGTAAAGTGTCTACACAATGAAGACTAAGTTTTCGTGTGTTGGTGCAGTTCTATGTACGTGAAAGACCGATGATGGAATTTATATAAGTATTTTCAGTAATATGTCTTTTATTTTGGATACACAATTTCGGAGAATGTGCCATAAGTAACAACCAGCTTGGCACTGTTTCAAAGTCTTCAGGTTAGTGCGCTGATTTTTGATATCGGTTGCCGATCAGGTCACTAGTGAATTGAATCGCAAGACGGTCAGTTGTACATGCAATGATAACCGGTTTGACAAGTAATGCATTTTTTATACACAGCGAGACCTATACTATATCTAGTATTACATGATACAGCTGATCCTGTCGACTTACATCAAACATCTTACTTATAAAATTCTGTTAACAGACCAGCTTACCTACGCCTGGCCTTGAGGTCACATAGGGCGCTGTAGGGGCGGCTACATTGCTGGTGAAAATGTGTTCGTAGTGTATGGTGTTATAGGTACTGTTGAACAGGTCAGTGACACTAGGTGGCTCCACTATACCATGGCCAATGTTACCCTGCTGGAAGGATGGGATAAGGGGCGTGGTTGGGTCGGTACATACTGGCTTCTTGCAGCAAGAGTCGTCAGGGTCCTGCGACATATGGCAGCCGATTGGCAGGTTTTGGTAAGATGGACACCTGAAAAAATGTTATAGCAAAGTAGAGAAAAACATTAAGAACAGTTGTCTATACAGATGATTCAGTTTTTTTTTAAATCCTCTTTATAGGGAAAAAAAGCCTTTTACTAACTTGAATAATATTTTCATAATTACATTATGTAAATCAATTTCCATTAATATCTATATCTATACCTGAATAAATGAATTGTACACCTTCACTTATGAGCTGCCTAATTTTCTGTTTACCTTTTTAATAAATACTTATCAAATGAGCTTTTTACCTTTCAGTGCACCTGTAGTAGCCAGTTTGGGAATCGGTACATTGACACGAGTAGTCACAGCCATCGTCCCACCTCTGATCTTGGATGTACATGTTGCCCTTGTACAGACAGCCACCTTCAAACATACACATTGTAAGTATATCTCTGCAAAAAAATGGTCAAAATTACCTATTTTCCAAATTTAATATTGTAACGCACCAAGGTTTTGAGGCGTTGCGTTCCGTCTAATTCACCAACCAGCGGGAATCCTTAAAGTTATACCGGCCGCTACCGGGAATAATCAACCGGGCTTCTGGGATAGAGCACTTTTGTTCCCGACTTCAGCCAGGTAAGCAGTACTTTTTCAGCTGTCTAAATCCAATGATTTAATTACTCTATGTCGCCTGTGTCTTGTTATACTGTTAAGTTTGAATGTACAATAAACGTGCGAAATCTATATCTGCCTAAGTTGTTTGTGTCACCGATCTCTGCTCCTAAATACTATTTCATACTTTATTTACAATCTATGGAACCTGCAAGCGAAAGCGGCAGTCGAACCCGAGTGTGTAGGTAATGTTTCGTTACAATATTATTGTTCAACACAAAGTTGTAAAAATTATCTATTTTCCAAATTTTATATTATTTTTCAATTCAAGTTCAATTCCATCTAATTTCATTCTTTCACTTTAAAAAACTCTGTTTGCTATGTGTTGTGTAAAATCATCTCATAATTAGGTAAAATTCCAATAGTGAAACAGAAAAGCTCGTGTTATACGACTTCCTCCTGGACTGTACAGGAAACAGGCCAGAGGAATTGTGGGTACATATGTAATGTACTTATGTTAGTACTTCAATCGTTTAGTGATGCAATATATCTTCCACTGCTATTGCTGCAGGGATTACTGTCACCACAGGCAAGAAGATGGTAACAGTGATTTAACTCTATACATAGTAAACTATAATAAGCAAACAAACTGGATAATATATCATGGTTTAGGTTCACATAAACAAATTTCCTTTTTTTTCAGGATACACACAAAAGTTTGAAATGATTAAAATTTAAAGACAAACTTTTTGTATTTTCAGAGACCAAATTAGTAAAAAGGAAAACAACAAGCAAATTCGTGGAATTTATATCCCCTGCTTTCAGGACATATTGTAGGTAAACATTTTTGAGGTTAGGTTTAAACATGTGAGCATATCTTGCTGTTGGGACATAATGTATAGCTTGAAACTCGAAGAAAAAAAGCCTTATCTAATATTTGCAGATAATGACTCTGCCAAATGGAGTCCGATTAAAGTGGTTGTCAAACTTGGCCGAGGCCTTAATGTCTTTGAACCCTGTTACTAAGTTTGAAGAAAATCGTTTAACATTTGCTGTAGTTATTGCACAGAAACGGAAGATAATGACGTTTTTCGTTATTCAAGGGGCCATAACTTTGCCAAATGGGGGTCCGCTGAAAGTGGTCATCGAACTTGACCGAGCCCTTAAGGCATTTAACCCTGTGACCAAATTTTAAGAAAATGGGTTAACATTTGTTGTAGTTATTGCATGGAAACGAAGCGTGACAGACAGACGGACAAACCTTAATTAATATCACCCGCTTTCATCGAAACGGGGGATATTAATTTGGGTTTGTCCGTCTGTCTGTCACGCTTCGTTTCCGTGCAATAACTACAACAAATGTTAAGTTATTTATCTGGGGATGAAAAACACAATTCAATGACTCAAAACAAGAATGAAAAAACTCTTTTGATAACTGATAGATAGCAAGAACATACGCAGAGTAGGGGCTGTGAATCCTGTTCCTCCTGTCCCAGGTTGGGGTTTGGCACCAGAGGGCAATGTAGGAGCGATCTGTGGTTTACTGGGGTTCTGTATAGTGATCATACCACCATTACCGATGGTGTTGAGGTTATTTGTGGACGTAAGGAAGGAACCAGTGTCACACTGAACAGTGGAACAGCACTCTCCTGCTTTCTTTGTCTCATAGCAACCCTGTGGAAGGTTGTTGTAGGTCGGGCAGCTGGACATCAGAAAAATAGTAATATTAGTAAAATCTGGATATAAAATTACTTTCTGCACGATACAAATTTAACTGAAGATTATGTACAATGTAAAGAAATAAGCATACATATCATTATTAACTTTCTTTATCTTATTTAATTTCCCTTCTCTACTCAAATTGTTTTTTTCTGTTCATCTGGAAGAAATGTTTTTATCAACAGATAAATGATAAGAGAAATCCAATTTTCAAAACAGAGATTCAGTACCAATCTAGCCTTCATTTCAAGATCTTCGAAGATTTATTTTACTCTTTAGTAGTGTGATATAACAATCTGAATCAAATTTTACTGGGACCGAAATATATGGGCATGTTCGTTTATGCGGAAGAACCGGTTTGTCTGTTTTTAAATGAAACATTTTCAGGTATAAATCCTGGTGGACTTGCCAATGTTTATGGATCGAGGCATTACAAGGCTTTGGCCTGGCTCGCCTTAAAATTGAATCAGATAACTAGGTACAATCTTATTTTATAATTGTACAACTCTGGTCCAACCAGTCCAACCATTTGGATCGTGATAAACGAAAGCGGCCCAAGTATATGGTAAGTTAACACCGGGCCTGGTTTATAAAGTTATGTGATGTTGGGTATCAATATTTCTATAAATATGTTTTGTTTCTTATTTGAAAATTTATTTTGAAATTCTACCTGTCCTTTTTCATTGTTTTTCCCACTCCGTTCATTAGGTTTGTTTAAATACAGACATTGTTTGTGTAACAGGAGAAAGAGAAATGCAATGGCCAGACCAGGGTTTGAACCCGGACCCTCCGAACTCTAGACGGACACTCTACCAATTGAGCTATCTGGTCACCGACAATCGACCCAGTCCAGTTCCACTACATTCCTCCCTCCTTTTTTCTAGTTTTTTTCTCCCAAAGACAACACTATTTACAACTCAGATTCGGATATCCCCCTGCTAAGCATTCACCAAGTGGCAAATTAATCTCGCCAATTTTTTTACATGAGAAAGAGAAATGCAACAGCCAGACGGGGGGTGGAACCTGGGACCCTTCAAACTCTAGACGGACGCTGTACCAATAGAGCTATCTGGTCGCCGACAATAGACCCAGTCCAGTTCCACTACATTTGCATGAAAGAATTAAGGAATTCCAACACTCACGTGTTGACACATCGGTAGTAGCCATAAGCAGCATTTTCACACACACACTGTGTGTCGCAGCTGACCATCCATCCTTGACCTTGATGATAGATGCGACCTTGATACAGGCAGGTGTCTAAAACAAGATTCAAAATCAAATGTCACCCATTACAAAATCTGACAAAACAAAAAATTATTATCTCAATCAATACTTTCAATACCATCTGTCTAATGGACCATTTTCTTTAAGCATAAAACTTGAGGAAACAATTTTGTACATAAAAATAAAAAGTCTAATAATGTGAAGGCAATGTTAAGAGAATAATTAGTGATTCCTCTTATCTTATTGACTACATTTTTTGCCGTAAACTGTTGTAAAATAAGATTTGTACTCATGATTCTCGTTGTAAAGCAAACAAAAATATAACGTAATCCCATTACCCAAAGTACCATCATGATCACTACCCCTTTACCTGTCACCCATAAGCCAATAACTGTTATTTGTGATTTAATGTATTACAATAATACATTTTTTGTCTGCAGATCGTTTGAAATTTAATCCCCGCGAACTGGTTCTGATTGGAACAACCGTGAAATTAAAGCCCTGCAAAATTAAATCCCTGCAAACTAGTTCTGATTGGGACAACCACGAAATATTAGCCCCGCAAAATTAAACACCTATGCAGTACAGAATCCTGATTCAATGGTCATTAATCAGGTAAGCCTACAGAGATATGGACATACTACTAAGTAGACTTACCATTAGGTCCAGGTGTTGGTTTTACGTCTGCAGGAGAGGAGATAAGCACAAATTAAATCAAAATTACTTACTAAAACAAAAACAGATTCAAAAGTCTGAGTGCATAGATGAGAATGGATGCTACAGAAACCATCACCCATAAGCCTGGCAATAACTGTTATGGTAGATTTATATCTATTTAATGTATTATAATAATATATTTTTGACTGCATATGGTTTCAATAGAGATTAAAAAATTATACCCAATAGAAGCAAAAGCTACCTAAAAACACCTGGTATTAAAGAAATGTCATAGTCCTTAATCATATTGAAATTTAAAACAAATTCTTTCTTATTCAAAACTTTAGGACAATAATCATTAGCTTAATAGGATATTAGTGGATGCAGGCATTGCTGCCTCTATATCCACATCAATATAATTTGAAATACATTGTGGTAAACATAAAATAAGCCTATATGTAAGGCGCTGTAGGATCGTACTTCAAATAAAGATCTTTCAAGTATTCGTCCAAGTTTTTTCTCAAAGTCAAATACTTTACAATATGAAATAACATCTTCTGACAATGTTGTTTGAGTGTTGATTTACTGTGTCCAAGAATTTTTCTTGAGCAGAGAGATCAAATTTGAAGCCTATATCCCATTCATAAACATAAACACGTTGATCATATCTCCGGGCAAGCCCCGTATGTTAGAGTTGGAAGCTTCAATCGACGTAGTCTCTCACTGTAAATTTGCAAAACTTTTCTCTTTGCTTCTACTGTTATGTGTATCGTGATATGTATCATATCTTGACCACAGTATCATGATACGTATTGTATCGTCATGTTAATGCATCGTTGCAGCCTTAGTACTTGCTCTCATTACCAAGGGTAAAACGACAGTAAATACTTTCTGGTACACATAACTCTCATAGAATCTTGTCAGTACTATGTGCCAGACTTACCACAAAGGTTGCAGTGTTTCCTACAGTTATCAGAGGCCCAGCCCGGGAAGTTGGTACACACAGTACTCTCGTAGCGGCCACAGTTGGGGAGGGCATCGGCACAAGCAGGGGCCGCAGTCGGAGCGAGTCCTGGGAAATAAAACATGAACATAAAGTATAACAGTTTCATTGAATCAGACATATTGCCCTAGTTGTTCTTAGTTGCAGACTGGTCAACAGGAAACTTTAGTTTTGTTCTATGGGTGTCCAATTTTACTCCTGCTGAAAAGGTAAACATATCTACCAGGAGATACCTGGAGGATGTTACATTTCAGCCACTAGCTGTAAATGTTATAACCTTGGAGGTTACCACATCAAATATCCCTGTAACTCGCTGTTGTGACCTAAGAACAACTACAGTACAGACACTTCCAGCATCCCTGTAACTAGCTGTAAATGTTGTGACCTAACAACTACGAGGACAGACACTTCCAACATCCCTGTCACTAGCTGTAAATGTTGTGACCTAACAACTACGAGGACAGACACTTCCAGCATCCCTGTAACTAGCTGTAAATGTTGTGACCTAACAACTACGAGAACAGACATGTCCAATATCATCCCTGTAATCAGCTGTTCATGTTGTGACCCAACAACTATAAGAACAGATACACCCAGTATCCCTGTAATCAGGCCCCAGTTTAACCTATGTTCCTTAACTTGAGTTATTCCATTTGAAAACATTGATGAACTTAAGGAGAAAATTACTTTCAGTAATATGTTTCAATGGAAAACCCTAACTTAAGACGTTTCGTGAAGGACTATTCATGGAACTGGGACCAGCTGTACAAGATTTTTACATACCTACTACCTAGGCCAAATAAAAACTCTGTACACATGCTAAAGTTGTGACATACCTACTACCTAGGCCTAATACAAACTCTGTACACATGCTAAAGTTGTGACATCCCTACTACCTAGGCCAACAACAAACTCTGTACACCTGCTAAAGTTGTGACATACCTACTACCTAGGCCTAATACAAACTCTGTACACATGCTAAAGTTGTGAGATACCTACTACCTAGGCCAAATACAAACGCTGTACACATGTTAAAGTTGTGACATACCTACTCCCTAGGCCAAATAAAAACTCTGTACACATGCTAAAGTTGTGAGATACCTACTACCTAGGCCAAATACAAACTCTGTACACATGCTAAAGTTGTGAGATACCTACTACCTAGGCCAAATACAAACTCTGTACACATGCTAAAGTTGTGACATCCCTACTACCTAGGCCAACAACAAACTCAGTATAGATGTATAAGTTGTGACATACCTACTACCTGAGCCAACAACAAACTCTGTACACATGTAAAAGTTGTGACATACCTACTCCCTAGGCCAAATAAAAACTCTGTACACATGCTAAAGTTGTGACATACCTACTACCTAGGCCAACAACAAACTCTGTACACCTGCTAAAGTTGTGACATACCTACACCAAGGCCACTGACAGACCCTGTTCCAGTAAAACTTCCCTGCTGGGTGCTGAACTCACAGGCAGGCTTGGCGCAGCAGTCTCCAGCTTTTTTGTCAAGGCGGCAGTATGGTGGAAGGCTGGAGTAGGTCGGACAACTGTCAGGGAAAAGTCAATTGCTTTTTTAAGAATCAGGTCAATTACCTTCAATAATTATGAATTCTGGTCTCCAGTACAATGCAATCCCTTTTGGTCAGGGCAGAGAGCTTGAATATATATATATCATAACAATAAAATCAGTAAGAATTTGTTGAACCTACCGGTCTTGACATTGGACAAGTCCTGTGGAACCTGATGTACAAGTGCAGCGATACTGGCAGCCATCATCCCATGTCTGACCCTGAAAATATTGCTTGCCCTTGTAGGCACAAACAGCTGAAAACAATAAACAGCACAATTTAACACTGCTATGCACATAGGCCTTGTAGGCACAAACAGCTGAAAACAATAAACAGCACAATTTAACACTGCTATGCACATAGGCCAAATTAATATAAAAGAAAACGTATTGTAAAACATCTTTATTTTAAACTTGGATATCTGACATGCTCCATTTACATCCAAGTTTGTTAAGGTCTTAACATTTCACTATACTTGCAAAAACAAAATTTAAGCATCTTCTTAAAAGGTCAAAGTAAGTTAGAATCCCCACAAAAACTGTAACTATACATTTCTTTTTTTTCCGGCATGACTATAGCATCGATAAAACAAGAGGCCCATGGGCCTTAACGGTCACCTGAGTCCTACAGTATTTATTTTTATTGTTGAAATATGTACCAATTTGAGTAAAAAATAGTTAAGTATAATGTTAACTTAACTTTGTCAGGACCATGAGCTGATCATTCCTAGACCGATTTTAAGTGAGATCGGCCTATTAGAACTTGTTTTTAAGTTTGAAATAGGTATTTACAAAATAGCGGCCATGGCAGCCAAATTGTATTTCTGATTGACCCGAAAAATAACAACACTTTGTCAGGACCATGAGGCGATCATTCCTACCAACTTTCAGTTCAATCGGCCCAGCAGAACTTGACTTTAAGTTTGAAATGTAAAATGTTAACGGACGACGGACGACGGACGACGACGGACGAAAACGGATAGCAATAGGTCACTTGAGCTAAAGCTCAGGTGACCTAAAAATGCTGAAAAGAAAACCATAGCTTGCAGAATTATTATAGAAAATGATACAGATGAAATAAAGAAAAATTAATCAAGGACAGTGTTCTGAGGGTAAAAACTCAGACGGAGCCAGACCAGGATAGAATACTGGAGCACCTGAATCATTATACTGTCGCTCTAGCCAACTGAGCTACTTGGTTTCAAGTCCAACAGAACTTTAGGTATACCGTAAAAACCCATGTAATTTGCGCACTTTTTTTTCAGAAATTTAATACCCAAAGTGGGGGGTGCATAAAATACACAGGTATAGAAAATTTCAAGTTTTTTTCAGGAAAAGATCGACGATTCTGGGAGATCGCCATCTTGGATTATTTCCCTTGGTACACGGAACTCTAAGACAAATGACGGTCAACAAATTTATTTATGTCAAACATTAATAAAAGATACATAATGTGTTGTTATGCGAGTTTATGTGAAAAGTATTATTAAATAGGTAACCGTTAACAAAAAAAGTTTAGCCAAATTCCTAAACCAGAGAATCGCCGATCAACTTACGACATTACGTTTCGACATCTCGGTGCGTTTCCCCATACTATATATATTACGAAAATGTAGTTGTTCAATTTAAGCTCCGTTCCATGCAAGTTCTGTAAGTTTTTTTCAAATCGCCTATGCGTATACATATAGCATGGTTTTTTTCCGGCTCACTTTCATGTTGATCTCGCGTCTAACATTACGTAAACACGTGATTGATAATAACCTCGTGAGTTATTTCAATATTTATTAAATGAAGCATCGTAAAAACAGTCTGCATTAACTATTTTTTTCCTTGGAGTAGATTTGAAGAGGATGTATTGATTGTCCACGCTTCTAGTATAAACATATTTTTTATAATCCCTTATCAGTCAAATCAGTCTGTTGTTATGACAATGCAGTAGGGCTTCGTAATTCACGCCACGTGTTGGCGAGTGAAAAAAACAACAACACGGTCCGTCGATCGCGACTGCAAATCATTTCAATTAGTAGAGCTATTGTTAACGGGTAATCACAGAGATAGTGTTAGCTAATTACTGCATTGTAATTTATAAAAAAATCGCCAAACCACGGACTTAGATAATCTAATTCTGTGGCCAAACTGAACTGTGACATGACCTGGTTTGCAGTGACGTAACCCATGCCGCCATGATGAGCCCTTCTCACTGATCTAATTATGATCAATAAAAGGTATCTAATTATGTCTTTCACCAGGAGATATGCACCAGCGGTTACTAAACATCGAATTACTTATTAATTGATGTGTTTTTGTAAGCAAGTAAATGTTTTATGTAAAATATTGCTAAAATGAATTGATGTATGCCGATATGCACACACGTGTGTGTCATGTGTGATGAGATAATTCAAAGAAAAAAAGCAACAAAATACACATTTTACGTAGTTTCTTCTTGGTTTTAAATATCGTTTTACATCAATGAAAAAAAATCATAGAAATATTTTTTTTTTTAAATATTCAGAGATCGATTTTCGGAGCATGAACATCGTTTTTTTTCCAGATTTTTTGGGTGCGCAAAATATTCGATTAGAAGCTTTTTTCCCGATTTTCAGCCTCAAAAAGTACCTGCGCAAATTACACAGGTGCGCAAATTACATGGGTTTTTACGGTAGACGTATTTTTTTCAACAAATAAGTGACCACGGTGGCCATCTTGAATCATGAAAATTAAAGTTGGCCATTCCACACGAAGCATATCCCATATGTATCACTCCAATAGAGTTTCATTGAATTCAGTTTGTTACGATCAGGTGCACAACCAAGCAATGTACCATTATAAAAAGTTTGGTTGAAGTCTAAAATCTCTGAGTTGGAAAATGGCAAACAAACAATATCTTAACTCTGGCCTGGATACATACCCATTCCAAATGAGTTTTTGGCTGGAGCAGAGACTTCAAACTTGTTCATGTTGGAGTTGAAATTGCAGACAGGTTGCTGACAACAGTCTGTTGGACTTCTCACCAAGGTACACTGTGGGGGCATGTTGTAATATAGGGGGCACCTGTTGAGAGAACAATGCATGTGTTTTTATATATGTTGAGGACCTTTTGGAAAATAGGTCGAATCTTTAAAAGAGATCCTCTGTAAACGAAGCTATGATTATTATGCATACCTTTTCCTGGATTTTAATAAACTATATTTATCCTGTAATAAGCTCAAGGTGCCAACACATAATCTGTGACTGAAAGTAGGGGGTAGGCTTATTACAGTACAACACATAATCTGTGACTGAAAGCAGGGGGTAGGCTTATTACAGTACAACACATAATCTGTGACTGGTAGCAGGGGGTAGGCTTGTTACAGGACAACACATAATCTGTGACTGAAAGTAGGGGGTAGGCTTATTACAGGGCAACACATAATCTGTGACTGGAAGCAGGGGGTAGGCTTATTACAGGACAACACATAATCTGTGACTGAAAGTAGGGAGTAGGCTTATTACAGGGCAACACATAATCTGTGACTGAAAGCAGGGGGTAGGCTTATTACAGGACAACACATAATATGTGACTGAAAGTAGGGGGTAGGCTTATTACAGGACAACACATAATCTGTGACTGGAAGTAGGGGGTAAGCTTATTACAGGACAACACATAATCTGTGACTGGAAGTAGGGGGTAAGCTTATTACAGGACAACACATAATCTGTGACTGGAAGTAGGGGGTAGGCTTATTACAGGACAACACATAATCAGTGACTGAAAGTAGGGGGTTGGCTTATTACAGGACAACACATAATCAGTGACTGAAAGTAAGGGGTAGGCTTATTACAGGGCAATGAAAAAGCTTTTGATGGAGCTTTTGTTGACATTTCTTCCTATCTGCAATATACATTGGTGGGCTTATTACCAAGCATGGGCTTTCTGGCAGATAAACATGATAGTGCCCAATGAAACCACAGTTTTGAAATAGAATGACCGACTACCAAGACAAGCCATTCAGATTGATATGTCTCGCCTGTGCCTCGCTTTGACCATCAATGCACATGTCAAGTTTGGTTGGTCTAGCACTAATAGTTTCTAACTTAAATGCAAACATTTAATGTTGATGGAGATGCTGACAAAGTCAATGGACCATGAAATGTAGGCAGTATCTATCATTTGATGCATGGGTTGAAATGTACTACCTAAGATACATCTATGGTCCAAGTTTGGCTTGTCGAGTATTTATTCTTTCAGTGAAACTAACCTAAACGCAAAAACTTAATAGTGACGCCGACACCGCCATCGCCGGAAAGGCAACACCTAAGTCAGGCAGCGAGACAAAAATGGATGGAGAAAGTGGGAGTTTGCATATTCATTGGATAGACATAATCCAGCAGCATACTTGCTACTCATTTTCATTGGCTGTTTCTTCATATTTATGAACAGAACATGTATAGGTTTCTGAATGGAATTAACAGAGAATAGTAAGAAGAAATGAATTCAACCTAAAGGCATAGCTACACATTTTAAATATGATTCTTACATACAGTCATTAGGATTCACAAAATTAAATTGGAGGCTATCTGGTATGTCCAATGTAGCAACTAATTTTCTTACCAATTTACTTTCATATATATATACAGTAAAACTTCAATATAATCTCCCTTGTTTCATTTGCCACCTGGCTTACCGCCAACATGTTTCAATGTCTCTTTTTCTTGTTATCTTAAGAACTCCTTTAAATATCAGCAAACTCCTTTATAATGCCAACATTTCCCCTGACAAATGGCGGCAGTATAATGAGGTTTTAGTGTAACTTTGATCACTTTCATTCAAGATTTACAACACATTTAGCAGGGTATATGATGGTTGGATACCTATTGTAACAGCGGTAGCGGCCACTGTTTCCGTCCTCACAGACACACTCGTAGTCACAGCCATCTGTCCATTTCTCACCATGTTTGTAGGAGTTGCCCTTGTAGTTACACTGTCCGTCTAAAACACACAGTTCATGGTTAATAGGAAAAATTTACATTCAGCAGTAAACGATTGTGAATCTGTCCTATACAAGATCTGTAAGTCAAGTGGTTTGATTGCCCCATTTCACATTTTCATTTAGTTCTTTAATATAATATGCTTATTTATTTCAGGGTATTGCACATTACCTGTATTGTGTCAAATGGTTTGGTGCCCAATTTTCTGTTTTCATGTAAGTCTTGAACATTATATGATAAAAAAAAATCAAGCAGCTTTCAATAAGCAACTTAACTGTAAAATGCTAATGACGTGAAAATAGCATTAAGAACACTTAACAATTAAGATTCAGCAATAAAATTTTAGTGATGAAGAAAATATTACCAGATACAATTTATATTAAAATCAAGATCACAGGTTTTGGGAAAACTGCTTTATCTTTAATTTTTTCATATTTGAAAAACTGTTTAATTTCAGGGGAAAAAATACATAATTATTTGAATTGGTTAAAACTGGTATCAATTGCAAAAAAGAAACCTTTAACGTTGCTCCATAATATTGCTGTAAGCAATTGTAAAATAAAGGAAGTTTTTATTTTGTAAACAGTTAAAACAACCATGGAAATAGAAACACTGTTTGGTTTCCCAAAAACTAGGGCTACAATGATATATTGTGCGATGATAGATCGCGATATTTTGAATACTGTACGATACACAATGTTTTTTGAGAGGTCACAATACACCTGCAATATTTTCTGGATTCTGTTGTTTCTGAATCAAGTCTCCTCATATCCGTTCCTACATAGCAAGTGACAGCCCCAGCTTGGCATGCATGTCGAAAGACGTGAATTTTGTGAAACTTTAAAGTCATGCCCATTTTGGATCAAGTCTGTTTCCAGTTGTAATAATGCCATTAAAAAATATGGAACATACCTCTTTGCTTTTATGTTGCTATATGTATTGTGATATATATCATATGGTGATCACAGTATTGTGATACGTATGGTATTGTCATGTTAATGTTGCAGCCCTACCAATAACATCTTGTGAAATACTGATTTCAGGTAAGTCTTCTCTTTAGTAACAGATTTCCATTCCCTTTTATTTGTACCAATCAAACATGAATTTGTTCCATTATTACTAAGTTTTACTTACAGAATCCAACGGCACTTGTTGCTGGGCCTACAAACACAATAAATATAATTGTCATCAATTATAGAAGACTAATTAATGTACAAAAAAAAACAATAATTTCCTGGTTCTTAGAATTCATTGGCAGTTCTGTTCTCAGTACCTCTATTTTCAGACAGATTTTATGAATAAATGTATGTAATGAAAAACTACAGTTTAACATGGTTTTTTTCCACTATAACTCGAGAGATTCCTCTTTCTACCAATGTTCTATAACACCATCCTTTCTGCAGAAATCTTAGATCATCTTTTTGCTAAGGTTTTATGACCTCACCCCTTTTTAATCAAATTGCTTTGAGAAACCATTTTATTCTGCCAATACGTAGAATCTGTCTTTAACATTTAGGCATTAATGCTTCAGTAGTGATCACTACCTTCAAAAACCGAAACGGTACAAAATCCAACTATGTAAGAGGTTCTACATTATGTATCTGGATTAAGACTACATTCTTGATAAAATAATGATATATTTACCGCAGAAGCCACAGAATTTCCGGCAGTTGTCCTCAGCCCATCCCTTGTATGTGGATTTCAGACACACATCTGTGCCATAACTGGGGCAGTTGTTGAGCTGATCCACACAGGGTGGTGGGGCAGTGGTAAACAGGGCTAAATACAAAAAGGAAATCAAATCTAGTCCTTGCTGTAGGTAACTGCTCAATGTTAATACAGTGTATTCCCTTAATCTCGATGGTTTTCAATGTTTGATTGATCTGTCCCGCCAATCTGCTTTAAGTATAACCGTTCAGGTGAAATCTACAAGTACTTGTGCTAGCAATTTTCAGTTACAGGAAAAAGAAATGCTATTCACATAGTGTTAACTTAATAAACTGTCATTTCAGTGGGAAATTAAAAATAATCTGTTGATTTACGTGGGAAATTTTCTATGAAAATTTTCGCCCATATCAAAATAATTTCAAAATCTTTTGTTAAAAATTAGCGCAAAAATATACATATGTGAAACATTAACACACAGCAAAACCATTTTACAACATTATTGCTAACACCAAGATTCGCCAACCATAACACATTTTGAAGAGTTAAAATACATGTACTACTAAAATCTACCATATGTAGGTATGTGAGATAAGGAAATTTTATCTAAGGGTGTAGAATTTGACTCAGAACTGATTTTCTGCCGAGGTTCTGAACCCGAATTCCACATCCTTGTGTAGAATTTCTCTCTTCTACATACCCATATAATGATTGACTCTTTTTCTCTCACCTCCTATCAAGGAATTCATTACAAATCAACAACACACAGCGAATTTTCCAAGAATATACATGTATTTGGAAAGCACAGGAAAAAGCTTGGTATATTAAAGGTATATTTTAAAATTAAAAAGAGTTTGGAAAAGCTTCATAGCAATTTTGTTTTAAAAATGGTTTATTTCCACGAGATAATGTCGGATGCCGACTGTGTTTTGGTGATAAGACATTCTTCTACTGACCAAAATGTCAAATTAAAAAATAACGTCATGATATCAGATTGTCTGCTGATATTGTACCAAACATTTTGAACACAAACATTTGATTTTGTGTAGTTCCTAGCCAGGGTCACATGGTGCACCTATAGAGTTATCCCACAAGGGTATACCACACGTAAAATGTGTATCTTGCATACACAGAAGTGGGACAAAACAATTCATATCTTTAAACTGAACAGTATGTATTCGCACTGATAGAAAAACTCACTTATTTTCCTACAACTGAAAGCTAAGGTGACTTGGTGATGACCCTAATTTGTAATGACCCTAATTTGTGATGACCCTAATAGATGTAATAAGGGGTACCTACGGTGACACAATCCACAGTATCGAGCACAATTGTCTTTGGCCCAGGGTGCGTAATTCACACAAACTTGTTGTTCATACTGCTTACAATTTGGTAACATGTCAGAACATGTGTCAGGGACAAGGGTACCACCTGTAACAGGTAACAAAGTTACAGCATTACCATATACTAGAACATTACATGTAACAAAATTACAGGTACATCATATACTAGAATATTACAGGTAACAAAATTATAGGTTCATCATATACTAGAATATTACAGCTAACAAAATTATAGGTACATCATATACTAGAATATTACAGGTAACAAAATTATAGGTACATCATATACTAGAACATTACAGGTAACATATACTAGAACATTACAGGTAACAGATTTTCAGGTACACCATATACTAGGATATTACAGGTAACAAAATTACAGGTACACCATATACTACAATATTACAGGTAACAAATTTACTTCTACACCTTATACTAGATTATTAAAGGTAACAAAATTACAGGATGCACGTCAAATACTAAAATATTATAGGTACACAGACATGAATTACCGGAATACGGCAAAACTAGAATATAAAAAGCAGAAGATAATAAAAACAATCATAATATCTTGTTAACATTTGAACTTTAAACAGCTACCAGGTAATAGCATAACAATGTTGGATTAATCTTCCCTGTAAATCTCTTCCATTTTGCAAGATATATATGCACAAAATAAAGAAAAGGGAAATATAGTGGTTATTGTTTCTTGTGTAAATCCTACTGAATAAGCTGTTTTGAGCATTCAATAAAGTCATAATTAAAATTAATTATAGCAAGTTTTAGAAATATTAATCTTACCTGGTGAGCTTGTCCCTCTTGGAGCAGATGTGGCAGTCACTAGCAAAGATATGATACAATCATATCACTGTTATACTATCACCTCTTAAATTTTATCTATTTTCGGAAATCTGTGCTTACTTTTCAACACACTTCAATTATCATGGCAACAACATATTTCAAATTTCCAAGATTTCTGCAAGCCATATATTGAGTATTGGACTTAAACATCTTTCTCATTTTTATCCCAATTTATGAATAATCTTGAAAATTCTTCTTTTTATAATGTTACCCGCCATTCTGGACAGCAAAACTAAATACATGTGGTTCATTTTTTTTATTTTTTTCAAAACGTATCTTTCTTAGTGAAACATTTTTATAACAGCAGGATTTATAAAATGTTTGCTGGCAAAGCAGAAATGGGTATGTTTAAAGCACTGCTGTGAACAATACCTTTAACATCATTTAATATTGTAATATTCTAGACTTTGCAATTAACTACCATGTCCTGTATTTTAGTTACAGGTTCTAAAGAGTAGTCGAACCATCCGATCTACATATATATTCTCCTACCTTGACAAGCTTTGTTGATAATCTGGGAGGAAATGGAGTTGAGCTGATCATAGCTGTTCACTGTGAAGGTATTTTGGCTATCTGGATTGTCTGCGATGCTGTGAAGCTCATTCATATCAACACCCGAACCGACACCAACGGCTAGCATGCCGATGTTAGCGAGACGAGCCTGATCAGCAGAGGAAGAAGTCAGAGCAGAGCTACTAGATCGTCCATCTGTAATCACGACAGCGATCCTTGGCACATAACTACGGGCGCCACTGTTCTGTGAGAACATCTGACTGGTCATGTACTTGATTGCGTCTCCTGTGTTGGTGCCGCCTTGCATATACTTCATGTTGTCAATGCCGGTGATGACATCCCCACGTGAGGTGTAGGTGTCCAAAGGAAACTCCATTGATGGATAGTTGCTGAACTGCATCAGACCTACATGTACCTATGTACAGAAACCAAGCATTGCCCCTATTTACTTCTATTGTCTTTAATAAACTGGTATTAATGAAAACACTTTTTCTTGAGTCAAACATTACATTTATGATCATGAACCTCGGGGTATCAAAATTTATTACAAAGTCTGATGTTTAAGAGATAATTTCATGCCACAAGAAAGTCAGGCAAAAAACAACTGCAAGAACATTTCAGGCAAAAAAACATGTTTTTAAGTCTCATTACTAAACTCAATTTTATGAAGTGGCGACAGCAAATAGGTATAAAAATGACTACATTAAATTGGACAATTGTTTTAGAGACATTGTTGGATGTGGATACCTTTTTTCCTAAAAAGGGCGTTTTGTAGACATTCCCAGGTGTTGTATTGTTGGGCAGGGAAGTTCCACTGACAATTTTCTACTGTTGTACAATGTCTGTTTCAGACAGCATTTCTTTGATTCAATTAATTATTTTGCTCGTTGTAGGACCTAATTAACAAAAATATGTGGAAATTCCACAAATTTGGACAAAAATTCCAAGACTGAAACTATATCCAACACTGAACACATGCTTGGTAATAAGCTTAGTAGAGCTTACCCATTTTTAATGCAGCGAAATGGAAATGCCAAAAAATATTCCACTGTCCTGTAATTAGGCCCCCCCCCCCCCCTCGGAAGTTCCTGTGACTAAAAACCAAAAATAACGATGTCTGAAATAACATAACACTTACTGCATTAGGGCCAACATTCAATTGTCCGGTGATGCCCTTTAAGAAGTCCTTTAGCTTGAGGAAATTGCTTGCCCCAATACTACCAGAGCTGTCTACTAGGAATACAAGGTCAGCACGCTGCAAGCACTGGGCTGGAATCATAGATTATGTCATCATAAATTGTCATTACAGCATGTCAATTATTTTTGACTTTATACCTAGTAGTGAGTTTCAACGAGGTATTCACAGTTTTAAATGAGACAGTATATGAACTAGCTTAGCAGAGTATTATAATTTTAAACAGTTTCTTTGCCCATTACCTGCAACCAGTACATATTACATATGCATGTTTATTAGAGTGTCAAAACAATTTTCTTGCTGACAAAAATATTTAATAAATGAATGATAAATATCTTACCTGTGTTTGTGGACAGTGCTGGGGTTTCTGTATTCAACAAAAAGTACAATACATTATTTGATGATTTGAATTTGGGGGGTTTTGGTGTTGGGAGAGGGTATTTGCTTTTTTCCTTTATTTGGGAAAAATTTGAAATTTAAGAAATAAATTGATTGCAAGAAAGAATAAATCAAATAAAATAAAAAAATTACCAAAAATGGATTAACAAAACTTTACAAACAGATTGCTCAGTGTTAACAGCAATTTTTGAGTCCTGATCATGAATTGATTTTTTTTTTACTCGATGCATTGTCTGCCCTAGATGGTGGTCATGTTTTTTGTTTTCAGATTTGTTGCAACTGCAACATCACACTTGAACAGGTAATTAATACTTTAGGTATGTGTAGAAAATGTCTTAAAAATGAGAGCATTCCTTGCTGACAAAATGATTCTTATATATATCAACTTTCTCATGATCAGTCGACACCAAAATCAATTTAACATTGACAAGTGTTATGTCTTTTTCTCACCTCTGGTGATGGCGTGGTAGAGTGGGTAGGACAGGTCTGAGAGAGAGTCAAAGTTCTGAGCAGTGAAGCTGTACTGGCTGGACGGGTTGCTGGCAGCGGTAGCAAGTTGGGGTAGATGTGCCCCGCTTCCAACACCCACAGAAAACAGCTTAATCCCTGCGGCCTTGGCACGCTGAGCCTCTTGCTGGAAGGCTTGGGAATTACTCGGAGGAGTACTCATTACCATCACTCCAATATGAGGCACACCTTGACGTGCACCATGGAGGGAGCTGAAGCTCTGATCCGTGACAAACTTTAGACCCTCTGTGGCGTACGGTCGACCAGGTTGGTACTGAATGCTGTTTATGGCACTAAGTATTTGAGCCTTGGTCTGGTACCCATCGAGGTAGAATTGGTTGTGAGCCACAGAGCTATAGGTCACAATGCTTATCCGGATACAACCTGGAGAAACGTCATAGTCACTTATGGTAGACTTGATGAAATTAAGTTGTTTAAAAAAGTTATCCGCCCCTACCCCCTGGGATGAGTCTACCATGAAAGTTATGTCCTGTTGTATACATCCTGAAAATAAAAATTTGTGGAAAATGTCAATATTATACTGTTAGTTGAAATATTAATAATCTACAGTGTAACTAGAAGTAAATTCAAAGAAAAAAATCATTTCACACACCAATGCAAGTGATTTCCTTGATATGTTCACCTTATAGCTTTAGTTACAAAACCCGAAAATTAACTGAAGTGGGTCTTGGTTTTACTGTTGTTCTAAAGCATTACCAAAAGGTAAGCAATATTTAACAAACACAAAAAATATCTAAGTGGTCTGGGTCCTTTAAAGAGACCTAAACAATAACATGCATGATCAGCCCATACATGTCCAATCTGCATTGTTAATACCTTAATTACTACAAAATAAGCTGGGAGATAAATAAAATAGAAACACTTAAGAGTAATTTCGTGAAAAAATGCAAAATGAAGGATTCTTCACAGGTTTAATTCCATAAAAAAAATATGAAAAACTTGCAAAAATATTAAATAGAAGTTATCTCCCTTTACAAATTATATAGACTGTCGCCGCGCATCAAATTCCTATTGCCAAAATTTGGATACCTATATATGCAAAATGCTACGATAAAAGTCATCAATTCTTACAAACTGTCACGGTAATACATTTCGCGATTAATCACGCAAAATGTAGGCCTATCTTATTCTCACATTTGATATCAAGTAGATCGCTATTCTTATTGAACCACGAAATCGGACTAATGTTCGTGGTCAAAAGAAAACCGATTAATTTCGTTAGGATTTAAAGGTTAACTTTGACACAGTTGCTGTATGTTTCTTTACTTGTTCAATGTTTACTGTATCTGCCAGATATAAGAAAGAAAAATAAGGTCATAATATGCCCAGGCTACACAGAAAACGTATTTTGAACTGACGTTGGAAGCTAACTATAGCCAGGATTTCTACGTATCAACACATATATGCTGAAAACTGAACGCCACGTCCTCGATCCATTCGTGACCATTGTTTCATTATTGCTTCAGATGACACCATTGGCCTTTTCATCACTCGTGACAGAATCTTAAAACGTGATTCGTCCAAACATATTATAGGCCTTGATCTAGATTGCAGGGCGGATATCTTTACAAATTTCACGCACTCTTTTTCTCTGTGGTCCCATGATGCAATGCGGGTTTCCGCAGCAGCAAAAAACGTCCACTGATTGGTTGTTTTCTATGTATTACCCGGGAACTTTCGGAATTTTAATACATAAATAAGTTAATTATGCCGAAGAAGTTTGCGGTGTATTATAAACCAGAGTTGTCGAATAATGTTGTCTGTGACAAAATAATCAGATCCATGGTTCTATCAAGATCTGAAATATATTTATCTAGCTGCATTGATCTCGAGCAAGCCTGCCCGCAGTCTGCATTGAAATACTAATTTCTAACATCATTTTTAACATCAAAAGATAGGACACTGTTCTAAAAATAACCAACCTATGCTTGAACAGAATAAAATCAAAAGAGCACATCCGGTAACTGAGATAAGATTATACTAGACGTGTTAGATTAGATCACGTGACTTTCATTCAGGTCTGATCTATTTTTTCTCTCAATTATCTATGACCAAATGCCACTTTCTCATCACAAAATAAAAGTAAAATAAAAACTAAGCAATTTTTAAAGGAATTTACAGAGATATATTATAGATATCTGGGTGAAAACGTCAACGGGAGGTAATCTGATAGTATTATTTATATATATAGTATACGAAGGTGAATGAGTCGATGAGAACAGCATATGGACATAATTCGTGTCACAAGACCTATCGTATGGTTAGGTTATCGGGGGTCGAATCCACAAACGCAATGGCCCGGTAACGACAGTACATAATACTAGTTCACCTATAAATGAAAACAAATTGGCGTTTATTTTGAAAAATTGTTGTGATTTCTTTTACTTTTTTTCTTCGTCACACATGCAACATTTTACCAATATTTTGCAGATAATTATACTATCATAAAAACACGAAATAGTTTCACAAAACAAGGCATTGCATCTAGATAAGAAAATGCGTTTTTCTGTATACATAAGCGGTTTTGGTATTCGACAGGGCGTTCCGCTTTACCTTATCACAAAACAGCAGTAACATCGGAAAACCACCTGCTTATTGTTCTGTTGACTGCATAAAGGGCCAAGACTAAGTTCAATCCGGAACCTCTAAACTCTAGACAGGTATTCTGACGTTTTATAATCAAGTAGCAATGTTACGAATGCGAACGAAATATGGAAATACCCGTGTTAATAAAACGGTCATGCAAGCTTGCTAATTTCCGTTTAATATTTTAGAATCCAAACAGATCTCTTCATAATGATATAATACAAATACCAATCATAAACTAATTGGACACTGTTGACCCCGTGGGTTTCCAATATGGAAATACATGGTTTTTAATTGAAAATCGGCAGATTGGTTGTGATCAATTTTATAGACCTCGGTCCCAAATTTCCATAGTCTCCATCAAACAGGAGGTAATAATGTCCCACCCCTTCTACTTTCTATGAATTATTGCTTATTTCATTTCTTTTTAAATAACAATTTCATTTTTTTAGAGAAAAAGAAAATGTATTTTTCCAATCGATCAATGTTGTCTATTGTGATCGTTTATCTGAATAATATATTACTGGCTATCAATATTTATGATTGCTTGGCTAACACAACTATTTAACGATAGTGATCGTCGTAATTGTACATAGATTATCTATCTAATTTAATTTATTTCCGTAAGTTGTGCAACTTAATGGATTTCCATTTACAAAAACAAAAAACAATTGTATATAAATTGTACATGTATCACAAATCTGCATCAGCAACATCATCAGCATATCATCATCCTGATCGTAATACCTTTTAATTAATTTATAAATAGTAATCCTGACTCCATTATTGGCTATCGTACCCATCACTCGGGAATTTCCCCGTAACTATTCATTGGTGATCTTAACAATTGTTCATCTATTGTAGCAATAATTGATTATCGATGATTGACTTCCGTAATACTTTTTTAATTGGCTTACGTAATTGCCTGTGGTTGACTATCCGTATAATTGCCATTAGCTGCATCTATCAACAGAGCCACAGATAATCATGGAAATCGCAAATTTTATAAATGAAACATTGGTTTGTAATCATTTATCATTGACTATCGTCAGAAATAATTTAAATAACTCACGACTAACTTATGATTTATCAACTTTCAAATTTCTCATTTGCCTTTCGTAATATTTTGCATTGGCTATCGCAAACATGGAAAAATGATTTGCTTTAACTGGCCATCATACTTAGTAATAATTGAAAATTATCTTAATGTGTGATTGGCTCTCTCACTGAAAAATGATAATAATCTGTTAATCTGTTTCGTAAAAAAACACCTTAATTGATGATCACAATAATTGAAAGTTGCCTATTGCATTAAATGGTCATTGGCTATCAGAATAATTTGCATAATTGGCTATAGTGAAAATTTATAATTGGCAATCATAATTCATAATTGGTAATCGCAATAATAATTGGTTATCGTTATAATTTTTAATCGGCTATCGTGGAAGTTGGCTATCATAATAATGTATAATTGGTCATCGTAATGATGTATAATAATTGGTTATCTGACTTATTTAATATTGGTTATTTCACTAATTTTTGATTGGTTGTCAAAATAATTTATTTTTTCATTTGCTGTAGTGATAATTTATGATCATTTGTCGTGATTTTCCTATGGTTTTCTATCCTAAAACGTATTTTTGACCATTGCAGTAATTTCCATTGATTTACTGACCATTGGCTATCGTAATAGTGTCCTTTTGTTGTCCGTTATATTCTGACACACTAGTGTATTGTATAATAATAGCCTACCTTGCGTCCCCAGGACGGCGAAAACCGCCAGAAGAACACCGATACTACGGATCATCTTAAGGCGAGTCGAAATGATTTGCTGGCGAAAATACGTTCTTTTATACTGTGACGCAACCCACATAAACCACGTGAGGCGCGGTCTGAGATAGTCAATGGAAACCTAGAGAAGATTATAGCCTACTAAGGTCATTATAGAGAAGGTTTAGATAAGGTGGCACGCCTACTACTGTTAACACTATAAGGTGCAGTTATCATGCTATAGAAAATTACACATTGCATATGAAGGCATATTTATTTTTAAAAATATATACAAATGTATACATATACTTTACACTAGCACGTGAGGTCACTACTTCCGGTACATTAACCACGCAGTTGTTCTACCACAGGAATATTTTGCAACTTCTGCGAAATATTTTCAAGGAAACGGACTTATGTATAAGTAATATAGATATGTTTTCCTTCTGTTTTGTGTGTGAAAGGGGAGTGCTAAATAACAAATAAGTTAACATAGACAACCGATAATTTTACGAGGGGTTACCCCGAGACGATAGCTGTACAATTCGTTTTGCACCCTGTAAAACTCCATTCCATTAAGTTATGTCAATATAAATTTTTATGGAATAGAAATATTGGATCTCCATTTTGCTCCTGATATTGATAAAATATCAATAAATAGAAGATTATCTTAGAAACGTGTATTTTTTCGCTGGTAATAAAAACAGAATGTGCTGATTTAGATTCCAAAATGGCTTATTATGAAACAGTTGCGCATATTAAAAAGTTATGCGACAAAGCGAATGCATTTTTCTTTTTGTCCCGCTTTTTCCTAATGTGAAAGGCCAAATCACCATCATATATAGAAAACAACAGCAAAGAAAAAAAATGCATTCGCTTTTTTTTGCGTTTTAACATTTCTGATGGGATTCTTTCTCAGCGACAAAGAAAACAATAATAAAACGGCTCTTTTTTCGCTTTGTCTCCGTGACGAAGCGCTTTTAAACACCCCGCGTTTTCGCTTCGTCGGAGCGACGTATGTAAAGAAAGATAGAGAGACTGTGACGCTAAAATGTCTCACTGTAGGAGACCTGTAATTGTTTCTAAGAATATATTTTAGTTAACAGAAAATAGAGTTTTGTTGACCGGACTTTTTTGTCGTTTTTGAATCAGTCATGTATGATTGTCATTAACTACCTAGACTGAGCAGGTTTTTGTCATAATGTACGTGTTGCTTGATATAGTAAACATGAAGAAAATCATTCAGCATTTTAAGTAGTCCTACCAGCTAGGAAAACACGGAAAGATTTGATACTGAAGCAAAGTTGAGCATTGCTCCGACTGATGAAAATGGACAGAAACTATGTTGCGCGACGGTCGAGTTGCACTGCAATGGCGATTTGTCGTCTGTGACAACGTTTCAAACACATTTTGTAGACATCTTGACCCGGTTGTTCAAAGATTTAAAGTTTGAAAATAACTTAATAAAAAAACATCTTAAATCATTTCACTGCTGAAGATTTGCTTAGACAGACCAGGGTGTGTTTTGAGGATTAAGTTTGCGTTGTAAGCCTCTGATATTTATTGGCAGCAATTTATTGTTTTGCTAACCACTGCATTGTTTGAGAAACCAGGGCCGGACCGTTAGGTCTGACAGACCACGTGTCACCAACCCTCGAGTGGATTGTTATAAATGGCAACGCCATCTACGAGAAAAGGTTTCTTTCAACCAGGGTCACCACTAGAACAATTGTTTACTGATCGCCATACAACAATTGGGTTGACAGGATATCACACGAAAAAGAAATCTTAAGGATCTCCTCCCTGTATTACTGCCAAAAACTGTAAATATACATTTGAAATATTTTCTGCTATAACTTTGATAATCATATCAAAAGGGCCAAAATCCGAACCGTTGGCCGTTGATCATAATACTGCTTTTTTGTTTACTTTCTGAGTCGAATGACCAACAATAGTACACTGTCTTTTAGCGCTACAGTTATTTCGAAAGCAAAATTATGGAAAGGTAATTTTATATACAAAAAAACTACAGTAGAATTCTCTAGTGTTTTGTTCGCATTGGGAAAGCCGTAAACCTAGGGAGATTTAACAGTGACAACTTATTAGTGCAACATCCAAGCAAAAAGAATTCCCATCAAAAAATTAAAAAACATAGGATCATATTATGATTTTAAAAGTATAGAATAAGAAACGACCTAACAAAGTAAGAAAGAGTACTGTTATAGGCAGAGGCCAAGCAAATTCCGTAAAAACAAATACACCCGGGAATAAACTTACAAAGCTCGAGGTCAACCATGGATGGACCATAAAGGTTACCCGAGTAAGGTAAACAAACCCAGAGAAAACTTAAGACTAGCAGAACCATGCATACTGAATATAGTTTTACTACAGGTGATGAATTCATACGCTTTAATACTAATGCTGCTCAGCTTATAAATGCCTTAACTGATAAAGACAACCAAGGACAACGCGCCGCACATAATAAGCATGTAGGAAGTAACAAATAAAACGAAGAATACCAATATCATTCTATTTGAATTTAACCAGGATCAGCACTGGGACCGAGTGGTATACTTTATTACGTGTACGAGATGTGCCAAAAAGTTAGTTCTGGATACTTTTGTAGGTGATCAGGGGGAACATTCAAAACTGTTGTCAGACAGCAGAAAGCGCATATAGTCCCAAGGAGATGAACCCTGCCACCTTGAATTAGTTCAGGATCACATCACTCGTGAGTGTAGAAGGGAAAACCTTGTTCGTTAAACTTGCCAGAAAGATGACAAAGTACACATGGCAGTGAATAAGTACATCAGGGTTTTTTTCTGTGCAAAAGGTAAGGATACCTTGATTCCTCATATGCATTGTGCACACGAGCGTATTCACACAGTTGATATGGGAAGCCGGGATTGACTATAGCGATCTAACAGTTATTTGTTTGGACCTTGCCAACAAATACGGTACTGCACCCCTGCCGGTCGAAGAGTGAAAAAGAATAAGGCTGCTGTCATCCGCTGCATATTGTAAGAGACAAATGATGTGGAGACCTCCTGCAGATTTGGGAATTTGTTTTGCGTTCTCCACCCGGGAACACGAAAACGAACGAAATAAATCTGCATTGCAACATTCGGGATCTTTATATTTTCTCTCTTCTTCCTTACAACCTTTTTTTAGTTTAAAAATATTTTATTGTACAAATATACAAATGTTATTACAGCTTAAAAGAGTCCTCTCCTCATTACATACGGTAAAAATAGTGTATATGTTTTTGGGGAAAGGGAAAAAGATAGGACGGAGAAGGACAGGTGGGGTTAGAGGGGGTGGGGGTGATGGAGGGGAGGGGTGTTACCTAGAAAAGTAAACGTGTAAACTGAGAAATCGATCCGCATTTGAACACATTATAAATTATACAAATTTCATGACATGCATCCTGGTAGAGTAATTTCAAAATGAACAGAATCAATGTAACAAATAAATCAGGCAAAATAATAAAATACAATTTCATAAACACACATAACAACTTACACATGAGAAAAAATAGAAAAATAATTATAACTATCAAAACCTATTGCTGGATTTGATGTAATGATGTACATGTCTAAAGATACTTATGTTGTTTTCTACCTAAAGTTGACTATTACCAATCAAAAGTTGTTCTAAATTAAAATTAACATGGAAGGGTTTCAAATTTTGGAGCAGGGTATGTCTTTCGTTGTTAAAAAGTAAGCACTCACAAAAAAAAAGTGAAAGGTACTTTCACAGGGATGGCCACAATAACAAACTGGACGATCAACCAGCTTTACTCTAAAAAGATCATAGTTAAGTGGACTACACTGATGTCTAAGTTTAGTGTGCAAAATGTTCAATTTACGTTCACCGAAACCTCAGTAGATTGGTGGAGGAGATTATACATTTGAAGAGTTTTTAAAAGCATTGAAAGGTCCAATGAATTCCAACCGCGAGGAGTTGAAGGTATAAAAGATGAATTTGTTAGCGAAAGCATGAAAGGACGAATTCTATAATCATCATTGTTTCTAAGGGTGTAACGGTTATTTTCTGCAACGGAAGATGGCGATAGAGAATTTAAATATTCTTGAGGTAATTTGTTGTGCATTTTATACAAAAGTTGGAGTTTTCTGCGTTTTCTTCTATTCGAAAGAGTTTCTCGACCAGTTTCGAAAGGTAAGTATACAATTCAGGCACATGAAGAAAGACCAGTTATAATACGAGAAGCTTCTCTTTGGACTTTCTCTAACATTTCTGTCTTTTTCATTGGCAATACCTCCCACATTGCCTTTGAGTTGAACGTTCACCCAAGCGAGGAAGGCAACGGGTTCTTTCCCCAGGCCAAGACATTCCAAATTTATTAAAAGTGGTATTAGTTACGCCACACTTAACGTTCAGCAATTTGGGTAATGGCGTCAACTGGTTCACCCGTTGTCAGTATAATGTGACCGGGCTACTATGGTGGGTGCGTTCGGCATGGTATTTCAGTGAGCTATAGCACCATATAGTCGGCATCAACATACTTCCTCTAGCACACATACACACGTACATGCTAAAGCACACACTGCATACCTGGAGGCACGTCCTTAAATGTCCTAATCTGTTCATAGGACGCTAAACCATACAAAACCAAAACAAACATTAGGTTCTGTTTGACACCAATTGATCTTCAAGGTGCTGGAACACCCACCACATATCGGAAAACAGCTAGGGAATTGTAAAACTATTTAAGCAACATCATGCTCTAGTTCACATTAAGAGATATAACATTATGGCAGATAGAAGAAAAATGAGAAAGGATGCACCATCTGTTACACGCTTTGTGATTGGGATGAAAAGCGGCAGACAATGAAACTGCAGAACGAAAACTTCGTCCAGAGTCCAACTACCAACAAATAGGGTTTTCATGGACGGTCTGAGTATAACAACCACGGCGCATGTGTGCAGGCGCGGTGGATTTTGTCAGCTCTAGATCAAGCCATGAGTTTGGCAAGGATAAGTTTAAGCCGTGGAAAGCAAAGAATCGGGACATAAAAATAGGGAAGGTGACAGAA